TTGCTTTATGGCCATACATAAATGCTTAAATTGGTTTGTAACATATGCTCTCCTCGCTCTGTTTACTTCCTTCATTTAGTGTGACTGAATCACTTTATTAGTGATTATCCCCCCAAAAGCCGCAGGAATGCACAGCATCGCACCTCATCATGTAATTTACCCATATAGTAGGAATGGGAATATGCAAATAGTGTTGGAGTATTTTTGCAGCACCAAATATGCCCCTGGGCTGCTTGTCCAATGACACAAATCATCAATTAAGATCTCAGCAGGGTTTGGGGATAAACTAAATTGGCATTATCTTTATCTGACAATATGTAGAGACGTGTGGGGTACATCACAACAAAGAACAAACATCACTGAGGGTGATTGGTAGTGATGCGTTTCAACTCGTGTGTGTGTGTGTGTGTGTGTGTGTGTGTGTGTGTGTGTGTGTGTGTGTGTGTGTGTGTGTTCCCAGCTGAATCATCCACTTTGAGGCGCTGAGGTTGTGCACAACAAGGTACACAATCGTTTGAATGGTGTAAAAGGTAACAGAGCTTCTTTTGGTCCTTCAGCAGCGACTCACAGTGAGCAACAACAGTGTCTTTTCAAAGCATTTACTTTCACAGGGGGTGCGAGTTTAGCCCCCCGTGGGATTCTGTGCTCAGCACTCTGCACCTGCCGAATGTGTCTGACGGAGGCAGCTAAAGTGGTCTAAATCGCCATTGTGATTTCTTAGGGAAGCAGATGATTAGTAAACAAATGGTTCAGGCATATTTAATTAAGCTAATGTACTCCCAATGCTCAGACTGTAGCCTTTGCTGTGAGGGGCCTTTACTGTGCTGTATACAGTTGTATATGCATTTTTACATTAACACTGGCAGATGACAAGGAAAGTGTTATGGAGTTACATGTCCTGAGCTTTACATTTAGCAACGTTTGTGTTTTGCGCCAAATTTAGATTTGTTTGCCAAATCTGCAGGGGCAGTACTAAAGGGGTGACATGGGGTGGCAGCTGCCAACCCTAAACAATGCCCAGCCACCCTAATTTGGTGTCAAATGGAGTCGAATTTAACACATTAATTCAGAGATTTTTATATATTTTTTTCAAATAATGTGTGAAAATTGTAAAATATAGTAACAATCTGTTACGGACACATTTTAGACCAAGTGATAGTCTTAAGTTCAATGAAAAAAGAGGTCACCGTAATATTTCTATTCAATGTTTTACTAACGTCCCAAAATAATGTAATGTTTTTGAGCTCAAAAGTCTTTATTTGAAAAGCTTCCAAAGAAATATTGATATATGTGATTGTTTGTGATTCAATCAGTGTATATGTCTGTCATCCCTTGCCACCCTCTGGCCACCCCATGAATATTTCTCTAAATCCACCCCTGCAAATCTATGCATGTACTGCAACATTTATGTGACATTTGAGGGGCAGCGATGAGAGCTGAACACATGACTTGGTCTGACTCGCAAAAACTACCAAAACACAGCAAACGACCTGAATCTACTCCTTTTTTTAAACTGCGAGATCATTCAAATCCAATCAAACAGGGCCCCCAGAGTTTGAGACGAGCTGTCTGAGAGACATGGGCTCCCCGTCAAATCGCACTGACGGCATTTCATGCACACAGTCCAATGTCTCCTACGGGTTTAAGCAATTGTGGAATAAACTAGTCATCTGAAGTAGAAAGTGGCGAGTGGCACACAAAGAAGGCCAGTGTTCATTCCTGAGAGGGTTTGCAGGGCAAGGAAGGCTGAGAGTAAACATTAGAGCTCACTGAGATGCAGGTAGTCCGAACACTTCAAATGAATGAATTCACAGAGCAATGCAAAAAAGAATGAGACCCCCTGTTTGGCCTTTTAAAATACAGACGTGTGAGGAAAATAGCAGTGTTTTGCTTAAAGTTTTTCTGGAATAAATTAAAAACTATTGTTTTACTTTGAAAAACTGCTGCTCCTAAACTGCAAACACATAAAAATAAAAAAATCACACCAAAACCTGGCTTAATGATTAATAAAAAGGCTCAATTTCAAACTACAGGTAATATATATTTTCTTCAGTTTGACATTAGTAGCTCGGCCTATGCAGTGGTTATTTGTTTATTTTTGTCACAAACGAACAAAAATCACACACACACACACACACACACACACACACACACACACACACACACACACACACACACACAGTACTGGACTAGACTATAGAATAATATGTATTATTTAGGCTACAAAAATGCTGAATTAACAATGCAAATTATTTTACGCTGAAAATCCGTTTTCCTTACAAACACACCAACTTTGCCGGTCAGCATAAAAGCTTTTTTTACTGGAATAAAACACACCAGGTAACTTCAACATGAGGAGAACAGCAGCAGTAGCAGTGACAAGACAACACAATAGGGTTTGTTTTTTGTTTGCCTGTTTTTTTTTTTTTTTTTTGTTTGTTTGTTTTTTTTTGCTGTTGTTGTAATTTTTGCACGGAATATTTACACCCTCAGATATTTGCTGCAAATTCGCAAACAATCAGAATGCGCTGTGGCGTTCCGGCGCTAATTGACAAAGCCGTGTGGAAATAAAACGCCAGCTTCCTGCAGCTATGCGCTCAATCCGTCCGATCCGCTCACTATTACCGCGATTAGCCTCCAAATTACAACCTACTGCACAAAAGCATCCGCCGCAAAATGCAACACATCCTATTATACCTGCATCTCAAACGTTACCGACATTTTTTTTTTAATCCAAACGCCGCATCAAGCAAAAGAAAAAAAAATCCACTGGTCTTTCAGTCCAGCACAAAAATGCATCTCCTCTCTTTTCCCTCTCTCTTTTTCTCCCCCACCTCGACTCACCCCCTCCCCTCCTCCTCCCTCTCTCACTCGCTCTCCCTCTCTCTCTCCCTCCCTCACTCTCTCTTTCCCTCCCTCTCTCTCTCTCTTTCTCTCTCCCTCTCTCTCTCCCTCTCTCTCTCTCACTCTGGCCTGGCTGGCTGTCTGACTGTATGAATAATGTCCTGCCTTTTGTAATGAAGGGGGGGTAAAGGGGAAAAAAAAGGACGCTCAGTGGTAAAGCCCTGCTCCCATGCACTGACATTGAAAATGAATGACAGCTTACCTGCATGCCAATCTTCATCAGACTGACACTGGGCTGACAGCACAGCCTATACTCCTCCACACAGCCGCTGACGTCAGCCATGCCAGGCCCCTCCCACCTCCAGCTCCATCTCGGCTCCCCGTTTTCCCAACACCGGGCTGCTGATGCCTTCCAGTGTCCGTGGGAAATACGGCAATCGCGTGTGCGGGGCTTCAAGGAACATCCCCCCCCCCCCCACCCCCCCGTCTGTTCAGGTTGTATGGGAACACTGAATCACAGCAATGACTCCAATAGAAACCACATGTTTTATGCTTCCTGTACACTTTAGCTGTTCCGGATAAAACTGAATGGCAGATTTACAGTAAATCACAGGGATGTTCAATATCAACCACAAATACACAAGAAATGTCGCCACTGTCTCCAAAAAGTCAGTCATAGGTGCCTCTGATAGGAGAGTGAGGAAACAGTGTCTTCAATCTTCAATTACTTTAGCCTACAAAGCAGAGGATGAATGGCAGGCTTGGACTTATTTGCAAGAAACTAAATTTAAAATTAATTTAGCAATTTTCCAAGTATGCTGATGCTCTCCTGTGGGCAAATGGCCCCTGACTTATTCTGGTCTAAACTACTGGATTACAGTCAACCAGAGAAACAAGTGAGGTATGCAATCCATGTATGGGTACATACACTTTATCTGTCATCTAATATAACCCATGTGCTCATTTAATTCAGTATTTTTCTTACCTGTTCCGGTTTACCAGACAAGAAACAAGACCCTGGATATGATGTTACCAGTCAGGTTCCATAGGTAACGGAGAAAAATGCTTGTATCGCTTGCTCTCACCACTACTCAGGCAACAGTGTCTTTAATCTGCCTGATTTTGTTGGGATTACGGAGGAAATCAAATCACCTGAGGGAATTCCTGAGGGAGTTAACATCTCTGTTCTCATTTAAATCTACAGTATACAGTCCAGTAACAACCCAACCATAGATATCCCTCCTGCACACACTAATGTTGGCAGATCTGGTTTCATGTATGCACCTCTTAAACCACAATCTGCCCTTAAACTCGAGTGTTGCATTCCCATTGGACTTATTATCTGTTTGGTTTTTTTTGTGATTCTTGCACCTGTTTCTATCGATTCCTCGTCAGTGGTGTGGTTTCTGTGAATGTTTCTTGTTCTCAGGTCTCTTTTGGAAAAGAGATCCTAATCTGGATGAGACTAATAGAGATGAATGAATTCATTCCAGGCAAACGCAGTGAGAATACCAACTAAATCACACCCAGTCCGTCTGAGGTGTCCGTATCATTCCTGAACGCTGGGTGACTGGATCTTACGAGGTGTCACTTAAAGGCAACATGTCTCCTTCCAGTAAGCGCACAGAGGCTCCAGCGCTTCAAGTGGGACTGGAGCGCACGGCCACGCACGCGCTCACGTACGCGCTGAAAACGCACGTGCCTTTGAAGCGCGGATCTGGCCAGCCCCCTGTCGGTCCGCATTAATAATTACATCCTTTAAAAAGACGTTGGATGATGGGTACCAGATCCACTGCTGCAAATATGTGCTTCTAATTCCTCTGGATGTTCCCAGCGAGAAACACAGGAGAGAACCGATTGATCTAAAGAAGAAGAAGAAGAAGAAGAAGAAGACCTTTCCCTGTGTCTAACTTTCTTGGAGGCGTCAAACTTTCAAACCAAAGCCATTGCAGTCAGTCCCCCACTGTATAATAGATCTTTTTTAAAGACATTGTCAGAAGCACACAGGGAGCCGCTGCAGTAAAGCCACACTGAATGAACGCCTGCGGGGATAATGTGGCCTATAGTCTAACTGCTTCTGGATCAGATGAGCTTTAAGGCTCCAATGCATTATTGCTGCTTCAAGCAGGATGTAAAGTCCCCGTCCACATTCTCAGTGTGTGTGTGTGTGTGTGGGTTAGCTGTAGTGGAGTGGGCTGCTCTACCTCATATCATACAGGGACTGGATAGAATAGAGCAGAATGTTCTGTGAGTCTATATAAAGCACACAGAACCAGGGTGAAAGCAGGGACGGGTACCGTATGACTGCTGGACAAAAAGTCAGACGAGCAACGTTGAGTTCTGTAACCCGTGCGTTTTTCGATTTTTCAGTAACGACGCATTTGATTGGCCCGTCTCGAGTCCGTGTATCCAATCCAACTCCATTTTGCTGTTACTAGGAAGTAGAAGACGCGCTGGAGCCGAACGCTACTATCTACCCCTTCAACTCATTACTGCGTGATAATTAACCGGTTAATGGACAGAAAATAAACATTTTACGGAATAAAATGTGCGTGTCGAACATCATAACATACGTTTTATACTAGCATGCAGCTATCGGCCTCAGCATAGCAGAGCTAGCGTTAGCAGTGACGGCTAATTTACCCTCACAACGGTGCTAATGTGGGTAATGCTATATAAGCTAGGGGAGCCGGTTTAACCACATTACTGCTTAATAATGTCTGAAACGTCGGTCGTAAAATCCGATATAGCCCGTTTCACCGGTTAACGGTTCTGTCGGTTGAAACGGTGCTTAACAAAAATGTCAAGCACCGTGTTGGAAGTGGGTACGGGCGTTTTCGTCATTGCGGTGGTTTGGATTGTGGCTCTGGTGTCTGGGATGATGCTGCTGAGAGCATCTGGATCAGCAAAGTGAGTGACCACACACACACACACACACACACACACACAACACACACACACACACACACACACACACACACACACACACACACACAGAGAGAATCCTAACAGAGTCCCGGTCGTAGGTTGACGAACATCAGCCCAGAGAGGAGAGCGTTTATCGGATATGTCAGTGCCGCATTGCCGCCACTTTAATGCCGATTTGTGTGTCGGGTAAATCACACACACTCTGGAACACAAGTAACTCAAAACTTAAAGTTCTTGTCGTAAATTCGGCAGATGTTTGACGTATCAGGCAGCCCGTTATTTAAATAAAAAAGCCAGCAGAGGTGTTGAACACAGCGCTGTGTTTAAGGCAGGGCAAAAATGTCGGAATATCAAGAAACTCGAAGCTGAAATATAATGAACCCAGATTCATAGAACCCCTTTTGGTGTTTTTAGCAGGTATGATTGATTTCTGAGAAAGAACTTATCACCTGGATTTCACAGAAAGGCTGCTCAATCTCTCATATTTTTTGCGACCTAATTATTTAGTTGTCTTCCCAGAGAGATCAGTAAACCCACATGCCGCTTTACTTATTGATTGCTGCAACCATGCACCTTCCAGTCCCTGCTGATTAGTGCTTGTGCAATTACTCTGCACCATACACACTAAAGTCAGTACTTTTCTGTTGTTTGCACTGTGACACCAAACACTGTGCACTTGTGGAAGGGGCAATTACAGTAAAGTTTAAATGGGGGTGAAACATGGCGCTATTTACTTGATTAGAAAGTTAACAACTTAAAAATAAAACCCACAATAAAGAATAGCATTGTTTTGATTGGTACTTTATGATGACATTATCCTCAGATAACCCTGCCTTTACTGCCTCTCTTTGTAAATCAGCAGTCCTCATGTTAGCCTCTCTGTCTTAACTCTGTGTGTGTGTGTGTGTGTGTGTGTGTGTGTGTGTGTGTGTGTGTGTGTGGGTTGCAGGCTAGGAGTTATCCCTGTTTTCCTTCTGGCTCTCACCATCACTTTGGCGCTGGTGTTTTTCCCTCGCAGCCCGGAGACGACTCCCCCTTTCAAAGAGATAGAGGTAACCTCTGTGCACTGATCTCACACACCATGACACACACTTAAAAACTCCGATACATACATCCCTGTGTCAGTTCAATCAGCTATTTGCTTGCATTGTCAGTATAAGAAAACTTATAATCATATCTCATAGAGAATGAGTGAGTCTGTTATACTAAATTAAAATAAGTAGCACAGAGAATTGTTTGTATGTGTTTTGTTGACTACTCTCAGGGTTCCCACCTGTCCTGGAAAACCTGGAAATTTAGAGACTAGTTTTCCAGTCATGGAAACACCTGGAAATTGATTAAAATAACCAAATATCCTGTAAATAATCTATATTGTCCTGTAATAATTTTGTATTTTAGCCAAGTCAGATCGCCTATGTAAACCTGGGTGCGTATTTAGATTGAAACCTGACTGTTGTGTGGGATAAACAGTATGCCACTTCAACGTGGGTTCATCAAATGCAAAATGTGGCTGACTTTCAATCATCTTTTTGGCATTGAGTCTATTTTTCCCAGAGCTGCAAGCAAAATACTCCTATCTACATGTATACAGCCTACAAATTTCTTGTTGTTGTCGTTGATAAATGCATGTACAGTTATGTTAATTGCCCATGCAATGAACACTTTCTAGAAGATTCATCTTTTGTAAAATAAGATAAATTCTACTTTATTTGAAATGTTACTTATGGGCAGTGGCCGAATTAATGTAGTCAATTTGCCTTAAAACGCAGTTTATATGACAAGCAAGTGCTGTCCTTGTCCTTGAGTGGGAACCCTGTACTGTGCACAAAGAGGCAATTTATGACCTATTATATTTATTACTATATTGCTGCCCAATCCATGGCAGGAAATTTTCCAAATCAGTGTTATACCAGGCCATTTATTGCATTAAAATACACAGAGACTTGTGTAATTGTCGTCTGTTGTTGTGGCTCATGCATAATGACAGCATAATGTACATCGGTTGGAAATAAAAGCAGGCCTTGGATGTTTTCAGTTTTGTTGTTGTGAGGCAATTTGGCTTCCATTAGAACCAAATGTTTTGGGTGCTGAGACCAGTGAGTGAAAATGAGGATTCAGAGCCCAAACAGCTGAGTTTAACTGAATGGTCCTCTCATGCACTCTTTTGTGCTCCCACAAATGATGTCTAATCACATATAGAGTCTGTCTTTATCACAGATGTATGGTACTATTTGTGCTGTGTGAGAACATAGGCTCTGTTTAGGTTTGAGGAAGGTGAATACAAACAACATTTCCCATAAAACCTTAACTCAGATATAAGCCAGTATCCACAGCACTGTATACCTGGAAATAGCGTGCGACGCTGTGTGTGCACTCCCGCGTGTGTGCTTGTCGTAAAGGCCTGCTCTGCTTTATCTTAGTCCAACAGCAACACAGAACAAACACTCCCCCATGTTGCCTCCGGGTCGTGCCAATAAGCCGGCCAGATCTGCCAAGCAAGCTGCCACCCCAGTAGAAATAGCAGAGCTGAGCCCCATCCTGGCCAGCTCACATTTTATAGCCTTTGTGCAAAGTCAGATACCAGACCAGCAACAGAGGGAGGCGGCTAAAATGTGACTTTCTGGATTTCTGTACAAGGCCTGTGGGTAAAATCAACCCATGCCTACTTCAGAAATGGATTCCAGTGTTTAGAAGAGGTCGCCTATACAATCACTTGTAATAGTGACACCTTATAATGCGAGCAAGAAGTCGCCATCAGCCTTTGGTTTGCTTTGTGTGCAGCTCTCAACATTTATTAATCATCAAGTGGCCTGTTATTTCTTTAGTTTGGGAGGGTATATAATACAATATTTCATTTGAAGAAGTAACAATTATAAGAAGTCTTCTCACAATGTCTTTTTTTCCTCCAGGAATTGAATGTATTCATCTTATTTTAAAGGGTAATTTTTAGAAGAGAATACAATTTTTATTATTCACCAACGTTGAAAATTGTCTTTGGCCCATCCAGCATTTCATTAAAACATCAAAACACACACACTCCGAGTAATATAATACTATACACACAACTGAAGTCAAAAGATTCAAATTGGGATTCTAAAAATGGAGTCACTGTGGGATAACCGACTAGCCAGAGACATCCTGCAGCTCCTACCAGAGTTTAGCTTAGAGAATGCGAAGGTTCCTTGGTGACTCATCTGTCATATTTGAAATAAATCGATAAACAGTTTTCATGCAGGACTAGTTAAAAACCTTAAAAAGTCTAAAATCCCATAATCAGAATTTTAGATCTCATGATTTTGACAGGTTGATTTGATTAATTAAGTTAATGTTACTTACTTACTAAATGTATAAAGTTGCATGGAACCAATTTGTCTTCATATCCTTGTACTTTTTATGCCAACATGGACGTAAAATATTTAATGGCATTCATAATAATCTTAAAAGGGTCTTGAATTGAAATCCTCCCCTATATGAGCATAAACGCTATGTAAGCAAACTGATTGTGAAGGTGAGCTGTTTCACTGGGAACAGACAATGACTTTCTGTGTTCATGTTGGGTATATAGAATCATTCTCAGCGAAAAAAGCTGAAATCCTAAAAATCTCCCAAGCACAGAGATAATGTGTGAGTGTGTTTGCTGCTGTGTGTATGCCTGCAGACTGTGGAAGAAAATGTCTAACCTCTTGCTGTTAAACAAAAGTAAAATATCATAGTGCCAATTAGGCCAGTCCCAGACAAGTGGGTGGGGGTGGTTAATACTAGCCCCCCCCACCCGCCTGCCTGCCTGCCTGCCTGCCTGCTCCCACCCGTGCGCTCAATGGCACATTAATAAAACATGGCCCACACTTTGGGGTCCTGCTTGCTGTGTAATTGGCAAATTAAAAAGTGAGATGTGTTAAATGCAACCATAAGAGATGCCATACATCATCCCCACCTCTCCTAGACACCAGCAGATTCCCACACACACACACACACACACACACACACACACACACACACACGCACACACGCACACACCTACTCTGACTCCACACCAGTCCCTGTGAAGTCTCCTTAGTCAGCAGTAGGGCTGATGCTCCTCTGGTATTATCTAGCTTAAGGGCGTTTTCTCAGTTTGCTTTCGCGTATTCATGGTTCATGATCTAAATATTAACACAGACCCAGAGCTATCAGCAGCGAAGTGTTGACTAAATCGATCAACTTTATGAACTCCAAAAACTTCTCCCAACTTAAAACAACACAAACACCAATCTGGAGGATCTATTCTTCCCGCGCCTCGTTTGCTTTAGATCTGTTAATCGCCACATTACTCAGGCGAGCTGCAGCGTTGTGTGGTTTGTGTCCCCGCTGATTATCCATCTAGATAAAGAACAGCAGCATCAGAAAATAACTAGCATTTAGTTTCCAGTAGTTGGGAGAGAAACAACAAACATGCTGTGTGTTCAGATACCCTGCTGCACAAGTTATTCCCTGAACGTACAGGTCTCATTGCTATATAAATCAATAACCTTTACTTGGCTGTATGTCTGAGCCTGTGTCTCTCTTATGGATGCATTAAACACATGTTACAGGTTGTGGTTTGTAATCGTGGCATGCTTTCATTAGGAGATACAGTGATAGGAGATTTGAAGGTCAAATCTGTTCATCAAGTGGTCACCAGTCATAGAGCTGCATATCAAATCCTCGAAGCACCTCCATCAATACTCTGCTGCACACTCACAGTGCACCTGGTTATTGGCAGAGACAGGGGCACTGCTTCCACTCCTCTGTCCTCATCTGATAAACTCAGGTTATTGGCTGATACTGAGTAATGATCCAACAACGGTGTTTGTTTTTCTTTCTTTCCAGGAATTGGCTGGAATCGTTTTCTGTGAGTCAGATAACAAGAGGCTGTAACTACACATTACTTCTTAACATTAAAAGTGCAGTCAGCTGTTCTAATCCAATACGCTTTATGTCAAATTAAGCAAATAACTCCCCACCTCACTAGCTGTCCGTTTTTAAACAAAAAACAAAGACTGGATTGGACTGAGCCACACAACACTATTCCAGACAGTCAGCAACAGGGGGCGTTTATGCTTGTTCACAGGACAAGCGGACGTGGAGACATTAATAGAGAATGACTTGTTTATTAGGCTTTTGCACATTTTAATTACATTCTCTAAGGTTATATAATTACAATTTTGGGGACTAAGAGACAGTATTTAATGTCCAGTGTGTAACATTTAGGAGACTCTATTGTCAGAAATGGAATATAATATTCATAGGTATGTTTTCATTAGTGTATAATTACCTGAATATAGCAATCGTTATGTTTTTGTTACCTTTTAGAATAAGCTGTTTTTATCTACGGAGTCCGCCATGCTAAATTGCCATTTTTCTACAGTAGTCCAAAATGGACAAACCAAACACTAGATCTAGATAGGGCCTTTCACATTTTGGGTCATTCTTGCAGCCACCGTAGTTTCTCCTACACGCTTAGAACGGGATGGTGAGGAGAGGGCGTTGCAATCAGCTACTACACAGCTAGATCCTTTAATGTCTCTGTGACTTTCACAACAGTTGAAACAGTAAAAACAGCAGGGGGTGTACGGTAGCTCGCCATGTAGAGTGTGTGCCCCATGTAGGTTGAGTCCTTGCTGCAGTGGTACAGGTTCGGTTCCAGCCTGCGGCCCTTTGCTGCGTGTTGTCCCCCTTCTCTTTATCTTCATCTTCTTCCCCGTCTATCTTTCCCTGTCCTATCAAATAAAAGCATAAAAAAGCCCCAAAAATATCTTGAAAAAGAGAACTGCCAAATGCGGGCACAGTTAGGCAATTTATCATTCAGCATAATCTCAAATTAAATCTAACTGCATCCTCTCTCAAAGCCCACAGTTGACAGCCACTTAAAATGTAACCTTAGAAAAAAAAGTTGTCTAGCAACCAAATATGTCTTAGCACTGGTGCTGCATGTAGGCATCAGTTTACAGCAGCATGAGTGGGCCAGGCGACTGCTTGCTATCTAAGACCTTGTATTAGAAATACTGAATGAGTTTCCACTGAAGCTCCCAGTTTGCACTCTCATACCAATTCACCTTCTGCTGACCATTCTGCAGTGCCAGTTGTCAGGAATGTAGAACTATTTTGTGATCATTTAAATTCAAATTTTCAAGGCAACAAGTTCTTCTTTCCTGTACGTGTGTGTGTGTCTGTATGTGTGCATGAGTCTGTCTGTCTGTCGTCAGCAGAGTGCCCATTCAGGGCTTCACATAACTCACAGTATCACTGCTGCTACAGAAAGCCTTTGTGGAAGCCCTCTCCTGACATCTGGTGGCTAGTAGAGGAACTACTGAATATGTGACCAGCCTTGCTTTTCCCATCCATCAGATACTATCTACTAAGTTTTAAAAAAAGTTGTAATTATTAAGAACTCTTCTTCTATCTTCTCCCTACAGATAGTGGACACTTTGTTCATCGGCCGCTACGTGCTGCTGGCGGTGGCGAGTGCAGTCTTTCTGGTGGTGTTCTTCATGCTGCTCCCCTTTCATTTCCTGGAGCCAGTCTATGCCAAGAACTTAAGAACACACTAGAGCTGCCAGGGTCAGAGCTGGCACCGGGATCACATCGCTGATGTACACAACTTAAGACAAGCAGGGCTTGACAAGAGCCCCCCCCCCCCACCTCCCCCTTCATGTGGGCTACAGAATGCATCCCAAACGGAAACAGCAGGAGAGCCAGTGTTTGCTTCATGGCCAACTGTTTGCAGGTTATTGACTGTTTACAACCAACGGAAATGAGACATCCAACAGTACCCCAGTTGTTTATTTATATTTTGTATCATTTAATACACAAGAAGAATAAATAGTTTCTTATTTCATATGTGTGAAGCATTACAGTAATTCCTATTCAACCAGCACTGAAACACTCCCTCCAATATTTACATTGCCACACTGATTTGTCTTATTTTTATTTATACTTGTTTTTACTAATATATAGATTTCTGAAGTACTGAGGTGACAAGGTGAGATTTTTTAACTCAGTGATCATTCAAATTCTGAATGCATGTGATGTTCCATTTATAGCTGTCTGAAGCCTGGGGCCTGCATTTGTGGCTCTTCAACTGGACTGACTGATGGACACCGTTAGTACATGCCTAAGTTTTCTAGAATTAATAGACTCTCCCTACTGGGTCCCCCCTGTCACGGGCCTGTAAATCTCTACAGTTTCTACAGCAGCTACAGCTACTGTGGTACAGTGGTTACTTTAGCGACACGTAAAGCTGTCTGTCCATCCGGAAACTGTAAATAAGAGTTGAGATCAGAGGGAAAACGGGAAAAAATTTTCTCCAAAATCAGTGACATAGTTAATGGTGTGTGACTCAGTGATGTAATGGGTTAAACTTCTCGCGTACCCACTCAACCCAAGTTACAGAATGGGAATGACAGAGACACCATTCTCCCTATTACCAGTCAGTGTAGCATCACGGTGAACTGAATTTGCCAAAAAAGTATGTCATATTCATGACATTTATACATTAATATAAAAATCAGAAAGTCAATAAATGTCATATGGACAGTATCATTCAGGGAGGATGAATATGTTTCATTGTGTTTTGTGATGGCCTTACTTAAATGTACATTTTAATGTGCTTTGCAGATGGTTCATATGATTAGTACACATTATTCATACTGTAGCATTTTCATTGGCCCCTTTATCTTGATGAATTGATTTGCAGTTTTATGATCATGTGGATTCATTTTACAGGTAAAAGTATATCCACCTTTTTCACTGCTCTCTCGCTAACAGTTAAACCTCTGTGTGCTGCCATCAATGTCCCTGAGTTTTACTACACGGACTAGTACTAGCTTTCACACCACTGTAAGGTAAGTATGAAGCTACCCTCCAAACATTATAGAATGCACCTACCAGTACCTCCAGAGCTCTCTACTTAATATATTTATTTTGTGTACCTGCTCAACTAATGAGAGATTGTATAATGAAACACTGCCATAAGGTTGTTGATCATTATAAAGTGGTGATGATTACAATGAGTACATGAGCAAAGAATTGGAACCGATTCCGGTCTCATAATGGTGTATCCCTATAAATAACAGCAAAAAACAATTTGTTGGTTTACAGGTGGTTCTGTGAGCTCCAGAGGTGCTGCTAGGTGGATTTGGTTACCATTGGACACAGCCATCCTAGCTGTTTCCCTTTGCCTCTAGTCAACTGAATTCAAAGGGGCTTTATTGGCATGGGAAACACACTTTCATTGCCAAAGCAAGTGTAAAATATATACATGTATGTATACACAGATTAGTTTAAAAAAAATAACTTAAAATTGGAAAATGAAAAGTAGACTTGTTACAAAATACAAAATACATGAAGACTGTTAAAACATACTTATATTATCCAAAGTTTTACAGGACGACGTGCATCTCTGTCTCGACCTCACCTGTTGAGCAGTGACCACATATTCAGATTTCTTTAGGTTGCCATGCAATTCCTTTTTTAATTTGCAGTTTGTGGTCACAGAGCCTGGACTCAGTGAGGATCTGCTTTCTTTCTCTGACAGTACAGAGATACTCTGACCATTCATAATCTCTGTGTAGGGCTATAGCTTCAGATTTATCGTACAGACACCGGGGACTGGTGTCAATCTTCTTGTCAAACTCTCAGCAAGAGAGCAAATAAGCATATCTCCAGAAATGTCTAATTATTCCTTTAAATTCCTAAGGAAACAAGCTGCTAGCTGCTTCATAGCTATGAAGAAGGAAGCCTCTACAGAACAGATCTTCCGCACTGTATCTAACCAACAGTTGTAGATTTCTCTGTGAAAACTTATTTAGAAGCTGCGTGTATCATTGTGTTTTTCTATTCTACATTTTCGTTACACATTTTGCCAACCGTTGAATCACATCCTGCACTGTGTTTGCCAGTACTTTGACAAACACAGTGCTGCATTCACATGGTTATGATGCTGATTCCATGGGGTATAAATAAGCAGATGATTCCATAGAGAGTAATGAGCTTTTGCAGTCTAGAGGCTCAATTATAAACACTTGCCCCCCTCCCACCTCCATTTTAAAAGTGTGAAGCCCGAGGAGACGTGGAGTGGAATTCCAACCAGGATGATGAAAGAGAATCTAATGAATCAAAACCAATCCTATTAGTTCCGGCCCACATCTCCATACTGTGGTCCTTTTTCTGCACAACAATCCACCGCATGATTTCACACAAGCTGGGGAGCTGGGGGATTTCGGCAGGGTGGGATAGAGGATCTTAAACCTTTCAACCTGAAGGGACTTGTTGCCTGTAATTGACCGCATGATTACCGCAAAACATGATCCTAGCCCCCGCCGGAAAGTGGCGCTGAGAAACGAGCACTGAAACCGAAGTTCAACAGAAACTTTGGGTTATCAGAGAAATTGCCTTTTTGAGAACATTCAGATGCAGTTTATATTTCAAGGTCACGATGCAAAGATGTTTACACCAGTTCCTCGCTCTCTTGAAGTCTGCAGACTCAAGGCCTCTGCAATCCCTGAAGCGTGGGCCTAGAAGATCTGACAGTATTCCTTGGCTTACTCTCCCGTTCTCACACGCTCTCCCACTCCACCTCACCTTTTTAATCTTTCTCTCTCCCCCATCTTACTCTCTCACTCCATCCTTTCCTCATTTTCATTTTTGTGTCTAAACTCCGTCTCTGGGGAGTGGGAAAATGAGCAGAACAAAGCATGTGGGGGTTTGAGGATCATTTGGAACTGGGAGACGGAGTCTTTGTGGCGCAGCCAGCTGGACATATAAAGAGATGGGGGCGGGCGAGATAGAGAAAGAGGGGAGCTATGCAAGGGCAAAGAGGTGTGAGCAGAAAGCTCGGGGTGCTTGGTTTTGAAACTGCGGAGGGGACGGGGTGTGCTCCTCTCTGGTAGATCTTGCATTCAGATGCACTCAAGCAGAACTTCTGGCTTGCCGTTCACATCCTCAGCCATCTCGCCCCCTCTGTTTGTGATATGGATACCGTCACCGCCCCGCCCAGCTCTCACAACACCAAAAATCCATTAAGGATTGGTGCAAAGTTGGTGCACTTATCCCGAAAGAATGTGATTCCGTTCATGTTAAATCAAGCAGATGGCAATGTTTGCCGTCCTTTCACAAAGTTTGGTAAATAAAACTTGATGAGTGCTCCATGGGGTAAAACCGAAAATGAGTTCATTTTAAATCCTTACATAGGCTCGGATTAAATAAGGGTTTATTAGCCAACAAGTAGATGTTTGGCAAAACCTGAAGACATCAGAGTTCACTGGCCGGGTGATCCACTAAGCTGTGAGAGAGTTGGTGATAGAACGTGGAAATAAACCAGGGCCCTGTCACCCGAGCAACAAACTATGCAGTTTTGGGGCCAAGAGGAGTTTTTTCTCAGCACTGCCTGGTCGTGCTCTATTATGCACTTTTGTATACAGCCTGGGATGCTATCATTGCAGCACACACTAGGGGGGCAAAATCCTCCAAGTAAGATCCTGGTGTTGCCTTGGCCTTTTACCTCTCTCTCAGGGAGGAATTACCCTAAAGCTCTGCCTCTCGGGGGGACGATGAAGGCCCAGATTAGAGGTCAGGTCGCTCGCCAATAGCCCTCCGCTGCTCGGACATGACGCCCCATTGCGGGCCGCAGCTTGGCCCTATGGGGGGGTTCCATTTTGACAGTGTTGAAGACATGATTGAATATTGGTCAGGCTTAGAAAGGCAATGGCTACGCTGATCAAAGAAAATGTGCACAATAGTTGAACATGGGTGGCCACAGCGGTCCGCGGAGCATGCTCAGATGTTGCATAGGCTCCAACTGACCTGTGTCTTAATATTTTAGCTTTTCTATTGACATATATAAGATCAGCACAAACAAAAGTGAATTGATTTAAAAATATAGATTTGTTGAAGAAATCTAAATCACTTGAGGACAGTGATTTAAAAATTGTGTTATTGGTGAATATAAGAAGACATGTTTTCTTTTTTGATTTTTTAAAAAAAGTTTCAGTTTTAGGCTGAATATCAAAGTCAATGATGTCTAGGTGGGCTGGCACAACAACAGTCAGCAGGCCTCCTTTTCCCATAGAAGGGCGGAGCAGACAGCTGCTGCACAAGAAATAAGCCACATCAATATACTATGAAAATATGTAATAAATAAGCCATAAGCAAATCAAGATCAAGCCCACTTTGAGTTATTTGTGAAAGAAAGCAGTAACAGTGAAGTGTATATTAGTATATCACCTATTAAAAAAAACCCACCAAAATATGTCATAGAAGTGTAATAAAAACAAAAAGAGACCTTTTTCACAGCAGACATTTTGGCATGTCACAGTATGAAAAGAACAGGTGTAAACAATAAAAATAATGATGGCTGAATTCCACTTAGCTGCTTCAGTTTCAGGGTCCTGGTATTGTTCTTTCTGGCTCACCGGAAAACACTCGATTAGTCATCGTTCATTTTATCAATAACACCTGTGCTTTTATGATAACGCTATGTGTGTGATATGTTTTGTTTGCTTATTTATTTGATGTCATTTAAGAATAAATTCAAGGTATAAAACTTGACTTTTTACATTTGGGTTATAGCGTTACAGCAGCTTATGTTAATACAGATAATGCAGATGTATGTTCTGTGTTGCACCATGAGAGAGAGATAATTGATTGGTTATGATCATGAGTGGTCTGGTTCACGTGCAGTGTGTGTTGTGTTAGGAAGTGGAAAATGATTAATTATTTGTTTGTACTTGTACCTGTTTTATTATAATAACAGTTTATTAAGTTTATTAAATGTCTTTCTGCACCATTCCCTGTTAAACAGCCTGGTAAAGAGACACGGTATCTCTGGTTTGCAGGCCACTATTAGATGTTATGAGGCCGGATTTGACCCACAGGCTACTATTTGCCTAACACTGTACCAGGGTGCAAACTGCAGGGGAGCCAGGCGGAGCTTGGATCCGCTTAATAAGATATGATTTGTGAAGTTTTGGGGGGTCTCTAAAATATGCTATTTTTGCTATACGTTTCTATTGTTGTCATCTTCATCTTTGATTATGTAATTAACAGTGAGCTCCCCAAAAGCCATAGTATAGTTTGCACAGTGCACTGTACTAGGCTATGCAACGTTCAGCTGGCTCTGCTTTACACACCAGCCTGGCTCAACAAGGCAACATATCATATGTATGTACATAGCAGGATGATTTTGGGTCCCATCAGGTTCAGACAGAGAATCAAAGCTCTTCTTTACGGTAAAAAACACAAACGCCCCTATCTACAGCCAATGTTTGGCTTCTCTAGAAACATGGTGGTTCAACATAGTGGACCCAATGGATGGCGACCCACTACTTTTGTAGATAAAAACAGGTCATTCTAAGGTAACAAAGATAAAGATAAAGATAAATAAAGATAAAGATTCCTATATTCAGGTGATTATACACTAATCAAAAAACATACCTATGAATATTAAATTTCATTTCAGCCAATAGATCCTCCTAAATGTTACACACTGGACTTTTTAAAGTAACCCTCCCAACCCTGACTATAGGCCTTTGTAGGATACAAGATTTATTTACAATATATTATTTGACATAAAAATATGTCCTCAGTCAACTCATTTATTTAATTCTAATCAATATTGTAGTAGAATTCATTATTTTCAGATAAATAAATATATGTAAAATATATTGTTGTAAGGAAGGCCAGTCAGATCGTATTAGAAAAGACTAGAACACAGCCAAATGACCCTGGTTTTAGTTGTAATGAGGTGCCATCTATTTTATCTGTAATACAGGAATTAATGCGACACAGAATAATGGCCAAAGCCTCAAAGTATCCACGGCACCTGGTATGGAACCGCATTTGTTTTTGTTTACAGGCAGATAAAATGCAGACCAAATCAGCGCAGTGCAATCTCCGTACACTCTGGGAGTCCACTCAAAGCAGGCCGACTGACTGCGTTTGAAATTAAAGCAGAACATTCTGACAAGGTTGACTTGCTACTTTTGTTTGCTTCTTGCCGGCGAGCCAAGATGATGTATGAGACTCATACTGTGCAGACAGGCAGCTACAAATTTGCTTGGCTAGTTGACTGGTGGGAGGCTGGGTATATTGAGCTGGGGGTGGGTAGTGGGGTGGGTAGTGGAGTGGGGGGGTCTGAGTTGTCACATTAAAGCAACGCAGTGAAAGAAAGAGGAGCCTTTGTACCCACTTTGTCTTTTTTGAAGCTGTTGTTTACCAAAAGAGAAAACATTCTTCTGCTCCGATAATTTACATCTGAGCATACAAACCCAAAATGAAAATTGCACTTTGTGAAGCAGAATTAAACATTCTTCTCTTTGGCAAATGAAATTACTGTAGACTAGCTTCATATCTTTCCTTGTGCACATTTTGTAAGGTATAATTTGTTCATTTAGGTGAAATAGGTTACTTTCCGACTGATCAAAGCAGATATTTAATTATTCAGCTTGTGCAATCCTCCACATAATCAAAAAGTGTTCTGCTGCATTTGATCAGTCACATGGGAGACGTTTGATTAATGGAACTGATCTGACTTGGGAAAACAGGCCTCTCTGTGTTACCTCCCCCTTATTTCAACCTCTTCTCCCCTCCCTCCTCCCCTAGACTGAGCCTTGTTTTCTGCCTCCCCCTCCCCTTATCCCATGTAGAATGAATGGCACAGATGTTGTTGGACAAGACAGCACCCCTTGGTCCCCTTCCCCTCACTATTCGCTCAGCATGAGGTCTGAAACTTGTTTTTTGATCATTGTTTCTCCCTCCTCGGGGGGGAAAAAAGGACCCAAAGAGGAGGGAGATGGGGAGACCGAGAGCAGCCAAATCAAAGAGGGTGGGAAGAGGAGCACACAGCCATGTTGAAGGAATATGAAGAAAACACACTATTTCCAAATAACAAGTAGGACAGGTCACATGTTGAGTGTTTGGGGGGTGCCACAGTAGGGAGTTCACAGTGTATGGATGGTACGGTGGGGCTGCAGTAAAGGGTTCTTGCATCCAGGAAGCATTGACTGAAGATGCGGGTCAGTGCTTGGCTTCTCTGGACGTCCTGGTTCTACACCTGGGCAGAGTACCCGCACAGGTGCCAGTGCCAAGACATCTGTCCGACAGAGCTAGGACTGGACAAGGGCTCAAGTCGCCGGGTCAAGGAGCATGCTCGTCACAGACACCAGCACACGCCTCACAGGAGCAGGCCGCACCGCAGGAAAGGTGAGCCTTTAACCCACACTATGCTCTCCAGCTGCAACCTGCTGCAGGTCAGCTGAAGGTCTGTGCATAGAGACGCAGACTGCAGTGCAATAAAAGGCAGACTACTAATGCATCTCAGGAGCTAATATCAGCTGCTAAACTGAGTGATCATGACCATGTAGGAAATTATTTTAAAATATAAATGAATGATGATGATAATCTGAGAAAAGAATACAGGTTTTAACTCTTCTTTTTATACTGACTTTACTTCCTCTTTGTTTGGTGTCACAGACCCCACTGCTGCATATGTAAAAGTAATAATTATAATCAATAAATAAACAATAAATTAACAGTTTTTCCTCTCAAAATATGTATATATTTTCTCTCAGACAGACCCAAGATTTTGAAAAGTAGTGAAGTAGTAACTTTTCCACAAACTAAGCTTGCACACTGGATAAAAGTGGAAAAATACAATAATGACCATAAAAGAATCATTATTACACCAAATTAGGATATATTTCATGTTTTATATGTTATATGGGCTGTGCATTATCCAAATATGTTTTTCTTTTCCCTTTTGAAAGTTATTCATAGATAAAGAAATGTAGCTTGTCTTGTATATCTTTAAGGTGTTAAACAAACTCATACATCGGATCTGAGATTTGGGAGGGGTGCTGTGTAAAAAGTATTGTTAACATTGATCGTGGCTAGAGAACATATTGGATTATCACCTGTCGTATTCAACTATGTGTTCCAGCTGTACAACCCCAAACAGAGCTAATGTGACATCGTCTATAGCAGCTCCTTTAAACATGTCATCAGCTTAAACTCATGTTTACTGTGGCTCAGCTATCCCACTGCATTACCACTAATAGAGCCAAGTGTGGTGAGTGAGTGGCGGGGTGTTGGGACAGTAGCTGCTATTACGCACAAAAAAACACATCTTGGTTATGTTCATGAATTGTCACATATTCTATAGATATTCTGTTAAACATCTACAGACAAAGCAAATGCTACGGATACTGTATAAACCATCTGTAGGCGGTTTATCCAGATAATGTGTTACACACCTGTTTTGTATTGTCATTAGCTTTCTCATCTGTCAGAGCTGTTATGAACTGTAAACCTGTCAATGCTTAAAATAAAAAAACTACTGTAAAAATCATGCTTACAAGCAAATCTCATATAATTATATATATTACGATATGGATGGTTTTTCATCACAGCACAATAACAACATCTCACTTCATTTACTTACAGTTCAAAAAACATCACAAACATACTTTGACTTTAATAGAACATAAAGCCAATCAAACATTTAGCATAAGATTTAAAAGTAAATTATTATTAACCAATCAATTTATTGGCTATAATTTATTTATCAGAATAATGCATTTTAAATTTGTCATTATCAGCTCATAATTTATCGGCCCCGATAATCATTGTGCATCCCTAATAATTATTATGGATAAAGCAAGAAAAAGTTATTAAGTATCAAGGTGATAAAAACATTGTTTGTTGTATGTGCACCAAGTATGTTTTCACAACTTAGAAATAATACTCTGGCAGAGAAAGTGTTAAATACTATGAGAATCATTATCATGCTCTGTGTGTAAGATGAAAAAGTGTGATTTTTGTGTTGGTTTAATTAATGTGTAAGACATATAACAGTTTATTCTTCAGAGATGGATTATTCAACAAATTCTTTCAACTTGGGATAATTTACGCTGTAAAGTTAATTTAACTCAAAAAATTGTTGAAACTGACAACTTTTATTTAAATTTCAAGTAAAACTAACTCAATTTTGTAATTTAAAAAAACATTCTTAATCAAGTGGCTTTAGTAATTTTAAGTGACACTGACCTAATTTTGTCATTTTTATTTGTACTGTAAAAACAAAATACCAAGTAAAAAGTACTGAATCAGGAACAAATAAAGCTAATGTCACTTTAAATTACTGGTAAAAGCTGCTTAATCAAGAGTAATTTTAAACTCACACGATTGAGTTTGGGTTCCTTAAAATTTTGATCAGCATTTTTTTTAGTTAAATTAACTTATCTGGTTCTACAGTGTAGTTGTGATGGAATGCAGTTATAGTATTTCTAAAAGCAAAGACTTATACATATAGATAAACATTTTACTGTCATTCCAGCTCTTTAATTAGTTCAATTAGGTTGAGTCGTGAGAAATAGAGGTGGCGTGTAACAATCCTGCATCCATTTTTGTTTAAACTGGCTTAAAGCAGTCATTATAGCTGACAGTGATTGTTGATTCCTTTACAAAGCACACTTGAATTACACTCTGAATTTACTCTGAAGTCACTTTTTATCACATTCCTCACTGGAGCTGACACATTCTTTCTTTTTCTTATACCATCCCTCCCTCTAATGCCCGCTCCAATGCTTCTCCTGACCTTTGGTCTACGGCCTGAAAGAGGTTCCTTCCCTCGGCACATCTCAGCCCAGCGCCATTCCCATGGGTTGTGTTTAGCCGGGACTCATCCTTCATCCTCTCTAAACCTTTTGTTGCCGGCTGAAAGCTGGCCGATGCCGGGGCCATCAAGCCCAAGTTGTTGGATCAATATAAACATCCATCACTTAGCCCCGGGTCTTTCTGAGTCTCACAATGAACAGCTCACGAAACAATACTTTATTTATGTGAGCCATTGGGAGGAATGAACTAGCGGTAGTTCACTGATTTCTAGGTCGCACTCGCTTTGCCGTGATGGAACTTGGAAGTAACTCAGCATCTGGAGTGTTTTTTATCCTTCCAAAAGTTACATTTGAGCTAGATTGCATTGCTTTTTATACTTTATACCATCACATCAAAGTAAATCGAGTGGAACTTATTGCCTAAAGCCATGGGGTGCAGTGGTTCCCAACCTTTTTCCTTAAGGGAGCCCTTTTCTATCCTTGCGTAATGACTAAGTGACATATTTTATATTATATTTAATGCCTAACGATAACAGTAGAGAACAGCTGATAAACTACAATGAACCCAAACAGTGAACACAATAACTGCAGGAAGTCAGGGTAAAAAGTTTTATAATGTTTTTAACATTTAACATTTAACAAAATTCTCTGTCAGTATTAAGTATGTTTTTAATTTCTAACCATCATAAATACTTAATAGGCTTATTTTTTGTCAAATTCAGTGTTTTATTAGCTTTGGTTGTTTTAACTGTGTTCTTTTCTAAAGGGCCGATCACACAGAGACGCATTGCTATAGGCAGAGTGGGCTTTCATTAACTAACTAGCCAGCTAACCTATTTACCGGAACTGTGAATGCCATAAAAACAGGAAGGAAGTGGTAAAGTAATAAAGTCCACCTCTTGCTTGATTTGATTGGCTGTCTGGGCCAAGAGTGACACTGTTGAGCCGCATGACTCTGCACCTTGTGCTGAAAAGTTTAGAGTATTTTATTTTACTTGTCAAAAAATTGCAGCACATGCCAGGTGACATGTTTCTAGAGTTGTGTTGGGTTTTCAGTTTTTTGTAATAAAAAGAAAAGAAAATCTGCTGTATCATTCAGGTATTGTTAAAAAAAAAAAAAAAAAAAAAAACATAAGATAGAGGCCAGTAAACCATTGAAGTGCTTGGTGGACTGGTACAGATACATAATTTCCTTCTATTGTTTAGAATCAAGGGAGACTGAACTTCCTGCCTCCCAGCAGTGCTGATAGAGCTGCTGCCACAAACTGTCAAAATCAAACTAAAAAACCGCTAGGACAGGCCAACGGCTTGGACAACAGAAATTAATACAGCCACCACAGCCATTTGCTATTTAATAAGATCATTGTGAAAAACATAATATTTTGAGCCACACTCAGAATCTCCTGTCCTGTTGGGTTTCAGGGAAGGAAATTCTGCTAACTCAAAAGCAGATAAGTTTGCCATGGTCACTGGAAAGTATATAAGAAATACAAATATAAATGATATAATGTCAATCATTTCTCACCTTTATTTTCTTATATTGTGTTTTTAGCACATGATCATTACAGTGTTCAAGTGAGGACAGATGACCTGGGTCCTCAGAGCTATAGTGAAGAAAGTTACTTGTACAGTGAAATATTTTGCCTATAAAAATGGCAAATTTAAACACAGACGATTTAAAATATATACAATGATAAAGTCAATCAAAGTAGCCAGTATAGCAAAGGTAGTCCATATAATATCACAACCTGGTGCAAGTTATTTTAACCCAGAATCCTACTCCAATTTACACCACATTGATTGATTCTCTTTGCCTGGACCTTTGCATCCACCCACTCCACTGAGTTGACTGGAATTCTGTCTGATATCAGGCAATGATTCACTTACTTTCAACTTTCACACACTCATAACTTTCCCATTCTCTTTTTATAGAGACTCCTCCCTACAGTCACCTCCAGGCTGTTGTGGACTTTCCTCAGTAACATTTCAGTATATGTTTGAAAAAACTTAAAGGTGCCTGTGAACCAGGAAACTACTACACAGAAGTTTGTTTTTTCTGGGTTTTCATTTTTTATCCCTGATATCTCGGAAAGCAACCAAGCTGTATGGGATGTCACAGTTTACATACTATCTCTTAATAGATAGATGAAATGGAAAATAAATAAATGTTTAAATGTAATCTCCAAGCTTCCACATGTTCAAAATTGTAATGAAGACAGATTGTCTGTTGGCTGAGCGTCATACGTTTTACCACTGCGCCTGTCAAGTGTACTACAGAAAGCCTAGACCCATGCCGGAAGCTGGAGGTACTATTTTCAAATTAAAATCCAGAGACACCTTTGCAAAACAGAAATAAACAAACACAAATACTGTTATGGGTGCAATGTGACAAAACCATATTGAATGCTAGTCTAAAATCAAATTACTGCATTTGAATTGTAACCTACGCGTATGTTACCGCGTTACTTTTGTCGACATAGGTTATATTTTGAAAAGCCAACGGCCTGGAAGCGTAATGTCACTGCGTCGCCTTGACGTTGGTGCTGTCACTGAAATGAGGGTGGCGTTGATATTCATTACAGGACGGTGTTTTTCAAGAGAGGTTGGCAGTTAAATTCAAAACTAAACTACAAAATATTATTGTTAAAAACTAAAAGGAGGAGAAACTGCTTGTACATTCAGTTAAATTTCGCGTTATTTAGTAACTAACTTACGTAGTTAGCCTAAAAAGCTATTTGTCAGCAGCTTCGGAAGGTATCCATGACCGTTAACTCCGCTGGTAATGATGAGCAGAGGTGCTTTCAGGAACATGTTGTTATTTGGAGTTCTTCTGTCAGGTAAGTAACTAACGTTACATTCATGTGTTAACTTATACTCATACTTATAACCCTGAAACATTTCCAAAACTTCAAAATATCTTACAAACAATGATAACGTTAGATAGGTATAATAACGTTAGTCCTAACTTCGTTAGATTTATAACTTTGAATTAAAGACAGTTAAGACAGTTAACTTACTAAAGAGATGTTAAACATTAACGTTACATATTTATTATACTTAAGTAAAGTGTAAATTGTATTTATTGACTCCAATACACAGCCCCAGTGGTGATGGTATATTTACCATATTGTTAGCTATAATTTGTTTTTAAAGCCCAATTACTTCTAGAATATTAGACATTCATTTACACAGTACTAGCTACTGCTGATGGTTCTCTGTCTACAGCACCACATCATCATCTGCATTAAACCTGAAAGGTCCTGATCGGCCCTTAACTCAAACCATTCGTTTAGCCATAGCACCTGCTCATTCTCTACACTTATACACTATCTACAGTGATTGCAAACACCCAGTGGAAACTACAAACCTTGCAACATTAAAGGCAGTGACTGAACTTAGCACTTGTTGCTGCATGTATTTGAACACTTGCACTGTTTCTCCTGAATGTCCAGTTAAAAGAATGTTTTACTTCATTGAGTCCTATTGAGCGTCTGAATCCTGATATTTATTATTTTCTCGTTTCATTTTTGGTGTATAATATGTCAGAAAATAGTCCAGATTTTCCAGAGCCCAAGCTGACATTATACCACTGTGTTGTTTTATAGTCCAAAACCCAAAAGATATTCACAGATATTCACTTTACAAGACTGAAGCCAAGCAAATATTTACACTTGAGAATCTGCAACTTGTGAAATTTTGGAAAATAAATGATTAATTAGATAATTTGTTGGCTATTACTTTTCTCGTTGATCGACTAATTGATCGATCAATGCCCAACCTTTCAGTTGTGCTTCAGGTCTCTGTGCCAGCCTGTTGAGTCTGATGGTGTGTTGTGTTTGGTTGGAGCCTGCCTTGCTTTCCCACACATTTTTGAGTACTTGAAGACGGAGACCAGTAAATATTGTGACCCATGTTTTGACTGCGTCCTCTTTACTCAGTGACAATGAGGTTAAACTGACTATTGTTCGATCTAATTTGAAGGTATTTCCGGCTATAGTGAATGACTGAAGAGCTCGAGAAGTGCAACCCTTTCTTTGTTGATATGTGGGCAGATTAGGATTATATTTAATTCATGCGTGAAAAAATACAGCATTTCTCAGATGATGTTTTTCCAAACTTTTTGGCACCCTGTTTTATTCTAAGCCTTGGTTCTGAATTACATGTGTTTATGGGACAGGAAACATCTGTGAGGGTTCAACTAGTTCTCCCAAATCCTTTTAAGCCTGGTGGCCTGTTTAACGTGAAGTGATTGCAACTTCATTTGTAAAATGTTCTTTTTGTGTGTAAACCAACAAAAAGCCAAGTGTCTTTTGTTCTGTTGCGGATATGCTGTTGATGGGGGGAGTTCCAGTCTGCTTTTGTCAGTTGATGTTCCTGAGACCCTCGAGCTTCCTCTCCCGTCAGGAAGCTGATCGCAGTCTCCCCGCTTCCTTCAGTGTGGTCATCCAGCTCCATGGGAAGTTCAAACAATGGCATTCCACTGCTGCTGGATGCAAATAGACATTGTTTGTTGGAAGCAAGGCTTAAAGTTTGTTTGTCGTTGGAGTTCTGTTGCCAGTTAAATGAACTCAGAGGTGGTGATGCATAGTGCTGGGCGCTGCTGTTTGGGTGTGGCTCTTCTATACAGAGAAACATAGTATTTACATTGTAGGCTCTTATCTACAGAGGAATGAGCTGAAATTCACCTGAATCACCCTATAGTATATGGCAGGTACATTAAATACACTTTCTTCATCATCATGATCATACAATTTAGATTTGGAACCAATCTGATTCAGTATCCGCATCGAGTGCCGATACTGACGTAATTCACTTATTGGACTGATGTCAGACAATTCCATAGAAATTTCAGCCATCTGGGGCTTTTCTGGAATTAACTGACCGTGTAGCACCAAGATAAGGTTGCTTAATTCACTAGTTACTGACTGTTAAATAATTTGCCAAACTAATTCTATCAATTAAATGTTTTGAGCTGAAAAATCTCAAAATTCTCCAATTTCAGCTTCTCAAATGTCAATATTTTATGGTTTCTCCCTATGAAAACTGAATGTCTTTTAGTTGTGGACAAAACAAGACTTTTTTGTCATTGAGAGTTTTTATTTACTTTTTTCCTGCAGCATTACAATACAGAACACAAACAGAACAGAAAGGAGAACTGAAAACAAACACCACAGCACATACTGATCTCACAGCATCTCCTCCTCCACCAGCACACACACATACACATCCCACATGACATACATTAGGCTTTCTCTTACATATTGCTATCTAATCACCACCATTAATATATTAATAAAACTTAGCAAGCTTCCCCACATTTCAGTGAATTTCAGCTCAGAGACTTTCAGTTTGGCTATAGCATGAACTCATATGAGGCCGTAACAGTCATGAGTTCAACCCAATTCTGTTAACAAGGAGTGTTTGTATTTTCCCAGTTCCTTAGTTCAATCCTGGCTGCATTAAGGAAGCCTCCAAGAGCTAACCCAAACTGCACCTTTCTAAGTCCAGCTGGTAGAACAGATTCTGAGAAGAAGAAGAAACATAGCTTGAGTGGCAAGGCCTGATCCAATCACTCTTCAAGTGTTCTAACTACTCTGGTCCAAAATGGGGAGACCAGTGGACAGTCCCACATGAGGTGTAGAAAGCATTTCCAGCACCCATTGCTTTGAATTAAACCAAGCTGTTTAAGTCTGACTGGAATCCAATAACATCTATGAATTATAACTGTTTTGTAAATATACTCCTGCTGTCCCGAGCAGGCCAGCCCATGTTGTAGACAATATTCTTTATCAAGCTCAATGCCCTATGCCAATGGTCCCTATATGCATCCACACTGAACTTATGGGCTCACAATATTTCTGTGATAATCATAAGGCAGCTGTACTGTTTTGTAACTGCTTTTGTCAATGCTCTTTACAATCTCTACAAATCTCTGCATCCTCCTCAGGTTCCAGAGTCCGTGCAGAGGAGACGCCGCCCCGCATCGTCCACCACCCCACTGACGTGGTGGTGAAAGTCGGGAGTCCTGCCACGCTCTACTGCCGGGCGGATGGCGGCTCCAAGCTGACCTTCGAGTGGCTGCGAAATGGCCAGCCTCTGGAGATGGCAAAGGGAGATGGAGAGCTGCAGCCCATGGTTTTGCCAGAGGGGAGCCTCTTCTTCGTGAGTGTGGGAGGGGGCAGGCGAGGTCAGTCACACGAGGGTGTCTACGCCTGCGTGGCCAGGAACAGTGTGGGCAAGGCCACCAGCCGCAATGCGTCGCTGTATATCGCAGGTATGACTCAGGGATCCTACAGGAGTGTGTTTTACCACTGAAGACTTAGAAATGAACTGCTGATACCTCACCCCCATTAGTCTCAGTTTTACGTTGTTAAAGTTAATATAAGGCTGCATATAAATAGGATGTTGAGAAAGAATAAAGCAATTGTAATGCTGTGATGTTTGCTTGACTGAGCTAGGTTAGCAAGTTAAATGTATTTTTTTGAGTGATGCATCGGTCGGCCCATTATCTGGGCTGATGTCTGCGCTCACAAGGCCAACAAACAAAAAATGTGTAAGACACAGGCAGCCTTATCAGTGTGGCTGCTGTAGAATAATAATAGCGCTCCCCTTTGTGAGCGTTGGGAAGGGAGTGAAAGTCTTAGTTAAGTTTCTTTTTGACTTTATCTGACTAAATTCCACTTAATGTTTGGTCCCGGTTTCCTTTATATGGTTATCTGTTCCCAGAAGAGCACAACTGAGCACGTCAGCAAAGTAAAGAGATACACTCTGACCAAGTTATCTGACTGCTCTACTAATCCTTCTAGTTACTGTGTGCAGAAAGTGCTTTCTCTGCTGTGAGGGAAAGTCAACGTTTTCGTTTTTTTCCTCTGATGCTGTGCAGCCTTTCTGCTGTCGTTGAAGTCCTAAACCCTTTTAGAGGAGAGGGATGGGGAGACGAAGACACAGCCCACACACACGTGCAGAGGGCTGATGAAGATGTATGGTGACAGAGACAGAAGGGGTACAGGGGTCCAGTGTCAATGTTTGCTGGACAAGCAGGGGTCAAACAGCGGTGCTAATTGCCCTCGGACCCTCGCTGTTTACTTATGTTAATCCCAGCGAGGCGGTCGACATGCAGCAGCTGCTTGTCCTTGAGTCTTTACAGGACACTGAAAGCTGCACTGGACAAAAGTGCAATGAGGGAAAGGTTCAAATGAACTTTGACTGTGGAACAGAAAGAGACAGTTTTGTGGAAATCTTTGCTTAAAACTCCCCCGACAGCTCAGAGTACAGTATCCATGGCTGTTGATGGGACAGGACCATCTAACTCATTTAACATTGAGCTCTCTGGACTCTAACCCCGACTCTGTTGTTGTAGCGTTGCAGGAGGAGTTCAGTGTGCAGCCCAGTGATGTGGAGGTGGCAGAGGGGGATGTGGCTGTCTTAAACTGTGGCCCCCCAGTGGGACACCCTGAACCTAATGTCATGTGGAAGAAGGACGGCCTGCCTATCAACAACACTGATCACCACTACACTGTAAGCCCTCTGCCTCCGTGTGACTGAGATGGCAGTTTTACATGTAGATAGGTGCCCGAGTCACTTTAAAGAGAGTAGTCGGATCTAACAACATTTCCAACACTGCACAAGTCTGAACTGAATGTGGCAGTTTAATGTGAAGGTAGCAGCAGGGGGTAAAAAATGCACATTGTGTTTGCACTGGTAAGAGTACTGTAATGGATGTATCATTAATTATCCCCACTCATGGACACAGGTAAGAATAATTATTTTGATAAACCAGAAAACACTATAGGGCTTTTTACCCTGCACTAAGCCCAGAGCTAAAATTATGCTTAGAATCTTCTTAGCCCCAAGCTAAAGAGCTTTTCACATTGCATATTGTTAGCCCGGAGTATTGTAAGCCCTTGCTAAGGGAGCTGTTAGCCCCAGGCTATGGCTATATCCACTGCTATGTTTTTGTCTTAAAACGAAAACGATCTCATTCCAGATTAGCGTTTAGCACCGTTTCAGAAACAATCTTCGTCCATACCAACACGACTGAAAACACATATCACATGACCATTCACATGTCGCCTGAGAAAGATTTCTTACTGGCCCAATCCTGGTACAGTCTAACCCTGACTTTAGCCCAGGTCTTGCTGGCCCTGCTCCAGCAAGGTTAGCTCAGAGTTTAAAGGGTTATCCCTAGGGCTGCACAATTAATCGAAATCTCATGCAATATTGCAAAGTGCAATATCCAAATCACAAAAGCTAAAATTTTTTGATAAAGGTAAAATGTGACAAACAGCATTATAATGTACTGTAGTTCGGTACAGACCTCAAAAAATATCACACAAAAATTACATTTGTGATGCAGAAATGATAATTCTCTCTCTAATTGTGAATCATATAGCAAATACAATATGTGTCAAAATAATCACAATATGATGTTTTTACCATATCATGCAGCCCTAATTATCCCCTGAAAATCAATTAAACACGGTGCTTAAAGATCTGAGTGTGAAATATGAAGTAAACAGAATGTAAACATTTGTCAGCTGGGCCCCAGGCCTTGGGCTTAGGATAGCCCTGGGTTAAAAGTGTGTGTGTGAAAAGGAGCTTAATTATTCCAATGAATTTACTAGGAATATGCATGTGTGAAAAGTCCTTTTTAATGAGCCAATCTTATATTGTTGTAGAGATTCTACTCATTCTCAGCACTCCCTCTTCGCTATTTGAATCTATGCAAACTGCATGGAAGAATATTATGGGCAGTAGTATTCTCTAATACATGATGAAATTGTTCAGACATATTATTAGGGGACTCACTGTGAGAGGCAGCGATCAGTGTCTCTTGCTCTCAATTTCAACGGCAAAATATGTTTTAAAAATTCATCAGTGATGCCGAGAAAAGAGAAGACTTCCATCATAGTATTCCCTTTCATCAACTCACTGCTCCCCCTGTGCACCGGGAGCAGCAAATATCACCCAAGCATCATGTCCTCTTTTTGTGCATGTCCTGTAGTGTCTGAATGAAGCCATAAGGAACATTTATTTAACAGACTCCTCTGACTGAATGGCAAACAGACATTTTAGCAGAGAAATGAAGTTATGTTACACATTCCATGTCTGAAAAGAGCTTTAATATCTTCTGTTAGGAGTGTGGTAATGTTATGATAAATTCAAAAGTGAATTAAAAAAACCATGGCATCCAATCAGAAATTAGCACTAGACAAGCAGAGAAACTAAGTAAAGTAAAGAACTCTTCGTCTTTATTAAAGCATTATTTTTTTGTTGCAGTTTGATATTTTGTATTATCCAAATCCACCACAGAGCTGTTTGATATTTTGAGTGTATTTTAGAATTGTGTGGTAGACATGAGTTCATATTGAGCAGCAGTGGATCATATACATACTTAAAAATGTGGTTAAAGCCATGCACACATCATATGTTTGTCCTCACTGAACTGTGCATCCTGTGTGTGTCTGCACTGTGCTTGTGCCCTAGGAGCTGAGTGGGAAGCTTATCATTGCTCCTGCAGAGAAGAACCACTCTGGTGCTTATGTGTGTGTGGCCAGCAACACTATGGGAGTGAGAGAGAGCAGGGCGGCCCGGCTGTCTGTGCTGGGTGAGACAACATTCCCATGACTACTTCTTACTACTTTAACAGTATCAGGTTTGAATTAAGCCCCATGTTTAAATGCAATTTTACAATTTTTTCCTACACACTACACCCAGGTACCACACAGTATAATAAGTACTGAGTTCCTCTCTCTTCTACTGCAGCTAAACCTGTGTTGGTGCTGAAGCCAGAAAACGTGTCTGTGAGAATGGGGGAGTCTGCCCAGTTCTACTGCCAAGCTAAAGGTGACCCCCCACCGGCTGTGGTCTGGAGCAGAGAGCAGGGGCCTCTGCCCAACGGCAGGTACTTTATTATGGGAAGACAGTGAAATACAGACTTCATTCACTGATCAGTGTTGATTTATGAAATATATATCTGCATTAAATTACTTAATCAGGATTACTTAAGTGCAGGAAACAGGAAATATTTGTTTTACAGTGTTGCTACATGACTTCTCTTCCATTTCCTGTAAGAAATTTAACCTACAATAAAAATAAAGATTTAACTTCAGCTTTTCTGGTTTGACAGTTCTGACTAACTGCTAAAATGACAATCATCCCATTTCATATTGCGTTGCACACGTTTAAGGTATTTAACTTTAGCTTGCGGCTAAGCTGCCGGTATGTTTTCTCAGGGCTTATTTCCTTCCTGACTTAAATGAAAAATTCCATTATTATTAGAGATTCAAAGGCCAGTAAATGTGAAAATTTACTGTTCTGTATATGTGTATAGGTATCTTGTAAACCCAGACCAGACTCTCCAGATCCATTATGTAACAGCCCAGGATGCTGGGAAGTACACCTGCACTGCTGTCAATGATGCAGGTGTGGTCACTGCCAGCGCACAGCTGCTTGTTGAAGGTAAGTAAAAAGCAGGGGTTCCCAAAATGTCTCGCCTCTGTAAGTGCTGAGCTTACAGCCCATCTGTCTATATACTGGAAGATGAAGTTCAACAGGGGACTCTCATTTGTGTCTGCCCACAAATCATCACTCCCAACACACAAATAAGCCTTGGTATGAGTTAGAAAATGACAGACAGAGATCGAGAACCTGCTCCCACAGATTCCATGTACATGATAAAGGCTGAAAGGTTGCGATGAGACACTGGTTACTGATGGTGGGCTGCTACAGTACATACCTAAAAAATTATATTTGGGCTTTTTTCTGGACATCTACATAAATGGAACACCTTGAGAAAACACATATTACTTACAAGCTTATTTTCTTAGTTTTAAATATTTTGTGAGTAACATATATATGTTGGTTGTTTTTTGTTTTGTTTTGTTTTTTACGAAAAAATACATCTCAGATATAAATAAATTAAAGTTGTGTTTCCAGAGGCTGCCAGCACTAAACAGAAAGACCTCCACAAAGAGCTGTCAGCCCTGCGAGTTGCTCTAGAAAATGTCACCATTGTGGCCCCTGGGTCGAACATATCTCAAGTACAATGGAAGGTATGAGCAAAGTAATTCAGAAAGTTTCAGAGAAAGCATGAAATATTTCAGGTGAACGATCTATGTTGTGTTTTCTCTCTTACCAGCTCCAGTCCCTCCCAGCCCAGCCTCATTACCTCAATGGCTTCGAGGTTCTCTATCGCTCCCTGCTGCCTGCCAGCTCGGACTGGGCAGCGAAGAAGGTGTCGCTGCCCAGCTTCCAGACTCATGTGGGCCCCTTAAAGAGAGGCTACAAGTATGAGTTCAAAGTTCGTCCCTATGGTGGCAACTTGTACGGGAGGGAGAGCAACACCCGGCACCTCAGAGTCCCTGAGACGGGTGAGAACTGATTATCTGTGTATTTTCTTTTTCTTTTTAATACTTATATGTGTGTCACTGAACTTAAGCATACATTACAGCCATGTTTAGAAGATTATAGTAAATTTCACCCTCTTTTTACAGTGCCAAGTGCCTCCCCGCTGACTGTGTCCATAACAGTGAGCCACGAGCAGAATAACACCATCCATTTGAGCTGGGAGCCTCCTCCTCATGAAACCCACAATGGTATCATACAGGGTTACCAGGTAAAGACTTCTTCCTGACACTCACAGGTGTAGTGGTAGTGGTATTACTGTAGGTCCTCTGATCCCTCACAATATATATCCCGAATACGTACCTTTGTGCAAGGAGTACCTTAGACCATGAATGCAGTACTTTGATAAGCATTTGATAAAAGCAGCATCAACAATCCTAGCTCTCTTAAGGATGCAAACTGTTCTTCCAGGTGTGGTGTGTGGAGTCTGAGGAGCACCAGTACCAGAACTGGACAGTGGATAGTGGCCAACACAACCTCGACATCTCTGCCCTCAAACCAGGGAAACGATATTGGATCACCGTAGCAGCCATAAATGGAGCTGGAGTAGGAGTGCTGAGTGACCCCCATGGATTTGTCATCAGTGAGCAAAAGAGCACTTTGATTTTTGCATCAGGACAGTGCACAGATCAAATTCAGTCTGTGTCTTCAGTGTGTAAAGAAGAGAAGTTACCATGACTTCATTTCTGATTTCATCTGTTTTCTATTCATTTCTTCAGACCCACAAATAGGCGTTCCCCCAGAATCAGACAGCCAAAGACGGGGTCTGTCCCAGGTCCTTGCCCTGCTTCAGGACCCAGTGTTTATCGGCAGCATTGGTGCCCTCTTGTGGTGCGGTTTGATAGTTGCAGCTGTCTGCCTCTTCAGACGCCACAGCAGGACAGGCCACCTGATACCAGGACATGGCAGGGCTAAAGGTCTGTCTCCAGACAGGTTCAGATTAAAACTGAATCTCAGTTACACCCGCATGACTCCAAGTCTGTGGTTAAGTCATTTCAAAATAAGAGCGGTCCTGTATAATTCTGTTGATGCTTTTTCTTTAGGTTTGCACAGACTAGCCAGTGAAGATCTCATCATAAAACACAGGTAAAGTGTAGATAATGGTGGAGAGAGTCTGGTGTTTCCTAATATGGTGTAATGTATAGACGTATGAATAAATCCACTGATATAGCTAAATCTGGTTTTATGATACTTGATGTGTGAACCTGAGATTCATGTGAAGTACAGTAGAAGTAGTTCTAGTTGTAGCAGTCTTTACAGTTCAGTAATTCAAATGTAATAGTTCTACTCGTAAATACTTTCACTGGAGATAGTACTAAAGCATTAAAAAACATATCCATTACTTTTACTTTAAGTGTCATGTGCTGCTTCCTCTACAGGATGGCAGCTCCAGACTCCCCGTGGATGTCCGGAGGGTGGAGGCCTGCCTTCAGCCAGAAGTATCAGGACTTATGGGCCCAAGGTCAGAAACATCCAGGGATCAGGAGCACCAGTGAGTACTGACTGCAAATTGGCACAGATGACAGAGTATTAACCTGACTAATTTCTGCCTAAATTGGTGGTCTCACACTTCATACACATGATAAACTGGATATAAATGCTAGTCTAACCAACTGAGGATAAAAGGAATAACTACTAATAGATTAATAGAGTTAAACATTGATTGAAGGCTCCTCGGGGCTTTCAAGCCTAACCTGTATGGTTTGGTGCAGATCAGCTCTGATGTGTTTACCTGTTTAGTTTGGTTGGTTTGGCCTGGTGTGATAGCTGTCAATCAAAGTCTTGTGCGAACAGAATAACCAGACTAAGATTGAAAAGGAAGGTGTCAGACTCTGATGGGGTGTGTTTGTGATGGTAGATATATGATTTTTGTATGAATTCAAAAGCTTAACTACTATTAAATCCATCCTCTGATCGTTTGGTAACCATGGTAACATCTATGCATATGAGCTCCTGAGTTAATATTCCCTGATCAGAAAGTTAAAAGTTAAAACAGAGCTGACTTATTAAAAGTGAGTGAACAAAAGGCTTCCTTTTTCGTCCCATTTCTAACTGTTCATCAATGTGTTTTGGGTGATTGGATTGCAGTCGGATTGTGCTTGACCACATGAAAGTACGGGTGTAAATGCCCCCAAGATGGAGGACAGATTTGTGTTATAGTCAGCTAAACCATCTCCACCCAGCATTTGTTTTTAGCTGACATAAAATATAGGTTGTTGTTCAAATTTACACAGCAGGCAAGCAAGAAGGCTGAAAGAGACACACCTCTATTTGCTGATTATACGCCTATTCTGTTCCATCGAAGCACCAAAATGTGTTTTTTTTCAATAGAATATCTCAAAGGCGAGATTGGATCATTTATTATCCAGATAACATGCCAGAATACAGAACCCAGGGGTAAATGGGGTGCATGTGACCCCAAAGAACATAAATAAACACATCGGGTTCAGTAATGTGCTGTATGAATAGCTTTCTGTCTCCAGAATTTGATTTGTCCATGTGAGCTCATATAGAGCCAATGATGTAGGATGACCTCATCAAAACTGCCAATCAATGAGTCACCTGTCAGTTTGTATGACCTCATGCTCTTGATTTGCTTGTAATAAGCCAGAGAGACCAGAACTAAAAGGTAACAATAGATGGGTGTTTTTCCTCAATCCAGACCAAATGAACTGCACAAGAGGTGTGACAGATTACCTCCTTACAGTATTTCATATCTGATGAAGCCTCTCACAGTTGTGACCAAAATTATTAGCCCCCCTTATGAAATTAGACAAAACTCTTGATTTCTCCATGGAAATGGAGAAACAAACACGTGTTTGTTATTTTGGAAAACAAATACACTACAAAGACAAAAGTTTATAAGTTTAAAAAGGATATTTTATTGATACAATGAGTTAAAACAAAAATGGGCAAAAATGAGAAATCCAAAATTATTAGCCCCCTGGCCATTAATAGTCAATAGTGTACCCTTTCTGAGCCACAACTGACAACAACCTCTTAGAATAGTTCTTTACTAGGTTGGCACAGGTCTCCTGAGGGATTTTGGCCCATTCTTCCATTGCAAATTGTTCCAGCTGGTCCAAATTGCGTGGTTTCCGAGCATGGACATTTACTTTGAGCACCCACCACAGATTCTCAATAGGATTGAGGTCTGGGCTCTGTGCGGGCCACTCCAGAACCTTGGTTTTGGTATCCTTCAGGAACTGTTGGACCAATTTCGATGTGTGCTTTGGGTCATTGTCTTGTTGGAAGACCCAGCGACGACCTAAGGATAGACTACGAGCAGATTTCTGCATATTATCCCTCAAAATGTCAACATAATTTTCTTTTTTCATGATACCATGCACCCGAGCAAGGCTCCCTGTGCCTGAGGCTGCAAAACAGCCCCACAGCATGATGTTCCCACCACCATGTTTAACTGTGGGAACTGTGTTCTTAGGGTTCAAGGCCTCTCCCTTCAATCAGACCAAAGCACAGACTTCCAAAACTCATCTTTACCTTTCAAATGTTCACGGGCAAACCTCAGTCTGGCTTTGATGTGCCGCTCTTTGAGTAAAGGGGTTCTTCTTGGACGATGGCCCTGAAACCCACCACGATGGAGAGCCCTCACAACTGTGCTCCTTGAAACATCAACTCCAGAAGAGGCCAGCAACAATCATCTTGGCAGATGTCCTGGGATTCTTGCTGACATCTCTGACAATTTTCCTCTGTAGAGTTCTTGAAATCTTGAGCTTACGACCACGCCCAGGTTTGTTTCTTACAGAATTTGTCTCCTTGTACTTGGCAATGATGCAACGTACAGCAGTTCTAGACACTGTGAAATGCTTGGAAATGGCAGTATAGCCTTCCCCCTTATCATAAGCCTCCACTATCTTTTTTCTGAGCTCAAGACTGATTTCCTTTGTCTTTGGCATGGTGAGTAAAAGTAGTCCCTCTCAATAATATGTTCAAGTGCCCTGTTCCTTGGAGTCCTTTTATCCTGATTGACTGTTCAGGTGTTGTTAGGAAGCCAATTTTTCTGTATATTTGATATAAAGCAAGCCTAAAATATTCCAAAATGTACCAAAAGCTACTAAAAAGCACTGGTGAATGTTTGATTATATCGAGTTTTATCAATGCTGCAAACATTGGGAAGAATTTTAGGAAAATGTTCCATAATTCCTGGGGGGCTAATAATTTTGGTCACAACTGTACCTCTGACTAACTACTTGTAGTTGTAGTAAGTAAACCTCATTACCATATATATGCTTTGGAGTGTCTATACATATTGGTCTATGTTTCATTAGGCCTCCCAGTGTCATCCAAGATGGATCCCTGTTGCCTGGACTCAGCCGTGCCCATTGTGACCGACAGCTGTGGCGTCTACGGCACTTTTTACGTGGACCTGATGGGTAATGGCCTCAAGACCTTTAACAGTCCTGGGCGTTGCCCTAAAATGCCTCACGGCTTGCTCCAGCAGCAAGGAACTGAGACCATCCAGATATTTTCTCAGCCTATTGCAAAGTCCTCGTCCCTTGGTAGCCAGGAGGCGCTGCATTGGAAACAGGCCATACGCCCCCAGCCCAAGATGGGTGTGCTGAGGGAGTCATGGGAAAAGAACCACAGCAAGCAAGGTGAATAGTGGTGGATAGTTGGGGATGTGATGTTAACACCCCTACTACAGTTTATCTTCATAGTCCTACTTCTTTGTTTGTATCTGCATGTCATGTTAACTTCTGATGTATTACTTCAGCATATAGTAAAATGATGAATACAAACAGTAATATGGCTTTGGTTAGAATATTTTACAGTGTATCTAACCTGCCTGTTAGCGGCAGGACTCCCTTCAGTGCAAGCTTTTGTGAGAGAAAAGCATGGTTTTTGACCAAGATAAAGCAGCGTCATGGCATGATTGATGACCTCTTGTGGTATGTTCTTGAAATAATGATAAAAGAAAACCAAGTCAAGAATACATATTTGTCTGAGATAATGGAGAAGGAGAACACACTGAGAGTGACCGTAGGGAGATGATTGAGAACTTTGTATTACATTTGAGAATTTTTTATATTTAACACATTTTTTTTATTTTTTATTGTTTGGATCCAATGTTTTATCTTTTTAACTATCAACATAGAATATTGGGTAATGTGTAACTCATTGGTTTGCCCCCAGAGTTGCATGCAGTGAACAGCGTCCCCATAGTGCCAACCAGGAACCAGGCTTGTCCATCCAGTATCTACAAACAGAGACTCAGTCACATACCATCAGGCCGGCATGGTACGACAGAATCTCTACATTGTCGCACCACTGGGAGTGAGTGGGAGACAATGGCAGACATTACACAGTTTTACACACTAGAAACTGTACTATAATCTTGTGATTTGAAATTACGCTTATAGTATAATTGGTTACTGGTAATTACTCAGTATGTATTGTTTTGTTTGGTCCAGGTGGACTTCCAGAGTGTAGTAAAGTTGCTGGCTGTCCTCGCCTGCTGCATTACTCTGCATCGTTACACCTAGTGGACATGCTGCCTCCACCCCCACCAATACCCATAGAAGACACCACGGACACACACAGCTTCACCTCAGATGAAGGGTAAGAGACACACACACACACAGCTCAAGCTGGGTGGTGGAGGGTGTAAAAGGAGCACCAGTAACTGTCTAGCAACCACAGGCGCTATCTTGCAGGTCCCATGAAGAAGGAGTTTAATGGAAGATAACAGACAGCAGGGCAAATCAGATTTATTAGTGCTGAACTGTCATACCTATTAATGTCTGTGGAGGACACTGTGTTGGACTTTTAGATAGACACTGCTCCCTAAGGATCTCCAATGTGCTTGCTAGTGTTACATGTCTTACAGAACTTTCATATATGCAGTAGCCCATACTTTATGTTCACACGCTTAGCTCCATACAGTCAGGAATAAAAAGTTGACGTTTCAAAAATGAAGCTTTCCTGCAGTACATCCTGTCATGTTGGAGTCCTCCTAATGCCTCATTCATTGCTCCGACATGACCTAAATTTCCTTCCTTTGAGTATGTTTTGTCCGGTTGAGAGGCCCAAGAAATGGCCACACTTGTAAAAAAAAAAAATGATACAGATCTTTTTTGCAGACAAACGTATCTGTGAGTTAAAAACACAGGAAGCAAGGCTAGTTTCTGTTTCCCAACACAGGAAAATGTAGATTTTCAAATATATAGACTGGAGATAGATGACCTGGAAGTCTGTTGTGTCTCAGTACCAACTGTTAAAACCAGAAACTGCTAAGAGGTTGTCAGGAAGTCCAAGTATACGATGGCAGAAGAGCATTGTGTGTGGGTGGTCAGTTAGCTCAGTCGGTAGAGCTGGCGACCCATGTACGGAGTCGCTGCAGCGGCCCAGGGTTTGAATCCAACTTGTGGCTCTTTAATAATCCCTTTACACGCTGAAAAAATACTAAATTTGCTTAGTCCATTCCAAGCCACAGATTGGAGTCAACTGAACCAAGCCGAGAAGTATTTATATTCACATAAAGAAAGTGGAATTTATAAACCACTGCAATAAATTGTATGTTGTGTTCAACTTTGAAGCGGATTAACTTTTTTTAATTAAAGTTATTGTTGATCCCAACAGTTCAGCAGTTCAGCTGCCCAATGCAGAATTCATCCATCCATAAACTTGATATGCATAGAAAGCCACTAAGCATATTTCCAAAATGTCACACCATGCCAGTGTGTCAGCATAGCAGGGGACACATTAATGATTCATTCAGTCAGTCATTTAAAAGGAAGCGGGCCAAACAAAGTAGACCGACAAACAAGTCTCACATGTCTATCTCTTATCTCTCGCATATTCCTCAGCTCCAGTCGTTCTACAAAGCTAACAGTGGACATGGGCTCCCTCCAGTCAGTGTGTGCTGCATCAGGCCACCGTGGGCCACCAGGACCCACCAACAACAACAGCTGCTCCACCTACAGCCACCTGTCTACAGCATCATATTCCATGTCAATGGATGACGAACAGGGTGGCACACTGACAGCAGAGGAAGCCACCCAGTATCTGGAGCTCAGCCCTAAACCTGAGAGATACAGGTAAAGATACAGAGGGAGAGAGATACAGACTCACTTGGCCCAGGTTGTCTGGCTAAGATTGTAGCACATGTTTTTGTATATATTAATACAACTTAGGGTTTTTGTTTTTCCCTGCCAGCTTTAGTTTGTTGTATATGTTATCTGACCGTGCCATCGCTCTCTGTCAGCAGTGCCCTGCCTGAGCCACGTCCCTCCCTGACCCACTCCTTCTCCCCCAGCCTGGGCTACATCTGTGGGCCAGTCCGCTCTGCTCAGCTGGAGGATGACCCTGCCACCGATGAGCCCGAGGCACCCCCGATTGGCCTGCGACGTGCCCGCCTCCAGAGCACGCCTTCTTCCTGCTACAGTGAGTGGGACAGCTCACTGTGGAACACCTGGAGCTCAGTCACAGACGGCAACATGGCCAGCGCGCGCACCAGCCTCATCAGCTCGGTGGACAGCTGCTACACTAACGACAGCACCAACTTCGCCCGCTTGCTTGCTGTGGCAGCGGAGACCATGAGTGGAGCCTCCTTGTCAGGTAAGCAGAGGAGTAAATGAGATGTGACCTTTCCCAAATCTTAAGTAAGTCAGTAAAATCTAGAAAAAAAGATCTGCTAGCTCCTTTCCTTCCAGCAAATTTAAAAATACAGCAGAGAAAATCACATAGGGGGCTAACCAAGCTAACCAGCCATAAGCAGCTGCTGTCAGACAGAAACTGCAGTATGTGTGTCCATTGTAATGAAGGAACATGTTACCCAGTGTAACCGTGTGGCTCATTCGTGTGTTTTTAATAGTTTTGGAGATCTATGGCACAGAGGAATAACTGTATCAGGCTTTGTATTTGTTGTAGAATATGTATTCTCTGTTTACACTCTATGCATGTCCTGAATTTTCTAAGTGGTTGTTGTCCTGAGACCAACATTTTGTATGATAACCCTGGCACAACAACCGCCTTGGGGCCAAAACTCACCGCTGACCCAGTCAGTCGCCGAAGCATTGCAGTGCGTCAATCTCCCAGAGCTGCTCAGGCTTGTGGCAACAGCAGATCTGCATGATGACAATTAATCCTCTGCTATTACTGCCCAATGCTGGTACACATTTACAACAGCAGGTGGCAGAGTTGTCCCACTCAGCAGAATGTAACCTGAACCTCAAATGTGAAGGACAACTGTTTTTTTACTAAAATGTATCATACTATATAAAATGTCTCCATAGGACATTAGCTTAAAATCAGGTGTTGACATTATTTTATTCTAAAGCTATGACTTGCAAAGCAATGTCTTTCATTATGATGATGATATGAAAATGCATGTATGCTTATTATGAAAGCAAGATAACATTAGCCTGCACAGGTGTACTAAGAGTTAGCCAGGTTGCTCAATGGTTGCGCAACATTTTAGCATGTATTATATGGGCCTTTTTTGTTGCACAGATATCAGGCAGGCATCTCTATGATGACATCACAAACGTTGATTGGCTGAGGCCAACAACAAATATTCCTTACAGCACCTTTAATCATCTTGTGAGCCCTTAGTATTGTCTTGCAGTGGTTTGGAATCACCACTTTTATTGAGAATAATAATTGACAAGAATGGCTAGTGGCATATATCCTCAGACAGTGCACCATGGCCTCTTATATTTTATTGTATTCTTCCACTAGAGGGGGCCCTCCACTTATGTATGATCCCATCTAGTAACGGGGCCCTGTAGGCAGACTAATGGTTAAAGGAAATCTGTCAAGCACAACTACAAACATTGTATAAGTTGGTTTAAAAAAAAAAAAAAAGATTCCATATAAGAAAAAAAAACTTTTTGGAGGTTTGTACTGATCTCTAGCATGTGTGTGTGTGTGCTCACATAAGAGTGTGTGCACATACATGTCTGAGTAGGTTTTCCGCCAGTCTGCGTCAGTGGTTGTGCATGTGTCTGTTGGTATAAGAGACAAAGTCATTAAGTCTAATATCTAATGTGGGACCAGGCAATTACTTAGGACCTTTCAGCAAATTGAACCTCCAGATGAGTCATTCTACCCTCCTGTGTCACCTCATCAGTCACTCTGCTCTCCCTCTGCAGGCACCATTCAGCTTTATTCCATTTGCCAAACTCTCACTTTTGGCTGTTTTCTGCCTCAGCTATTTTTCACACATACGGCAGTGCAATGTGCAAAAAATACCCCTAAGTGTTTTTCTCTGCAGTTGATAATGCTTTCTCACAGTGGCTTATGTTAAAGTTTTATAATATGAATCCAAAGCCCCAGAACTCCTTACCCATTAATGGGAACCTGCAGACCCAGAGCTGTGGTCATTTTTCAGCTCTAAAGGTCCTGTGTGTAACATTCAGGAGGATCTATCTATCTATCATAATGTTCAAAGGTATGTTTATATCAGTAATCACCTGAAAATAAGAATCATTGTGTTTTCATTACCTTACAATGAGCTGTATTAATCTAGTCCGCCATGTTTCTACAGTGTTTCTACAGAACGGACAAACCAAACACTGGCGTTTCTCTTTTGCGGCCACTGTAATTACTCCTAAAAAAGGCCCTATCTAGAGCCAGTGTTTGGTTTGTCCATTCTTGGCTACTGTAGAAACATGGCGGTTCAACATGGCAGACTCCCACTCCCTCTGTAGATAAAAACGGCTCATTCTAAGGTAACAAAAACACATCATACATTAATGAATACCTGTATGCCTGTATTACATTCCATTTCTGCCAATAGAGCCTCCTAAATGTTACACACTGGACCTTTAAGAACATCTTGTGTACCTAGATGAGAGCTCTGATATAACCGTCCACACTGAGGTGAAGTGTGCTGGCTTTAAGGATAAAAACAGTGCAGACTAATCATATGAAAACAGTGGAGCAGCAGGCTTGTTTCAGACTGGGACGCAATGTAAACACTCTCACATTAACTGGCAGGGCCTCTATAGCTTGAACCCTTCAGCTCGGAAAAATACTATTATTATTCCTGGACAGCAACACTTTGTGAGGTTTCTAAAATGTGCCAGTGGCTTTAGAATGTAGAACGTGGCTGATGTGAATTGGCAATGTTTGTTTTGGTTTTTTTATATCCAGTGACAGACAGCTGCTTCAAAGAAGCTTCTAAATTTGCTTTTCCCCCAGAGAATCGGCGTGAAAGGTGCTCCTCGGAGGTCTCGAAATGTTTACTCGTTCTGTTACCTTCTCCTTTCTGTTTTCATATAATCCCTCCACTCCATATTGAAATGCATGTCAACATGTCGTCCTCTTCTGTGTTTAGACTTCTCTCCGCCAGCCTCCCCCCTCAGCGCCTTGTATCCGTCGTTTGGCGCAGGAGGGGACTCGTTCGGGGACTTGGAGCCGGTTCCCTCGTGGGACTGGAGCATGGCCTGGATGGAGGAAATGGAGGCTCAGTACAGAGCGCACTATCCTGGCAGAAACAGCAGACCCTTTGACACTTAGGGACTCTGCCAGAAGAGTAAAAGAGAGCTTGAGAAACAGCCCGCAGCAATGCCAGAACTGCAGGACAAGAAGAGGGGACAGACATGGCGCTTTCATGTCCTTGAGAGTGCTAGAAACTGTTTTGAGGCCTGAATAATTCAAGGTTCAACGCATCCCAGTAAAGAATAGATAAATATCTGGATTTTAAATAGAACTGGAACCGACTCCTTGATGTTTGGGACACCTCTGCTCGTACATTCACGACCGTTTGTCCGCAATAGTTTTCCCAGTTGACCTCAGGGCGGCCCAACTACTATTCTGCATCCTTCAAATGACTTCCATCGAGTTTCTACATTTTCTTTTCCCTCTCAGTATCTTTTCCTCTCATTAAAGAATAGGATAATGAGACACTTCCCTCGGGGCGTTCTCACCCAGTGTGTTTTGAAAAGGACAGAAAGACACAAAGACAGGATGCAAGACAGTGAGAAAGCATTCATTACAGCACGCAGAAGAAACACGCTGCTGGAGTTTTCCTCACAGAACACATTTGGTTCTTATTTTAATGTTTGTCGCAGGATTTTATGAAGTCCTACCAAAATAGTGGTTTTGTACTGATCAAGTGTATATATGCAGCATATTCAACAAATGTTATTTAAAGAATTTTGAACACATTCCAAATCATTTTCTGTCTTCCCGTTTATCTCGATGATTTCTTTGACATTCTGGGATTTATTTTATATTTTTGTCTTTGTCTTTATACACCCTGTCCACTTCTCTAGCATTCTGTAGCTCAGAATAGCAAAAGTAGAAAAGGTTCTTTTTAAAAAGTAAATTGAATTAACATGTTTTACTTTTAAATAACTTGAATTTAAAAAAGTAAAAGTAAAAGTGTGGTATGCATTAGTCTTTGCATGCTTGATAGGTTTTTATATATAAATTCACTAATTGTAGTAGAATTAAAGTATTACATTTCGTAAGCATTTTATTTTGTTGGCGTCCAATTACAGATGTGTTTTATAGTTTTGAATAAAATCTTGATTGAAATCAAGTTTTGCATTTTACAAGGACTTTACATTTGGAATGTGTCCTAGCTGAGCTGAAATAAAAGCTCCTGCCAACTTACATTTTGTACACAACAGTTTTCTGAATTTATTTTGTGACACTGATAGTAAAAAGAAAAAAAACTCCCCACTTGTTGTCCTTGATGTTATTTCCCCAAATTAAATAATATACACACTTCAAATGACAGTGGGGCTGCATTTTATTTTGAAACAGGATGTATTTGCAGTTTGGTAGAGGGCTGTTTCAGTCTGCCAAGCCTCTGTGGATGAAGGGAAGTATCTTCACATTACACACTGTCCCTCTGAGGCCTGTGGGCATGATTTGAATGGTTCTTAATGGCTATGTAGGGCACGAAGGTGATGTTTAGAACTCATCTGTTTGGCTTGATTAACCAAGGCAAACCCTGCTGCAGCACCTGATAATGGCTTCTAATTACAAACCAGTGGAGGGAATAATTAAACCTCAGTCTATGTTTGTGTTTATACAGAAACAGGAAAAGTGTCATTTTTAACTAACTAAACTAAACCAAAGAAAAAGGAAATTTCATGTTGTTCCTCCCTGTTTAAAGCAAATTATCTGCACATACTTCTGACTTGTTCCAGTCAATAAGTCATTAAGGAGGAAGAGCTGTGAGGGCCGGCGGATACTACTACAGTAAATCTAATATGATTTCCTCAGTGACATTGTCGTGTGGCTGCAAAGCACAACAAGCTCTTTTTCAAAGTAATCCGTGTCTTATATCTGGGCTGCCAGGGTCAAATGTTGAGTTAAGAAGTGCTTTGCTGTCTGTTTCATTTATAAGCTGCACAGGAGCTGCCGTGCCAGCATCACAATTTATGTGTGGAGTATTTAAAAACCAAAACAGGTCCATAATTACCACAGTTGAGAAAACACGCAGGGATGTGAGGCGCAGGGGTCATTTATTTTTTCTTTTCAAAAGAGAAGCAGGCTTTGTTTCTACTTTTTAATTTCATTTTGAAGTCTGTCTGATTCTCAGATAAAGTCAAGCAGACCTGCAATCAGGACTGAAGTCAAAGCAGGCTAAAGACACAAATAATTAACTCAAAACTTCTTTTAGCACGAAACTCAAGCTGTGTTAAACTGTTGTGTCACATTTACAGTCTATATGCAATGCAGCAAGTACTGGATTATGTGTGTGTGTGTGTGTGTGTGTGTGTGTTGTGTGTGTGTCTGTCTGTCTGTCTGTCTGTCTGTCTGTCTGTCTGTCTGTCTGTCTCTGTGTGTGTACTGGACTGCCAAAGGGATTATCCTTCATCTGTCTCCTTCACTAAGGGCCATATGTTTCTACATGAAGCCCCCAGCTCCACTGAGCAGCGCACACACTCTCTCTCTCTCTCACACACACACACACACACACACACACACTGACTGGACCACACACTATGAGGCTCACATAGTAATGAGTCAAATACTACTGTATGTTTTGTCTTATTAGTTCATATGCACTCTCACACACATTCACACACGCTGCCCTTGGGATTTGTGCCTCACAGATTTTGATCTATGCCAAAATACCAGCTTTATTATATAGCATGTCAGCAAGCAATGACCCATATTGGATATGGCCTGGAACCATGCACAAACTGCATACCGCATACACACACACATACACATACACATGTAGATTTACTGCATATCTTTCCTGCAGTCTGTTATTTTACCAAATGGATGATTACCATTCTAAGACCAGACATAACAATATGGGCAGCAGTGTGTGAGTGAGACCAACTTCAGGATCATGAAACTAGACCCCTTTTAGCACTTTATATAACATTTTTGTGCAGCTTGTGTTAAATCGTTTTGCAGTTTTACAGGATTACATCCCCCAGGTTGTCAAACCCCCAGCCATTCACCTCCGTCCAATTACTTTATCGGCAACGCTATTTATACAATACGATGGAACTCTATTGATCTGTGGGGAAATGAGGTTAGTTTTGCAGCCACAAAAGTGATTCAACAGGGAATCAAAGCAAATAGAATAAGAACACAAACTGAATATAAATAGCTACAGAGACAATATTGATGAAGCAGTTAGCCAAATATATATTTTCAAGATCAGAGCAAAAAACTGTGTACATTACATTCACAGAATATTGATCTGATAACTTGAAATAGCACACACTACAGTTAATACAAGCAGCACCTCTACAGTCAACTGGCCCTGTGCAACAGTCTCAGTGTGTGTGGTTTCAACTATCATGCAGGCAGCAGTTCAGGTCAGATTGACAGCAGTGGTGTTGCATGCTAAAGTGGTAATCATTCAATTAACTGGAAATCAATGGCACCCATAAGGGTGATCTGTTTCAATATTGGCCTGTCAGTCACACAGGGCCAGCTGACTGCTTCAACACACACGCAAGTGACTTGCACATTAGCACATTTATTGGGAGACGGCTGGGACCACTGGTCAACTCGCCCACTATGGTGAGTATGGACACCAGATTTATGCATTATGTCCCTGTTCAATTAGCATCTTGTTTGAGCCTGTACTGTCACTGTCCTGTGGAAAACATCTCTCAAAATATCTCCGGAATATTCCCAAATGCTCCAAACTTTTCAAGATTAACCTTAGCAACAGTGATCTCGCCCCCCCCAGAGATTCTATGAAATGGCCTAGTGCCCCTAATGGTATTTGCAAGAATCCACTGCAGCTGAACGAAAACAACCAATCAGAGCCGAGAAAGATACAAAGACTCTTTGGACTCAAGGCTTAAAGATAGTTGATTGTTTAGTCTCTGTTTTCGTCCAGGCCCAATGAATTCTCAAAAATGCTGTTAAAGAGCCAGAGGAACCAGATTTTTTCCACAGTTTATCTGTGTATATATGTTCTACTGTCAGGATATAGAGAATGTTTCAGCAAATATGACAAAAAGTTATTTTTTTTTAACACTTATTGAATCTAGTTGGTTTAATAATAATATTTTAAAAATACATGTTAATACAAAATAGGAGGCTGAAATATTCATAATTTTATAACATCACTTAAATGTTGAATGTTCTGTTACCCTAGGAGCCACTAAATCATTTACCTACATCCACTGACCCTGCTGCCTACATAATGGCTTCATTCTAGCTTCTCTATGTATGCATCACATCAGCCAAAAAGTCACAAACATCCATCTCCACTGTCACAGGGCAAATTAACATGGAAATTGGTGTGTTGCATTTTGGAATGAGGGAACAGGGCTCTAAATGACGCCTTCCCCTCCCTTTCATCCTTCCTTTTCTGTCTCTGTCTCCTGTCTCTCCTCTCAGGCCGTCGGCCCTTTCCTGCGGACCCGGTGGGCGTTTAGGCACTGACACTGCCCTAATGAATGAGCGAGATGATTTATAGCTGAGGGAGAGGGAAGAGAAGGGAGGGACGGAGGGATGGAGGCAAGTCGAGGGGGGCACAGAAAGGGTAAGGGGTGTTGGGTCACGCCGTAGAAGGTCAGGAACGTAAATCTTCTCATTGTGTTTATCTGTTGTCCACCCTGCTAACATAATATGCATTATAATCTCTGCGAGGACATGTAAGGACACGGGACTTCCTTGTCTAGACAGTATGAGGGAAAAAAGAGGATAAAAAAGTTTAAGGGCAGAAGAGTAGCATAGATAAGAATACAAAGTTTGATTTAGGGGAACATCTAATCCCTCATAATCTCAAAGATGGCCTTCACCATATTTAGTATTTGAATTCTTTATGTTATTGCAGCAGCAGTCCCAAACAGCCCATCCAGTGGCCGTCTGGTAAGCCATTTCTAGTGATTTTAGAAAATAAATTGGTGCTTTACAAAAACCATCTAATTTCTATCTTTTGGCCCAAAATCAATTAAATGAACAGATTTCTCATTATTAGAACGCTGCGTCCATGCAATGAATTACTGAACTGACTGTCATTTCTTAAACTACAAACTTTTTTGATAGATTTTTTGGGGGCTTTCTGCCTTTATTAGGTAGGACAGCCAAAGATTGACAGGAGAGGGGGAGAGAGGGGATGACACACAGTCAAGGGCCACAGCCGCTGCAGCAAGGACTCATTGGTATGTAGGGCTCCAACCGAGGGGGTCGGACCTCGGTTGGGCACTGAATATGAGGGGTTGTAAGATAATAAAAAAATACTTTTATTTTCAAGAAATATTAAAGGTTGGAAACTGGTGGTTTAATTTTTAGCAATGTTTTGTATTCATCATATGATTTTATGTAAAATCCAGTTGTAGCCTAACCATGGATGTCAAACAAATGTAGTCAGAGGTGGGATGGAGCTAAGAACAAATACTTTGTTACCACCAACATTTTCACACAAATATCCATCGTTTCTACTCCGTACACACATTCATTTAGTTTTTATGCACTTTTGAGGGGGATGATCGATTTTTATTACTATTTTGCTTAAAATAATATCAGGACCGGTGTATATCACGCATCACAGGACAGAGAGAGGGAGACTCGACCCTGTTTGAAGTTTCAGTTCGTTTTGCACAGAAACAGTGGTTTGAAATGTCCTTCAGAGAAACCCAGAGACAACTTTCTACTTTTATAATTGGAGTGCATTTGAGAGGCTGTAATTGTACATTACAATTTCTCGGCCAGTAATATTTCATAATAAACAAGTGTTTGTATTAGCGCTGTGTATCCTTGTGATTTATATATTTTATTTCTGGATTACTTCAATAGTTTAGACGTTATGATGAGAAATACGGCAGTCTCATTTAATATGAAAGTAAGCAGGGATTTTAATGCCCATTCATTGCGAATGCAATGGATTGCATACAGGTCTCAACAAAACTTTTTTATAATCGGTAAAATTGGGTCAGAGGAATGTTCTCAGGAATGGCTCCACAAAGAATCAAGCCATAATAGAAGTGTTGTTTATATCACAGGATCAAGTAGTCATGATAGGTTGGTTGGCTATTTTATTCAAGAATCCCTTACATATATGGGACACCTTGGAGAATAAAAAAACATTGTGCTTTATTCTACCTGCAGTATCTCAAGATTTATCCTATTGCTGTGAATATTGATCAGATATAAGTTTCCCGGACATTTTTAGGAACTTTGGTTGTATTTGTTTTATGTATTTTTTATATAAACAGTCAACTATACTTAATGCTTTTTTTTCTTTTTTACAAATTATCTGATACGTGGCCAGTGGCCATTAGCTATCTGGTTGTTTATATCTTGAATAATAATCGAAACTTTTAAATTAACAATTTAATTTAGTTTTTTTCACAGAATGAATGAAGTCCTGAGAGATTTCTTGTGTTTTCTAACACCTCTTAAAATCAAAAAGGCCTTGCAACCCCCCATAAAGTTTTGATGACCCCTTGTGGGGGTCCTGATGTCCCCCAGGTTGGGAACTACTGCTTTAAAAGACCAAAATGAACAAGAAATGTACGTTTTGCTTTTTAAATCAAATTCACCCGCCATCTCACTGGACAAAATGTACATGATCATCATCTTCCATTCAGGATTTCACAATACCAGAAATGTAGTCGTTGATACCAATACCAGTGAAATGCCTAATACAGAGTCCTGATCAATAACAATACTTCCTTAATAACATAGGTGAATAGCTCTGCATTGCATTCAAAAAATCCCTGCAACCAAGCTCTTCCTTAATGTTATTTATACATAATCTGTTAATATTTATATAGCCCAGTGTGTGTGTGTGTGTGTGTGTGTGTGTGTGTGTGTGTGTGTGTGTGTGTGTGTGTGTGTGCGCGCGCATTCCTCTGTACTTTCGGTGCCTACTGTAGGAAAACGAGTATTGTTCGAAATGTTATTATCGACTTGGTACCAAAAGAATCGGTTCTCGTGACATTCCTATCTTCCATACTATTGTAACCTGATTTTATTCCGGTCCTCACATACAATGGAATTCATTAAAAAGGAAGGCTGTATCACTTTCTATACTTTGTTGAATTGAATCCAATTAAGTACACAATAACCTATGTCATGAAAATGTAAAAAACCCCAAAACATTCAATTTGAATTTAAAGGCAGTCCTGTATACTGAAATTTAGATATATCAAATACATATATATTTTTATCACTTTTTTTTATCTCTATTATTAGGATATTGACATATTTACCATTAAACTGTAGTATCAGACTTTACAAAAGGCCTGTCAATCAAATCTCAATACATTCATCGGGTCTTTTGAAGATTTTGTATGATTTCATGCTGCTGCCACCTCCATCCCCTCTATCTGTGGACTGCAACAAAGCTGTGCTGCAGCATCTTATCATGCTCTTTTCAGCTGATCACAGAGCACCGAGAGAGGAAATACTCCTCAGGCTATTCATGTATGTGTGTAGCTATGTGTGTGTCTGAGCCTGTGAGTTAGTGAGTGTGTGTATGCCAAGACACGGCGAGCATCTGTAGAGCACTGGAGGGTAATGCATGCCTTGTCTCAGGTGGACAGCGGGAGGGAGTGTGTGTTGCACTCTCAGTGCAGAGAACTCTGCAATTTCATGCTCCTCGGCGCGTACGGTGCTCACCCAGGTGCAGTGCACTGTGAAGTTGGGGGGGAATGGGGCATTAGGAGATTAAGAAACAAACAGAACTTCAGCAATAAGGCATAGTTTTTATTTATCAGACTGGAGAATGTTGTCGGGGAGTCGAAGGCTTCAAGAAGTTTAGGTTGTGCATTAGGAGTTTTTAGTTTGCACCAACACACAAGCGTACACAGATTTCAGTCTTATGGATTACTTATCTTACTGCATATCTTACTGCATATCAAGAAGAATCTCAGACCTGAATTCACTGCATTGATTTGAGAGGATGGATAGAAAACTAAAAACATCGCTGTTTCATAATTCACAACCCGTTCCGATCCCCTATCCATTCCAGTGGACCTAACTTTTTTAAAGATGTTTAGATCTATGGAGCAGCTCACTTCCTAATTTGATTCTAATGTGAAAGGTGGAGGGCCACATCCTTGCTTTGTGCAAAAAGGCATTTTTAGGTTTCACCTGTGTGGGTGTAGTATTACTGAAGCAAATTTGAGGCAAAATTAAGTAGGGCTGTCACAATATCAGATTTTCACCACACAATTAAGAATTAACGATAACAATATTATAGCTATATCTATAGGAAATCATTTTAAAAATGCTATTAGTCAAATTCATCTTTAACTTCTATTGTCTGTTTTGTCTCTTTTTAGGCAAAATAATTACATAAATGGAGCGAAGCCTGCAAGCTAGTTCAGGCAGTCAACTCGAGCTGGGCTGTTATACACACATGACATGCCTTATTCCGTAATCACTAACTAAGCGCACCCTTCCAATCTGGCGGTCTATTTAAACTGCACAATTTCCCAGCTCTCCCTCTGCTCTGTCTATGCTGCTGTTGCCCTGCATCCGTATTGCTGCTGCTGCTGCTCTGTAAGACGTTTTGTCATACTTGTGGAAGCTGTCCCTATATCCTGACAGTAGTACATGTACACATCCTCCATGGCTGAATGAAAGCAACCAATCAGAGTCAAGAAAGATAGTTGATTGTCAAATACTGACAGTTTGGGGTTGGTGGCTTGAAGCTTTGGGACCCAAAAAGCGCATTTTTGACCAGGAAATGAGACTCAACTAATCGATCAACTATCGTTCTTGGCTCTGATTGGTTGTTTTCGTTCAGGCCCGGTGGATTCTTGCTAATGTCATTAGGAGCACTGGGAGGAGCCAGAGGAACCTGATATTTTATTATCTGTTTTGTGTACTTCTGTCACAATATAGTTAAACAAAAAATCAGTTTCACAGAAGTCAGCTACTGCAGCTTACTATTCACTGGATGTTTATGCATTCATATCTCTCCTGTTCATTTATTCATTAGCATTTCTCTGTGTGGGTGTAGTATTACATGTCGAGGTAATCCAGATGATGTTCTGTTTGGTGTGTCGTCTAATATGAAATGCCAGATGACTCACTGTGACTCCACTGTTGTCCTTGAGAGCAGGAAGTAACAGACATGAAGGTGAAAATCCAAACCCCGCTACTACACATCCTGAATCCAAAGAAACGAGTAAAGGCTTGGATCAGCAAATGTATTTTATTGTACATTTACAAAACGACAAGAGTACAAAAAAGTCAGTCCACAGACATTTTTTTGTTTGTTTTGGAAGGAGTATATGCAAATTTTTATCTCACAACTGCAGCAAACAGTCCCTCAGACGAACAAGGAGAGGGGACGAGAACGGAGCCAGAGGGGAGGGAGGTTACAATCAAACTTTTATAAAGCCTGTCTGTCTGCTGGCACACTGGAACATTTCTGCTGCAGAGAAACCAAAGGAAACATAGAAAAGTAGGACATTCGTAGTGGACTACATGGGTGCAGGGGATCCCGGGTGGGGCAGCGTCCGTCCGGGAGCGAGAACCCGCTCGTTTTGGCTTTTTCTGACTGCCCCCCTCTCAACCAGCAAACACACTTTGTGCTTCATATTTTCTGTTGTTTTGCCATCACAACAAGAGAGTGCAACAGTAGTTAATGCTTTTCCAAAAAGTATACATTTTGACAAAAAGGTTGGCACATTCAAGAAGACATGAGCTTTTTTTTTATAATAACAGACTTTTTTTTAACATTGTTTTTTTTTTTTTTATCCTCATAAATACAATATACGTCTCTTTCCCTGTATCCAGAGCCCACAAAAGAACAGTACAGACACAGGTATTTACAACTCAAGGGAGAGGAGTGAACTTGATAGCTCATAAATAATCATGGTAATACCAAAACATGATGTCAAGTCCGTTCTTTCTTTCACAGCAATGACACAGAGTCCGGTATCTTGAAACCCAAAACTTGTCCTCTTGTCCAGCTCGTTGTGTCCACGGTGGAAAGATGATGGATGATGGAGGCATCGAAGGTATGCCGACTGAGTCACTGCAGTCCTTATCTCATTTCCTGGGAAGACAGAAATATTTTCACATCAATAAAAATTCTAAGTATTATGTAGTTGAAGACTCATGTAGTCGTATACTAAGGTTTTTGCACCACCGTGGCCCTGGGAACTGAAGGCCTTGCTCTAGTGGATAGTTGTTGCTGAAGGACAGGGAGTATTATTAGTCGCCAAGGAGGTAATATTTTCTGTGCCATTTGTGATTTATTTTTTACTTTCCTATAGGGCTCTGAGGAAATATCAATACACTTGAGCATCACAATATTTTGTTTTGTGATATTGTATCGATTCTCAAAAACACATTTTTGTGTTTAAACCCCCAACTGCTAGATGGCAGTGTTGTAAATTGAAGGATATGTTGTTGTTGTTAGATGTTACAAGGACTGTGATAAATACAAATGCAGATCCTCTGTTCCAATTGCATAAGTGAACTTATTTTTATGCATTTGCCAGTTTGTTCTTTATACTATGTCAGTTTTCCTAAAATTTGATTTAAAGGAACATTGCAGTATTTCACCTTGCTAACTCGCAATATATTGCAGTATGTTGAATTGTATTTGTATCGTATCGCAGTGCTGTCTACACAAGCACAAAGAACAACTGTCACTGCCACTGTAGAAACAAATGCTGCAGGTATGTAAAAAATAAACAAACAAACTTTTTCAGCTTAAACCTGAATTTCGACTTACTTGAACTCATTGTAATTAAAGTGATTGTTGTGCAGATGTGCAGTGTTGGGGAGGTCTGTGCTCTCTGAGTGCCCCTCTTGTTCAATCTTTGATCGATATTCTTTCTGATCCCAAGCCTATTTATCTGTCCATCAGATTCTCACTTTAATGAGACCAATAAGCTGGGAGCAGACTGCAGTCTCAGTCTGGCCATTTACTTTGTCACGACTATCAGTTTTGTGACAATGGGTCAATTTAGACAAGATTGCTGTGTAGTCAGGGGTAAGGACTGCAGTATTTCCTCTCAATCTCAAACGATCCTGTACATTGTTACGTGTGTTGTTAAACGTTTCGTGACATTGGCTTTCCGCTGTCTTCCAGAGAATGCTGAAATACTTTAAAAGTGATGTATTTCTGTAATACATCAAATATGCATGGATCGCAAATTGTGAATATTGTAAACCACACAAAGAAATGTTTAAGTCAGTTTAAGAAAGTAAATTTGAGTCTGCTATAGCACATATTTAACCTAAAGTGATGTGTGAATATGCATGTCACCTATGGTGAATGTCACTCTGACATCATGTCTGTTATAGTCCTGCTGCATGTGTCAAACAACATACACACCATAAACACCCCACCCTAGCCACAGCCTGTTCACCCTGCTGTTCCCTCAGGCTGTGAGACTGCTTAATTCATACTCAGCACTCCACCATGTAAAATAGTTTTATTTATTCACCCATCTCCTCTACATCTAAGAGAATATACAGAGCCTGAAAACAAGAACATGAGGAAAATGGCATTTCAGGCAGAAGGCATAAATATATAAGGCAAGAAGAGGATGGCACATCTGCAGTTTAGGTTTTTTTTCTAATTCAAACATCATCACTTGACACAGCATTGGACATAAAATTGAAACAATTGAAAAAAGCAATAAAGACTTCAGTGAAACATGTTGTTTTTGGTTCCTCAAGCTGAGTCTGGAGCTTTATGGACGCTCTTTGAGTTGATAGAGTTACTCGATGATGTATGATAGTTTCTATAGTACTGCGTCCTAAGGCACAGTCCTTTTGGGAAACATCTTTAGGCTGAAGAAGAGTCAGGGGTATTTTACAATCATCTTAGCCTTAAGATGCTTTTGGGAAACAAGGCTATGGTCAAAAGCATCATTACTTTGAACAGGTCTGAATTTTACGACTGAATCAGATTTCTGCAATAAGCACAGAGAAAGCTCAGAAACAGTGGGAAGAACAGCGGTTTCTCATATGTGATGTGGCTGCATTGAAATCTGTTGTGGATTTATGTTCCTGCTAGAATGCGGGCCACCACCTGATGTAACAAGGGCAGTGTGTGTTTTCTCAAGTCTAAACTGGTTGTCGAGTCTGTGTTCTTTTTTTTTCCCCAGACCAAATTGGTCACAAAGTATGTGTTGCTCTTATTAAAAGTGTCAGTTTTGCATGAGCAGTGTTTGGAACTGCGGTGCTCTCTTGTTTGTTACCCAGAATCTAACTAGCAGTCATTCATGCTCTCCAATGACAGTGTTTGATATCCCTCCTCTGTACAGATGTCCCCAGCCTCAGAGCTGATGTAACAGACCCTAGGACATCAACACCCTCATCCAAACCCCCCTTCCTAGACTGACCGCCTGGGTCAAAGGGCAAAGATAGCAGTCAGCAACACCACAGGAAGAAAGGGGTAACCTAATCCAGGCTTCCTGTGGAAACACCCCAAACTTTATTGCGAAGGAGGTTGCGCTTTCATGTTCCCAGCAAGGCGTGAAGAGGCCAGTACGGGTCAGTAAGGGGCAGTTGGGGGGGGTGAGGTGTGCCTTACTGCTCCGCAGGGGGTTGACCTGAGAGGCACGAGATACAAGGGAGCTCTGTATGTGTGTGTATGTGCTGACAGCAAGTGAAAAGAGCGATTGTGCGCGAGTGTGCCACTTTTACAAGTTGCTTTGCTACATTCCCATGTCAGATGTGTGTTGAGGTCGGCGTGGAGTGACCCGTGACGGGGCCATCCTTTCTCTTTCTGCACATACAGGCAGCTTTATGGTGATGCCTCAGGTTACAGCATTAAACTTAACAACTACAGCACTAAAAGAAAGCATCAAAGCTGCTACACTGTCCATCTCTCATAAATCCACGCTTACGTTTGGCGACTCAGTTCAGTGTGACTGCCTAATGGTTTACCTATAACCTGTTTCATTCTTGCTGTACACAAACTTTCAGTCTGAAACTCTGGAGATAATTTTGTGTAGAAGTAAACTAAAAGCAGTGTTGGCAAGTAACTAAGGACATTTACTAGGAACTAGTAGAACTAGAAAAAGAGATCACATCTCTCCTGTACTAGCTTCTCTGCACTGGCTCCCTTTAATGTAGAATAGAATTTAAAATCCTCCTCCTCACCTATAAAGCTCTTCATGGTCAGGCCCCTTCATATCTTAAAGAGCTCATAGTACCCTATTACCCCACTAGAACACTACGTTCTCTGAATGCTGGGCTACTTGTGGTTCCTATAGTCTCTAAAAGTAGAACAGGAGCCAGAGCCTTCAGTTACCAAGCTCCTCTCCTGTGGAACCAGCTTCCAGTTGTGGTTCGGGAGGCAGACACCCTCACCACATTCAAGAGTAGGCTTAAGACATTCCTCTTTGATAAAGCTTATAGTTAGGGCTGGATCAGGTGAGTCCTGAACCATCCCTTAGTTATGCTGCTATAGGCCTAGACTATCGGGGGATTTCCCATGGTGCACTGAGCTCCTCTCTTCCTCTCTCTCTCTTTCTGCACTCATTCAGGTCCCATTAATGCATGTTACTAACTTCACTTCTTCCCCGGAGTTCTTGTGCTTTCTCGTCTAGCAGGTTCTCATGGATCCTGGTGGAGCCTCCTGCCATGGTCCTGCTTGACTGCCATTGCTAATATCACTGATATTATTGTTATTGATATTATTATTATTATTATTATTAATATTATTATTATTAATATTATTATTAATATTATTATTATTATTATTAATATTATTATTACTACAGTTACTATTATTACTATTGTCACTGCTCATTGTCCCCCATCGTTGTTGTTATCGTCGCCATCGTCTGTCTGTCTGTCTGTCTGTCTGTCTGTCTGTCTCTCTCTCTCTCTCTCTCTCTCCCACCCCAACTGGTCGAGACAGACGACCACCCACCTAGAGCCGGAGGATCTGTCCTAGGTTTCTGCCTTTTAACAGGCAGTTTTTCCTTGCCCTTGTCTCCAAGGTCTTGCTCATGGTGGTACTGTTGGGTCTCTGTAAATAATGTTATAAAGAGTTCGGTCTAGACCTGCTCTATTTGAAAAGTGTCCTGAGATAACTTCTGTTATGAATTGGCGCTATACAAATAAAATTGAATTGAATTGAATTGAATTACTTAAGTGCTTTTTAGAGGTACTTTGTAGTTTTTATTCTATTACTTTTTTTTGGCAACTATAGTTATTAGTAAGAAAAACCTATACTGGAAGTATTGAACATTGAAAGTATTACATGATTAATTTCTGTAGAATTTATTTTACTTTTGACACTCCAAGCATGTTTTTTCTATTTCTTTTAGTGTGGTATTGCTATGTTTACCCAAGTATGTTTATTTTTAAAATGGCATCGTCTTTTCAATATTCAATTTACTTTTCCAGTTTCCCTTTTAAAAAAGTATTTAACAATGGCCTGCTTATAGTTAAAGTAGGGTAAAATAATGAAACCTAATTATAAATTTCTCATTTCCCTCCCTTTTCATGCCTTTATTAGATAGGGACAGCCGAAGATAGACAGGAAAGGTGGGTAGAGAGGGGATGACACGCAGCAAAGGGCTGCAGGTCGGACAATGCAGCAACTCCGTATATGGGTCGCCAGCTCTACCGACTGAGCTCACCGGGCGCCCAACCCTTTTCATTTTAATCCTGGCAAAACATATCCTCCATAAGGAGCCATCCTGTACGACACATTTCTGAAGTATTCTCCATCACAGTGAGACAGTCCTTCAGTTTTATCTACACTTGGCCAACATACTGTTTAGTCTGTGATGCTGTTCACAATAATAATATTACAAATATTGTGAAATAGCAATTTGAAAATGGAAAGAAAAAATGTCAGTAGCAATTGGTCATTTCAATTTCCAGTTTCTTTTTAAAAAAAACATTGAATAATAAGCTGATTATTCTCTGAAGCAGGGTACATTATTGATGTAATTGCAGATTTCTAATTCACCCTTTTCATTTTAAGAAACCATCCTATGCAATGCATTTCTAAAGTGTTACAGTGAGACAGTTCAGTGTTTTCTGCACTTGACCAACATGTTTACAGATGGACAACACTCATATAACACCTTTCTACCTTAACTAACAAAGATGTAAAGTGCTTATCTTGCTCTGTCAACTCACAATGGCGCAAAGCTGCCATATGAGGCACTGGCCAGCCTATCAGGAGCAACTTGGGATTCAGTGACACTGATGGCATGACATGGGGACAGGAGGGACCCAACAACCCTGTGATTAGTGGACAGCGTGCTCCACCTCCTGAGCCACACAAATTATTATGCTTTCTATCATCAACTATTACACCTCCTCCCACCTACAGTAACATTCAGGGACATGTCAAACACTGTTTTGTACGTGTTGCCTCACTCGCACGAGATTCCCGCAGAGTTTCCCATTCGGCTGGCACAGCTTGTTCTCCCATAAAAGGCACCAGCTTGTTGCGAAGGAGCCTGCAGGGGGTGCATTTAAAGGAGCCCTCCTGCAGTGAAGTGCGGCCTCAGAAGTGCACTCCAGAGAGAGCAGTGGGGTGGGCGCTTAACATTGTCTCTTACTGTGAAGCCCAATCCTGAGTAGACGGTAATGGTAGATCTGTATGTATGAGCCTACGAGCGTGTTGTTTGTGTGTGTGTGTGTGTGTGTGTGTGTGTGTGTGTGGGCAACAAGGGAATGTAAAAGCTCTTTTCATGCGCCCGCCTGTATAAGATTATGTGTGTTTTATGGAGCGCAAGTAATGATATGTAGATAAAACTAAACCACCAAGTGAACCTCTCCATAGCAGGAATACTCTTTGTTCCTGTGCTCATAAATATCTAAAATCATCAATTATTAAAACCATTTGAGGTGAAAGGAGAACTGTTTTCCTTGCATAAATCCGCACTGATATGATAGAATCATTAGCGCTGCCATATCCTACCTCGTTGTGTTTTCTGGCCGAGTTGAGCCCTCGGGAGCCCGTGGAGCCTCTGGACGAGGAGCTTCCTGTGGTCGAGCAGTTACTGGACATCTGACTCCTGGAGAGGTAACCGGCCTTACTGCTGTATGCCATCAACTCCTCATCTGAGGAGGCAAAGATGAAGGACACAACAATGTGGTTAACCTTTAAGCGGTCATTTAAAACAGGGGTTCTCAACTGGTCTCACCTTGGGAACCACGTTTCCATGGTAGTCGCAACCCACTTTTATAGAATTGAAACCAAGCAAATGTATTTTTCAAATAGACTAGTAAACACAATGACATCATGGCCTTTTATAACATAAAATATACAGATATTTTCATCCCGGCATTAAGAGCACAGTACTAAAAAACAAGGCGTTACTTAAACGTTTGTGGAAGCTTTTCTGAGGAAATAAAAGTCAGACATCAGCATTAAAGCAATCATTTAAAATAGATTTGTTTTGCTCCAATTCTAATCATTATTAATAATAAATTTCATTCACTGAAAAAAATCATGATTACGTGACATCATCTGTCTGTATCAAACAAACATGTTTTCTTACATCTGGAGAACACGATTTATAGACCAGAGTATCTCTGTAGCTCTACAGCATTTCATTATAATGCTGTTTGTCACATATTTTACCTTTATCAAACAAATTGTAGCTCCTGCGATTGGGATATTACACTTAGCCATATTGCAATTTCTCAACCGAACGTCTTGAGAAAGCATGGTTGAAAAGGGAGCGCAGTGTCTTACTGGGAAAATAAGGGTTAATCCAGACAGTATGTATCTGCTGGACAGTTTAAAGCTGCTCTAGGCTAGAATTCCCCTTATAAATTCCTTCTATTTGTCCATGTTTAATTCTGGCATTGGGTTTTGTCTAGGGCTGCACAATTAATTGAACTATTATCAAAAGTGCAATATCAAAATGGCAGAAGCTGCAATTTGTTTGATAAAGGTAAAAGGTGCGTGACAAACAGCATTATAATGAAGTCCTGTAGTGCTGCAGAGATGCGCTGGCTTACAAATGTTGTTCTCCAGATATAAGAAAACACATTTTGTTTGCTACAGACCCCAACAAATCTCTCATCATCATAATGATCATAATTTCTTGTGTGATACAAAAATGATCATTCCCAATAAGTGTGAATCATTGCAATCACAACTTCTGTCAAAATAATTGCAATATGATATTTTTTTTGCCACATTGTGCAGCCCAAGTTTTGTAATTAGCTGTAAACTTCAGGCCAAAATATAGAAAACGGTGCTGTCTGCTACAGGGAGGCACCATGTTGCAGAATTTATGGGTCTTGTAGACCACATCTTCCGTTTTTCATGTATGGGTACCAACTTGGGACATTGTATACTTGCTATGCTACAGTTGCATGTTATAAATGCTACAGTATTTCACAAAGGATGATCTGGCAACTGGTCACAGACACACGTGTTTCTAGCTAGTCTTATTTTACCCCACTGTGCAACACTGGAGGAGGAAATACTGCAGTGCAGTAGTAAGGCATGATACAGCATAAATGTGGAGTCTGAGCTTGGTTACAACAGTGTAGAAACATACAAGTGTTGTCTTTTCATCTCATTTCTACAAGGAGTGAACTACATGTTCTCTGTGCTTAATTTCATTCCGCTACACTTAAACTAAACAATAACTGAGATACTGCGCTCTGCAAAACTACTGTCTTACTGTCGGTGTGCCTTTGTCCCGAGCCCTTCCGTTGGTGACTGCTGCTGCTGTACTCGCTCCTCTCCAGGGACGACAGAGCACCATTGGCCACGTTGCTGGCCTCCATGCACCCCTGGGGGGCCTGCAACCTGTTCTCCGCTGGGGGAGGCTCCGGGGCGGGGGCAGGTCTGAGCAGAAAGAAGCGGAGGGGGAAGTATGCATGAAGAAGAGTTTGGAATATAAGGAATGACTGCTAGAGCTTTTTGCTGCCTTTTTCGGTCGATGCATTCAAGCTAATTCTAGTGTGAGGTTTCTGTTACATAACAGCTTTATACTGCTTCAAAAAAAAAAAAAAAAAAAAAAAGCATTTTGTTTTTGTTGTCTGTTTTTCTGCACATAATTGAGAGAACCCAAGAGGCCAGCCGCAGTGTTGTTTTCTTTTAGAGAACAGGGGTACATTTTAATTAACACTGCCTTTCTGCCGGTTAAAATTAGCGTTCTGATTGTGTGATTCACATGCAGCCTGGTGCTGTTTACTTAAACAAAGCTGGGGATGGTTATCTGGTAAACATATGGTGTGTGCAGAAAAAACAGAGTCTGTAAGCTAAGATTACAAGTCAAATCCATGTCTATAATACACATAACATAATAAAACACTAGCCTCACATCTCGCCTTTGTGGCCAAGTTGTAGATATTCAGTCACAGATAGTGTTTCAGAATGTGTTCATGTGCTGGAATAATATGGGCCGCGTTTATTCACTCACTGACAAAGAACAATGAATGACTTCCTCTTTTGCAGTAGAGCTGCATATTCAGCTACTGAGAACATTTGATGTCCTACAACGGTGTCATTGTCACGCAAAATAATGCCTTCGTTTCTAACAGTGAACTGTTCCCTGAATGTTCAATAACAATTTCTAAGAAAATATCAGTAATAAAAAACAGAAATGTAGATGTTCTGTCCCTGAAATGAACTTTTTGAATCTAAACTGAAATCCACTCACCTCCTTGTATATCTCTTCTGTATGCTGAACTCTTAGACACCTTTTTTTTCACTCGCGATTTTTGGTTGGGAGGAGTGCATGTGTCTGCTGGGGATGAGCGACTGTGCACTGTTTGAGAGGAAAAGACAGCAATCAGAAAGTGCTTTTTCTCCTGTCTGAACAAACATGGAGCATATAATGCAGTCAGTTCTAGGGTGAATGTATGCATGAATGTTCAGCGTTCATGGTCTTGTTTGGCCTTTGTGTGAGGCTTGTAATGCGTGAGAACACATCGCTGGCGGTCACTTTACCCGGTGTAGTGACGCTGACATTGTCTTCATTCAGAGCTGGCCCCTGGCTGTGGAGGCAGCGATGGGCAGGACTTTGGCACTGCAGCGTGCCAACCTCTGATGAGCTGTGATGCTGTTGGCCGGAGAGGTTGGGGTTGGACTGGGTGAGCGGCGGGCTCGGCGCCTGGGGAACTGGCACTGGACCACAGGGTAACCTTCTGCTATGAGAAGTAAGGGCGACATGTTACTGGAGAGAACAAATCGTTGAATTCAGAGGCTAAATCTTTGGTTCAGAGCGAGGTTTATGAAAATAACATAATTGTGCGTGTGGTTTTTTTGTTATGTCTTTTCTGTTATGATTGTACCTTTTCTATTGTTTTTTAAATTGATAATTTAACATCTGGGATTAGCCGAGTATCCAACATGTGGATTGTTCAGTTCAATTCCTAGTATGAAAATGTGCAGCTACGCTGTCAAAATACATTATTCAAGTGAGACTCTGTATCTTTAAAGTTAGTATCTAAAGTTTACTAACATTAGCCACCTTAAGCTACCAGCGAGTAATGCTGTAGAAAGACCCCTGAGTGTATTGGCTGGGTATTGGCAAGTATTTGGCGATACGATACGTATATCACAATACAGGGGTTATGATTCAACATATTTTGATGTATACTGGAATCAAGGCAGTGTATTGGGATTACTTCATGAGGAAACTGACTCTACAATATGTATAAAATCTGATTGAAATTTCTTTTCTTTTTTTTTCTTTTTTTGAAAGTGGCATGTATTTATCCCACTCCTATAACACTGTGTGTAAAATGACCTACTGTAATGGAGGAATTTGACAGATTGGTCTAAATAACAATAATTTTGGTAATGCTACAGTGCAATTGTCATTATGGAGTAATAAATAAACAAAGAAAATATATATATTTGTCCTTCTGTTAACCAAGCAGAAAAGAGTGGGCAGTAAAGTCTCTGGGGAAAAACACATGGAATTAAAAATGAAATAACCTTCCTAAGCACAGTGGAGGTTTGCATTCATTAAAGCAGATGCAATGTATTTGTTCATGAATTACAGTGGAATCAAATATGAACACTACCAGTCAGTGCTGAGCACATTCACATACCGTGACAGCTGCTGGCTGTCTAGCTGGTTGAGGCGGGGGAGGTCGTGGGGGGCTCGGCTCTCCTCGTGAGGCGATGGGGTGAGTGTGGCAGTTGACTGGTGACTGTAGGAGGTGGCTGGGGAGGAGGCGTTGTTCCTCTGCAGGGGAGAGGGTCCGTCCTCACAGCCTTCCATCAGATAGGTCCTCTCCGGGAGGGGGGGGCACCACTCCTCATCCGAGCTACGAGGAAGAACAGTGTTACAGCCAGATGAGTATAATGTAAGCGACATCTTTTGTGTGTTCTTAAAAGATATTGTTGAGGTGCAGCCTGTTGTCTCACTGGTGCCTTCAATTCCAGCTAGCTGTGAAGCTACTTAAAGATTAATGCTGTTCTTTCAGCCTCAACTCAAGGTAGAGGGCCTTGCCGTTGGCAAAACTGCAGGAGGCTAAGCTTCCACTTGGGTGGGATCGCAGCTATGAGCGTGATACTGAGTGATAGTTTGCTCTGAGGTTTGCAGGGAGCGTCTGGTAAGGAGGAACACAGCTAATTGTGTTTTAAGGGCGGGGAAAACCGCTAAATCAGTAAAGCAATTGACCACGGCCGAGGTAATTGAGTTGTTAAAGCCGGAGGCATAAGAGCCACGTTGGGTTCGATACTTAATGTGCCCGTTAGAGGTGACAGTAAGTCTAAATGATGTAGAAGTTTAATACTAATTTATATGTGAGAGGGAGTGGAAGTCTGACTCACCCTAGATCCATGTCCTCGTGCTCTGGGGGCTGGTCGTCCTGCTCACACTGTTCCAGCTCTCCGATGGGGGGCGGCGGGGGCAACGCCTCCATCCAGGTCAGAGATGGGGTCTTGACAGCCTTACCCATCGGCTTCTGCTTGGGCTTACCTGTAAAACAGATGGAGAGAGAAACAAAGTGATTCACTTGATACTGAGGCATTTCCCAGCAGGCCTGTGGCTGAAAGATGTGAATATGGGTCTGACCACAGGGCAGCAAAATTTGATTTTTAACAAAATTATTTTAATTTCACTCTTCTAAAAAGCTCCCTGTAAAACTGATGCTATATAATCATTTAATTTATTATAGAACACATCTAAAATCACAAAACGTAGCGACTAGACAGCTGGGTAAATGTTCCAAAGTTATGCCTGCAGCTAATGATAACTCTTGTTGTTTTCAAGAATTAATCTCATTATTTTATTGATGAATCAGTTAGTTTGTTTTAACTGTTTTTTTGTTTTTTTTTATTAATTGGTGGAAAATTTCCAAAAGCCTGAGGCGACATCTTCACATTGCCAGTTTATCCAGTCAACAATCCAAACCCCGAAATATTCAGTTTAATATCTCACACAACAAAGAAAAGCACGGCAGTTGAGAAGCTGTAACTGGGCAATTATTGGCATTTTTGCTTGAAAAATGACTTGATTGTCAAAATAGATATGGTGATTCATTTATTTGTCGCTCTACTAATCAGTTAACTGAAAAATCATTTCAGCTCTGACGAAAATAAACAATAATAGATAAATGTGTTGAAAACATTGAATAATTACAACACAATATGAGAAATCGTTTAGTTATGATAACATTTGAAAAGCTAAATAAAAAATATCTTTATCATTTTCATAGTCTGGAAGCAAAGCTGGAAAATGCTCAATAACCCTTTTTTAATTGGGATGGGGAGCAGTGATTAGTCAGTAGAGCTGAAGGGTCTTGAGGTAGTATAGTGGCTGGAGAGACTGGAAATGCAAACTGGTGGCAGACCAGGCACAGATTTTTAAAAACTGAGAACTACACACATGCTAAACTGGTTCAGTTGGTGACTATCAGCAACAAGATGTGACCAATGACAGAGCAGGTCATGTTCCTTGTGCTCTCCTCACCATTGCAGCGGTCCGGCTGGGCGTACTGAGCTCCGGAGGGACCCGGCTGGGTGATCCAGTGTCCGTCATCTTGCTGCTCGCCACTTTGGGCCTGCGTCGGGTTGGCGAAAGGCATGATGGAGGTGGAGGCGTAGGGGGTAGTGGAGGTGTGCTGGGCGTATGGGAAGCTGTGCAGGTCCTCACTGGTGGCGTCGATGGTGCTGTAGATGGGACCTTCGGTGGAGCCTCCCATGCTATACTTCTCCGTCTGGTTTAGGTAGTTGGAGATACCGGCTTCTACACAGGGATGGATGTAATGTTGAGTACAACTTTCTTGCACTATTTTCTATTACCTCTGTTTGTGAATGCCTGTACTAATCACTGAAGCTTCAACTAAAAGATTATCTATATATATACCATTTATTTATATATATAATATATTTTTTAATATGAGGTTTAGAACATTAATGTATCAACAAACAAATATTTGTTCCATTCCCTCTCCTAGCATTGATCCCTGAGGATTGTTTATTTTTCTCCCTCCATTGGGTTTGAACAGAGCGACTGAAACTGCTGTTTGTCACATCTATGTTGGTAAATTAAGCATTTATTTCGACTAAACCAGAGTTGCTAATTGTTGGAACTGTTTTGGTGAGTATTATTTTGTTTCTGTCCACTTTAAATTAAGTTACAATCTTCCGGTTATCTGAGGTTAAATTACTGTTTTTGTCTATGGAGTCTAATGGTTTATTTAGACCAAACCAGACTTGGTTGACTGATGTTGGAGCAGTTGAAAGACTCACTTGGTGAGTTGTATTTTGTTTCTGTAGAGTTTAAATGAATACAAGTGTTTTTGTCAGTGGAGTCTGGTGGGCCGTAGTGCTCGCTCATTAGTTTTGGTCTGAGATGCTGGGCTCTCATCAGTCATATACAGCAGCTTTAATGAAAAAATCTGCCACAACAGCTTTTATAGCAGCACAAGAATCCAAAAACTGACATTCATATACTGCATCTACCAAGCTGTTTCAGCAGCATCCTACCATTGTAGTATCTCTCAGCCGTGTCGTGATTGGTGGTGCAGCAGTTGACCGCCTCTTTACCGCTGTGGACAAGGTTGGTGGTTGGCCAAGAGTCTGCCAGCCACGGGTAGTTGCCCATGTTGCCTCCCAGCACGCCGGGCCTACAGAGACATTCTGGCGTTAAGTTAAGACATGGTGGGACACAGTACAACAGCAGCGTCTGTCCAGATGGAAATACAAAGACCAGAGAGAAAGATAGAGGAAGCTACGGAGGAACATTTACAATTATCAGTCCAGTCTACCGATGAGTGTGAGTTAAACAAAATACAGAGACACAGCAGAACGGGTATATCAAGGATATAATTGAATTACCTTCCATTGAGTCCTGATCCCTCTCCATGAGGGAAGCCAACTGCAGGAGACAGAGATAAAGAGAGAATGATGAGGTGGAAGGGTGAGCTGACTCATGGATGTTACATTTTGGTGGCCTACTTGGGGACACTGCTTATATTATCCAAGATCAGCTGTTCTCATTACCACAGAAATCTTTCCAATTCCCCTCACTGGAAGAGTCCATATGGTACAAATACAAATGTCATAGCACAGAGAAAACTAAATCATGCATTTATGTTTTTCTGAATTGAGGCTGTCATAGGCAAGTGATACATCTCTATAAGCAAGTATTGCTTCAGTAAATAGACTTTTTTGTAAATTCTACAATAGGACCTTATGTACAGGATGTAGTCAGAAATAAACATAGAGGTGTTAAACAAGTACTCAAGGCCACATTTAACCTATGAGAGGATTACGCTGTGGCTATTTTTCCTGTTGCTTCCAAATGTATTTAACTGTGAAATGCCTTGGGCTACAATCTGAATGCCACTTTGGGTAATTTCCACTACTTCAGGCACAAGTGCAAGGTATCATATCAGACAGCAGACAGAGACAGCCTCGGGTCAGTAACAAAATATCACCTCCCACCGCAACCATTCTTTCTGACCTGCTGGCGTGTATGCAAAGGAGGCAGTGTAGTGGCTCAGCTCCTTCCTCTTCTTGCGCCGGCAGTAGATCCAGACGCTGAAGCCCATGAGGATGACCCAGCAGGCCCCGCCGATGCCAGCGATGAACGCAGGCTGCTTGACCACGTCGGTGATCTGCTCGGCCAGACTCACGCTGCTCTCCTCTCCGCTGTCGCTGGTGCCGCCGCCGCCGCCTGGCACCGAGGGCTGTTCAGCTGGCAGCTCTGGGGGAAAGAAACGAGAGGGAGGAGGGCAAAATAAGATGACAAGGACGAACTGAGGAGAACAAAAGATTATTTTACCTTTTTCTTTCTTGACCTGTCGTTTTATTCTTTTGTTTTTAAAGATTGAGCAATCGAAAAAATCCCAACCATGTATATTGAGAAACATTTATAATACACGAATGAGCCTAAAGCAGTTTTATAGAAAGTATAGAGATAAGTAGTCTAGAGCAGGGGTTCCTGGTTTTACATGCTCCCTGTCAAATTCTGAATACAGTATATTTCCTTGATTTTATTAATACAACTGTTTGTATCACATTTTACTGCCACCCATTCAACAGTTGTTTCGCTCAAAACTGTCCTCATGGTGGCATTAGAGGAAAAGTCAGAAGATCACCAAAATCATTAGGATTTATCCTCCATCTGATAGTTGTTGAGCTATTTCAGTCTGGACCCAAGTGGTGGACTGACACACAGACAATGCTATCACAGGGCAACCCTGCGTGCATGGCTAAAACAATTTTTTTAATAACTAAATAAACATTCTGATATTTTAAAATTAGTTAATTTGCCCCACAGACTAAAAATGTTAGTTTCTCTTGCACATCTCCATCTTGACCCCCATCTCCTTCTGGACTCACTGATGAGGACGGACACTGGCTGACTGCGGGTGCCGATGCCGGCGCTGGTCACTGCCGCCACCTCCACCTGGTAGAGCACGCCGGGCATCAGGCCTTTCAGCACCGTGGACAACGTGTTCCCGTCCACCGTCTTGTTGATGTAGTAGGGCGTCTGATTATCGCCACCGCCACTGCCCACACACCACACCTTGTTGGGACACACAGAGTCGGCACTGAACGTCTTGTTATGCAGATCATCTCGTGTTTTTGTGATTCTTTTAGATCTTTGTCAGTCTGTGCTCCTCAGTTGAGTGTATTTGCATTTTCATTCTCTGATGAAATAGTTAACTATAGTCTGCAATTTTTGATCTGTTCAAAACGACATCAAAGCATACTGGATATTTCCTGTGTTAAATGTACAGTAGTCATTGAACTTGACTACTACTTGACCACTTTGAAGTCTTAAAAACACGGCCCTTTTCTTTTCCTTTGACAAGGACTTATCTCTGCATGTACACTGACTGAACAAAATATTAGGGTCATCTTCCTGAGATTGAATTGCATTGTCTTTTTTGCCATCCACAATCCTCCTATCACCCCCATCTTCGTTCAATCTACATCGTTTTTTTGTGATCAGTATAAATGTAATTATGGAAATCTCATTTTTCTTAATATTTTGAAAATGTGTGGAAATGTCTTCTCTGTGTTAAATGCAGGGTTCGTATACCTTCAGCAACTGCATTTTATCCAGTTAAAAGGTTTAATTGCATAAAAAGATACCATATACATGTAGTAGTTATTTAAAGTGTCAAAATATCCTTTGGTGCAACTATCCGACCATGACTGCTATTTTGAAGACTTTAAATTACTTTAAATCAAATAAAATTAATTTTGCCATATTGTACAACCATTTGTATTTATATTTCCATCGTAATATACAAACAAACAACAACAGACAAAAAACTGTCTGACATACATTACATACATCTAATATACATTTTATGAAATAAATGGTGCGTGCATCAAGAAACGACCACTTTCGACTTTCAGTTGAAATTCAAACACAGGAATTTGTATCATATAGCAGTTTGCCAAGGCCCAATGGAAGCAGCAAGCAGAGCTGTAACTCTAAATTTGCAAAGAAATAACCCATTTAACGATTTGAATATAACGTTGTATGACCTCAAAAGTTATTTCTACAAATATATATTTGGATTATAAATTTCAAAGTGACCTTTTGTGAGAAGCTAGCATGTTTATCCTCACATGCTATCATATTGTTAGTATAAACAGTGAAAAGAAAGTTGTCTTAATACCAACAGCAATCAATGCACATTGTCACTTTGTCCACATAAACTTTAATTGTATGTTTTGATCACGATTATTTATTGCTAGCTAATTTCCAGATTAAGGGATTATCTAGCTATGAATAACATCTGAAAATGCCAGGAGTCAGTAGAAATATGATGTTTCATTTCAAATATTAAAAGATTTTTGGTTTATATGAGTGATTGTGTGGATGAAATGCTACCAAGCCTACCAAACCACAGACACAACACAGTTACAATTAAGCATTTTCCAAACTTTCAACTTTGTACAAACCCTGTGTTCAGCTTTGTTTGTTTAGTGCATGTTGCCTTCAGATAAAACACAGTGACACTGCTCATGCATCACATGTGACTCAGCTCGGCTGAGGTGTGTTTACCCTGTACTCCTGGATGATGCCGTTCTGCATCTCGCTGGGTGGAGGCTCCCAGGAGACGCTGATGCTGGAGCTGTTGCTTAGCTTCACTGTTGCCACTGTAACAGCTCTGGGTGGGGCACTGGGGACTGTGAGAGGTGGGGGGGACAGCATTCATATCATTTCATCAACATCCTTACAGTGAGCACAAAGCATTTAAACCGCAAAAAATAAAATTGCTCAAGGCAATGAAAGTGTGGACCTATAAAACACAAGTCGAGAAACATGAAAGTGAGCTGTAGCAGGAGGGGAAATGAAGTTTTATTGAGTGCTTTAAAAAGTTAATAATGTTTTTTTTGCCAGACTAAGCTACTCAGGCAGGTCGATCCAAAGTCTATAAGTGCTGACGGCAAAAAAATAACGTCCGCTCCCTTGTTTTTAATCTAGAGTTTGCATCAAGCAATACAAACCTGCTGTGAACCTCAGGCTACAAAAATGGCGGTGTGGAGGCTGAATTTAATGAAATAGGGATCAATATAAATGAACCCAAATTGCGGAGGATATAAAATTAACCCCAAAACGAGATAACATTACTGAGATTCATGTGGTGTCAGACAGGTTAATGAGCAACCATTTTCAAGGCCTTGCAATGTCAAAGAAAACCTAGTTTATTTTAAAAGGTTTTCTTTGAATTTTGGTGCAGACATGTTTCAGAAGTCCCCAGAATTAAATACCTTCTTCTGCGGTTCGAACCAGTAACGTTCGGCTGTCCTTGCCCTGGAATTCATCAAAATAGGGACGGATCTTTATCTCGTACTCGGTCCCTTTGAGCAGGTTGGTGAGGACGGTGCTGCGCTCGGAGGGGGCATTGATGTCCTGGAGGAGCCAAATTCCCCCACTGGGTCGGTAGAAGAGACGATAGCCCTGGACGTACTGAGACTGGCGGTCAACCTTGATGAATAGAGGGGTGACACAGGGAAATTAGAAAAAGGTAAAAGAGAGGAAAGCTGGAGGTGAAAGAGTACATTTTTCTGTTCCCTAACCCCTAACGAAACCCTCAAAAGTTCCACAAAGAGCCACTCACCGTCCAGGATACTCGGATAGAAGCTGTTGTCGGCGTGATGGGATCTTGCAGCTGGACAGCCACCTCACCCAGCTCCCTCTGCACCTGCCTGTGGTCCACTCCCTGACCCGTGGGACTCACATCTGAGAGGAAACACACACATGTTAACTTCACCTCAGAGTGCTGCCACCAGTGCATTAACATAGTCGTGTTTTATTTGGCGTGAGAGAAGTGCAGACTGACCTTGAGTTCTGACAGGCTCAGAGATGGGGCTCGGGTCACTCAGGCCATAGGCGTTGACTGCTCGGACGATGAATAGGTAGATGGTGTTAGGGAGGAGGCCGGTGATTGTGTGCGTTTCTATCTTGACCATGTCTGCTACAGTCTGCCATGTGCTGCCTGCTGATTGGCTGTGAAAGGATAGAAGAAAGAAAGTATAACAATATGGTATCATGATATTTACTGATCACCAACTAAGATGACTTTTGTTCAGCTTTGCATGGATTTTCATGGCTGCTGCTTGCACATGTCATGTAAGCAGAGGTGGAGCTAACTTTGAATTATTAAGGGTGTAGCTAATTAACCTTGCTAGGCAGCAGGACTCATGAGATCACACAAGAACCCATTTCGCTTGTGTCTGAACACAGTGACTGTTTGCTTGACCACAACAATGGCGGCTGCTAAATCATGTATCAGAACTGGAGAGTATTTCTTCACAGAAAGAGGAGCAAAGAATGACGCTGAAGACTTTTCTCGACGGAAAAGATGTTTTTGTTCTTCTCCTGACTGACTTCAGTCAGAGTTCGTTATATAGTTATATGTTTCTTTGACCTGATTAGTTCAAGTTTGACTGTGACAGGTTGCGATCACACATATGCAAATGCAGCTGAAAATGTGGGCAGTGATATAGAAACACATGCAATTGCTATAACATTGGCATATATTTGCCAATGTTGATTTTGTGTATGTGTGACTGTGCCCATATACAGGTGGTTCATCCAATCACCTGCCAAGTATTTTTTGAAAGTGGCTGCCCTTCTCCAGTGCAGATTTCCCAGATGGTTCGAACTAAGCATCTGGCGCAGTCAGTTTAGTAACTAATTATTCATTATGGATTCATTTATTAAATATTTTCTCAACTTATGTATTGGTTGTAGGAAATACTGAGAAATGCCATCATGCTTAGCAGAATTCAACCAAGAGTTGGATAAAACAACAAATAATTTGATGTGTTTTGTTTGTAAAATGTGTGCAGTAACTAGCAGAGAAAGCTGTCAAATAATTGTTAAGGAGTATAAAGACTGACAGACAACACACTAAAGACTGTGTGTGTGTGTGTGTGTGTGTGTGTGTATGTTTCATACTGCATCCAGGACTGCTTTGCAATGCTGATTTGATACGCAGCTACACAATTAAACAATACATGAGAGGATTTCCAGATAGCAGCATCTATTTTTGGCTTCCTCTAATATTTCTTATCTGGTAAACAATAGCAGATGTGAGCAAAGTCACTCGGTTCAGAGTTTGTGCTCACTAAGAAGATCTCCTCCAAATGATACAATTTGTTGTCCTGATGAATAATGTAATGAGGCTTGTACGAAGGCACAGCTGCCAACAGGAAATGAGGCCATGTTCTTAGCCTTGTGGCACTCCCCCAGATGCATCCGGCTACCCCTCAACCCGGCTCCATCTTCCTCCTGTCCATCCCCTTTTTCTCTCCGAATTCACCGTCACCCTGGCAGAGTGGTAGCCACAAAGGCCTCCGCAACCATTTGTTTGACACTTTTAGATTTTCCCAAAGGGTATGGTGGAGGTTTTGTGGTGAAGCGTCAGTGCTGAACTGCACAAATAGACCAAAGTGGAAAACGACTCACAAATACTCATCTCTCGTGTGTGAGAGCGACTGCCCCGCCGGTGCTAGATTCAAGGTAACTTTGTGCAAGGCTGCAAGGATGCAGCCTCACCAGGAGAATGGAGAGCCTGCCTTTGTACATTAAATAAATACTATTACACTTTGCATATACACACACACACACACACACACACACACACACACAGGCCCCAACCCTGACGCTTCCCTGTGCTCTTACAAACAAACCTTAGCACCTCAGGCATGAAAAATGTTATTGCAAACATCCCACCGGCCCCCTCCAGCTGCTTTATAAAGAATCAGTTTGCGTTACTCGGAAACGCTCTGTTGCTGCCATGGGCCATGGTGGACGTCTGGATCTGATTAAGCTCTGCCGGTGTTCCCCTCTTTATCAAATTGGAAGGACACATTTCCCCAGAATGCTGCCTCTCTTCCTCCTTCCATCCATCGAGCCACCCATCCTGCTCAGCTAAATCTACTTTGCCCCGTAATTAATCCAACGTGGACTTCCTCTCAGGTGGCAGTACCTGAAGGGTTCTACTGAGGTACATTCAGGTTCACTTCTAGATTTTGAGTCTAGATTAGCCATGACAGACAAGAAAGACCATAGAGGCTTTTCACATGTGTTACTATGACCAGTGTGCATGTGTCTGAGCACAAGTGAGGTTTTGATGACTTACACTATGTCATCCATTTAAAAGTTATAGCTGACCAAACTGGTCCGTAAAATTAAAATCATTTTATTCATTGAACTGATTTTTTATGTGTTTTTTTTTTTTCTTTTGCATGTGAATTTGAGTTTTCAAGGTCTAATAATAAATAATAAATATGGTGGCTCCACTCACTTTAAATAGCAGCAAACCGTGAAAGAATTTCATTAGTCTGGGCTTTTGCTGTTACAAAATGTAAAAGTTTTCTATTATGACAAGACGAATACTTTTGCATTAAAATTGCCAAATTAAATCGGATAAAGACATCTAAAGATATTCAACACAAGACGAATACAGCCTTGACTGTTAAATAAAGAGGAGGAATGAGTTGAGGAAAATCTAATAACAAACAGGGGAAAGAGTGTGTCCATTCAGGCTCTGGGACCTGCCTTTGATGTAGATCTTGCGACACTCACCTGAAGGCCTCGATGATGTAGGAGGTGACGGCGGCTCCTCCCTCGTGCGCGTTGGGCTGCCACGTCAGAGAGACACTGTTCTTGGACACGTCCGTGACGATGGGTTTGTGCGGAGGTCCCGGCAACTGGAAGGGCTCTGTGGCCTGAGCGACTGACGAGTCTGCGCTCTCTGGAGTGGTGGGGGGAACAAAGATGGAGGCGATAGAGAGAAAAATAAAAGCAGAGAAAGGACGATTAGATTAAACTGCAGCATCCGCCTTCAGCATTCCTGCTTCATAATGTCCTGTGTGTAATCACACTAATGTTGATTGAACATTAACATCACCGTTGCTACAGGCTGACTTCCTCACTTCTAACAGGCTTTAATTTAGCTTTTCATGACAATTATAAGATCTTAACTAACCGTTACGATGCTAATAGTCAAATAACAAACTAAGGTGCCATCAGAGCAGCTTGTTAAGTCGTTATTCCTTCGTTTAGTGCCACTAATGAAATCTCTACAGCTTGAAATATTTTACGTACTAATGCCTGATGGGTTGTGGAGAAAATAAAAGGGCACAGCCTCGCAAAGTGCTGTGATTCAGTTGACAGTGTGCGCTGCAGCAGCAGCCGATGATATAGCACCAATATGTCTGAAATGATTAGCACGTTGTAAGCCTTTATTCATCACCAGAAATGCAGGGGTTGGTAGTAAGGAGTAACAAGTAATGCACATGAGTAAAAAATACTATTTATGTTCCTTTTTTTAAACTGGACTAACAACTGGAATAACAACCTCTGCAGAAAACAAAACTGTTCTGCACATTCATGCACTCAAAGACATTTATATCTGCAGTCTGCCCGGTAACAGCCTTGGGACCAGCAGGGGTTAAGTGTTTCAATTAGTTTCAGCTACTTGTTTCATTCGAGCAATGAAATGGTCACAATCTTGTTACTTGGACATTTTACAGAAAGATCACACACTGAGAATTGCTTCTTATCTGCAGTCACGCTTTAATCTATAACTGATAATTAATACTGTTCATTAAAGACAGTAAAAGAGTTACACAGTGACTTTTCCAAAGTTACCCTAATTAATAGAAATAGACAAGCATTTTCAGACACTTCTTTTTCCAGCTGAAAAGGGTTCTTTTTAATCGTATATCTGTGTTATACGTTGCCACTTCACAGAGCTGTCATTTGCATGTATTTAACATCACGCAGAGACAATTTACCTTTGACTGTGAGCACTCCACTCCAGCTCGTCTCTCCACTGGAGCTGGAAGCCAGGCAGGTGTAAACCCCAGAGTCCGTTTCCTGGCAACAGTAAAAACGTGTATCATTAGTTTAGTGTGTGTGTGTGTGTGTGTGAGAGTGTGTAGGTGTGTGTATGTGTATGAGTGAGACCGTGATACTGTGTTAATGTACCCATTACCAGTGATTGAGCCTAAATGTCATATCTCTCAAACCAGAAATGTTTGTACTCAGAATACCGAGCAGGGGGAAGTTGGCGTGGATGAAAAGCTGGCAGAACAGAGAGCTGCTATTCACACAAAGCCGACCGAGTGACTCTTTTCCACTTTCACATCAAAGTAAGATCGGCTTTTTAGTATCAGTGCGAAGCAGCTCGTAGCTCCCGTCGGTGCCAATATGTTTAAAAAGTGCATCTGTAATGCCATCGCCTTTTGTCTTTCTGTCTTTTTCTGGATGGTTACAGCAGCGTGATGAGGTAATGAAAGACACCTCTCACCTCTGCAGGCACGGAAATCACACAGCATCATATTAAAACCCTCATCCTACCAAGAGGGTAGCCGCAGACCCTAGAGGTGTACTTTTTGTCATATCTCTAAGTGCTTTACTCTATCATTCCAATTATATACAGTATGAACATTTCATGTCAATGTCATTATTATCTTGGCCAAAATAATTGCAATGCATGGTATTATCATACTTAGTCATACTTCATATTTTTAAATTGGCACCAAAACAGTTAGCTAAGAAACACATTGTATTACAGATAAGCCCCTCAGATGTTGTTTATTTTGGAATCCATACTGTTTCCACACATCCGGTTTAACTGTTTTTGTGTAGGATACAGGCCTTCGGCCATGGTGACAGACTTATCAGGAAATCAATATAGGACTGTGTACAAGTCACTGTGTTCCTAAAGACTTTGTGTCATTGTTGTTATTTTTAAGGAGACAGACAGATTTCCTCATGTGCTCTGTGGACAACCCTAAATACTGCTCCTGCTAAGGTAAGATGATGGTCAGAGTCAGAAAATACAACATTTCATAATAAAAGGTTTAATGACTTTCAAAACAAATGTTTATGTTCTATTATACAAGACTGTAAAACAGTGTGTCATGCGTTCAGAGCATGATCAGGACTTGGTGTAAGGGTGGGAAAAAGCACAAATGTAACAATTTTTGAGGCTGCAGATGGATAATCTGTTTCCATTTGACATTTACATAACTAGTAATGTTTTGAGAAGAAATAAGTTTTATCATGTTGGTATGATTGGTTATTCTCTGGCTCCCCAGGAGGTCAGTGTGCTGGTAGGATAAGGGTTAAGAATCTAAGATGGAAACGGAGCACGCACTGCCGACAATAGGGACAGAATTACTGATGCATGGACAGATATAATAACATAAAGATGAAAATTTTAGTCCTTAGACAGGTGAACTTTACAAGCACACGGGTGCTCATGGTAATGCAAATGGTTTCATTTGCATGATTTGGATGTGAAGTGACACCATGAATTTTGATATATCATCCCCTTATATCCCCACCACTAACTTGCCAGTAATGTTATCCAATCTTATCCAATCTTGGCCAAGATCTCTAATAAAAACACAGCTTTTAATCAAACACATTGGGTATGTTTATATAAATGTGCTCATCATTACCTTTCATGCTTCTCTTGGGCATTTTTTATTAACTGCATATGAATATTTTCATTAAGCCCATCTAATTAACTGTTACTACTTTGGACATTTTGTCAACTGCAGTTACTTCAGTGTTTTTCATACATGATATACATTCTCCGTGGACCCATTTGAAGCCGAAGCTAAAGTCAAGCTGGTGGCTTTTATGTTCCTCCTCTGATTGCTACACGGTAAAGGAGAAGAGTTAAAGAAAGGATCAAAGGACAGAATTTTAATGACCAGCTCGAGGTCTAGAAATTTCTGAGGAGCCAGTCTTTACACTCAACAGCTACTTAGCATTCTGGACAGGCTATGAGTAGATGTAATTAAGAGCTGTGTGATAAATGTGCCTGTGTATGTGTGTGTGTGTGTGTGTGCGTGTGTGTGCGTGTGTGTGCACATGTGAATGCTGGCTATTACATTTTTGGGGAGGCAAGCCAAAAGCTAGACGGGCTGTGAAATTGCTTACAACAGAGGGAGATGTTGGGGGTCTCTACACTGGGGAATCTCTCAATGTGACACTGAGGTAGTAAACAGTTCGCCTCTGAACACGTTTCTGTCGCTTCAGCTTCACTGCTTCAGGTCTTTCTTTGTTTCTTTCTTTGTTTCCTGTCTTTTTTCTCTCTTTCATTTTCAGTTTCAAAGACGCGTTCAGAAAGACAACAGCACTTTGTGAAAAAAAGTTGGCTCGCCTCACCTTCCTCACCGCCTTACCTGAGACAATATGCCACCACCAAGCCCCCTTGTTGGCAACTATTACACCAAGAAACATAGCAATTCACCAGCAAAGGGAGGGAGAGACAACTGCTATCAAATAAAAAAATTGAAAATATTATATATTATATAGATTTAACATGTTGGTAAGTTTGGTAGAAAGGGTACACATAATGCGTGTCAGTGAGAAACTGACATAGCTGTCCACGTAAAAGTCCTCAATGGACCGGGTGGAATTTATGCAGAGTAATGTTGTAATTGGTGTACCCTGCTGACATACATAAAGATCGATGATGTGTCTCCACTTCCTCCCACTGTACGAAAATCAAACCAAAATATCCAGATATGGCTGCTGCCATCTTATGCTGGCTGCGTCATTCAGGGGACAGAGGAGCTGCAGTATTAAGGACCCGCCCATACACCTGGGCGACTCAATCGCGATGTGAAACCCCATTTTTATAGCTTCAAGTAACAAATTAATTAAATTAAGCTGTCATGTATTACATCTTTTATATACAGTCAATGGTTTACACTTGCATTACTGACAAGCTCTCGCACAAGGCTGCAAATGTCATAAGTCTGCAAATCCTAATTTCACTGAGATGCGGGTTCTGATGATTTTAGGATTTTTTCTGCAATGAAGTTACAAGAGAAAGCGAAAATGGCAAAACTAGTTGCAGTTTTTATCGTAAAATTCATTAGAAACCAAAGCTGAGAGATTAGTCTCACCAATTTAACACAACCGTGTTTTTTTACAATCTAAACTCTACAGAGTAGGTGTAAAACTAGATAAATTATAGTGAGAGTGTCTGATACCTTGGCTCAATTTACAGTACAATGTGAGGGCAAAGGGACTGACTGTATTTAATGTTAACTGCACCTGTGAGGGCTGCCAGCTCTCTAAATAGCTCTCCTGTTGCACTCTGTGTGGTTGTACAGGTGTGTGTGGGAGTGTTACGGGGGATTTTAATTAGTTTTTCATCTATTTTGCTGCAAGATGTTTTAGTCTTCTGTAGTTCATCAATTGACATGCAGACCCAATCCACGGCAAACACAATCAGCCTTCCCTTATTCACTTATTCTGCGAACACAGCCCACATTACTCCCATTGAAAACCTTATACATTATGCAGAGGATGTGCAAGACAGAACCTATCATGACTAATGCCTCTCTGAGCAGCGGCAACATACTCGGCCATCCTCCCCTCCCGCATCAGGGCCAACTCATCAGTAACGCTGACAGAGGAATTACTCAGGCCTAAGTGGCTTGTCAGAGCGTCCTGCAGGACACGGGACAGGTGACTCTCCGTCCCATACAACAGCCCTCGCTGCTCCTCCTCTCTTTCTATAGGCCCTGACCTTGAGTTGACCCGTGGGCGCGTCTGTCTGAGGGGGTAAAAAGCGGCTCCCCAGATGGTGGCGTCTGATCGGTGGATGGGGAATCGGCAAGGAGGGCGGGCGGGGCAAACAGCCGAGACACCTGACTATTAATCAAGGCCGGCAGCTCTGGGCGCTGAGCGAAACAGATTGCTGAAAAATGGATGAGGCGAGAGGCAGAAGAGGGGAACAGGGAGGGTGGGAGGGAGGCTAGGAGAGAGGATCTCCAAACTTGAAGAGGCAATCTGTGAATATTTATTTATTTATTAGTTTGATTTCATCTTTGGCATTTGGGATATTTCTGCACTCGCTTCCCAGAAATCTGCCGGTCAAACAGGGTGATGTGAACTTTGGTGTCTTTCTCCTTTTCTTTGTCCAGCACCTGCTTACTACCCTGTTAACACGGGTATCAGCCGTCTGCACAATAGTGCACAGAAGGTTGATAATGATGTCAGATCCTTTTTTGTGTGGGTGCAGACGTGGAATCTGATTACTGACTATAACACGTGTATGCTGGGATTTAACGTCAACACATGAACTCGATTTCCTGCTTTAACCTGATTACTCCTGGTAATCTGTCTTCTTTTGTCCACACAGTCCTTCTATCACTCCTCAGGCTTTGTTTGAGTTCCTGTTTCCCAACTGTCCCCCTCTCTCTCTTCCCTATTTTACCTTGCCGTACCCGCACACAACCCCTACCCCACACCCACATCGACTGTTTAGCAGATTGGTAGCACAAACCTCTCTTTAACCCCCCCCCAGCACCACACACACACTACCCGTCTGTCCAGGACGTCTTGGCACCAGTGAGGGACAGCGATAGTGTGTGTCTGGCAGAGATCCCAGGGTAATGGCATCTCCTCATTGCCAGGGTGCGAGGAACAAACCGACCATCTGTCCCCCTCCAGGGGCCCAGATGAAATCGACTTATTTATACTGATTATTTCAGGGTTAAATGTGTTTTATGAATGCTGATTTCACTTTTTTTTCGCTATAATGGAGTTAATTCATAGCAGAGCTCACATAAAGGGATGTTTAGGGATGTTTAAATTGAAAATGTTATGAAAAATGAAAGGTTAATGAGTTATGTGTGCTTGGGAAAAGCCAGACTGACATTGATTTCATTAGATGATCAAATCAATATCTGAGAAATCTTCTTCTTTTTCAGTGGCATCCACTTTTTTTGATAATGAGTCTCCCAGTTTAAAGGAATTTTACAGGAGTTTATCACAACTGTATTCTTATGTTCGGAGCCTTGCCACCAGTTGTTAATAGCTGAGATCTCGAGCCATGTCGATAAAAATGAGTCTGAAGCAATGGTAGAAATGAATTTGTCCAGTACAGCAGGTTTTTGACCAAACACCTGCTTAACTAATACCATTCCCATCAGCTTCAGTTGTACTTTGTGTTTTAGTGCTAATTAGCAAATTGTTAACACGCTAAACTAAGATGCAGTGTCATTGTGAGCATGTGAGCATGATCACAAAGCCCCACTGTGCCTAAGTACAGCCTCACAGAGCTGTCAGTGTGGCTGTAGACTAGATTATTACAGTTTATGGAAGTAAATGACATTGCAATACAACTGCAGCATTTCTGTGTAATTCTGGGTCTCAATTCTTTGTTTTAGTAATGGACTTTGACATCATTGACAAGCCAGAAAGTGTACGGAACAACTCCTCAAATGAAACAAACAATCTCTACAAGTAATCTTGTGATCTTATCTCTGAATTCCAAAGCCATAAATACTATTTGTTGTTATGTTTGCTGTAAACCAATAAAATCAAATGCACCATCATGACTAAAGGGCATGTCTTTTCACTGTGTAGAGTCTGATCAAATGGAACCAGAGTCTACAGAGAACTTTAACATGCTGTTTGACAGCTTCAAATGGCTTCCGAAGCATAAGCACTTCCAAGTTGGTGCTCTCAGCTGTCAAGTCAGTGCCTTTTATTCCCACATGACGCGAATGCAGCATAAAATGTACTACAGGCTTCTGACTCCCAACTATTTCTCCTTCTATCCTCTCCTCTCACCCAGCCTCCTGCTCCTCTGTCCCTATCTCTCTCTCTCTCATTCATCCAGTCCTCACTCTCAGTGATGTATTGAGGATTTAATTACGAGTCTCAGCGATCGTTAATCATTGAGAACCCACAATCAATTAATGTGCGAGCCTCCTCGAGTCTTGCGGAGGCTGCGGTGACCTCAGGTGCTGCTTCGTACCCAGGAGGGAATTCTGGGCAGAAAGGATTTCATTAGCATGGAGTAAGATGGTGCTAACGACTGCTAATGGCCTTGCATGCTCATTATCATGGTGATCACGCCTCGGAGATGCGGTTTTGCTACATTCCCCACCACTCCTCTCATAAAAACTCATCATTTGAGTCAACCGTAAAAATGTCCTCTGTTTAAGTGCTTCATACTTTCCCTGTAATTAAAACTGGTGTTTAATCACATGGAATATGTATATCTTGCATGAACTGTGTCCTGTTTGATGTGCAAATAGTGATACATGTAGATGGTGAATACATTTATTTAGGTGTGGTGCGACGGAATGAGTTATAAATATACAATGAATTAAACTAAGTTGAAGGTCATCGCAGAGAAGCTGTGAATTTGAAAGTCAAAATGACTAAAGTCTAAATAAAAAGTTTGCTGTATCATTAATGAATGGATAAACTGTGTTTGCAGTCTTTTGTTCAAATACCTGGAGGTTGGTAATTTGGAAGGTGCCGTTTTCCATCAAGCTGATTCGACCGTCATTTCCCAGGATCCTCTGCCCGTCTTTTTCCCATTGGATGCTGGGGATGGGGTTGCCCATGATATGGCAGTGCAACTGGGTGGTGGAACCAGGAGCTAAGGTGTGATTGGCTGGCCCCTGGCGGATGATGGGTGGGACGCGGTCCGAAGGAGCTGTAGGAACAGAGAATGAATTCAAGTTAGTTTTTGAACTTATGTTCCTGTAACTTTGCGAGGCAGCTGGTCCGCAAGATCCTGAAATCACCAGATCATGCAAGAATCCAAGCTTACCAGGCGCTTGTGTGCGACCACAGTGGTTTGGACCGATCAGCGTCCTAGGAGGAACTAATGGCAGCTATGGCATGAGCGTGATTTAATGTGTGTGATGGCATAGATGCTGCCAGCATCAGTTATACCAGAACCTCATTTAAATAAGAGCAAAGAACGACACTGAAGGCTTTTCTCAATAAAAAGATGTTTCCGCTCTTCTCCCAACTTGCTTAAGAGTTTGACTATGTTAGATAATTTGTTGATCTGATTGGCTGAAGTTTATCGGTGATAGACGGAGGCAGAGCATTTTTTTAAATCGCACGGCCTTTTCCAAACAGTTTCCAATGAAGACTTCCCAGATGTGTTACAAACCACCTAGCACAGTCAGTGTTAATCAGTGTTTAAGTTCTATTCACTGTAGAGCTACTGTATGTACCACATTGTATTATTTGTCTATATTATCTACATGGGCAGATTGAAACTCGAAAGCACCATCAGACATTCATCATGTAACTACCCATGGCCTTAAATGTGGTGATCATCAAGTACTTTCACGGTCAGCTTCGTAATGGTATTTATTGAGGTCATTTGAAAGCTCAAATATTTCCTGCAAAAACAAAAATCATGTCCAGAATAACCACAAATACCTTAAACAAAAGCATTAATAATAGATCAGACGTGGTCCTTACTAGTAGCTTGGTCTTAGTGGCTATGTCAAAACCTTTACAGACTTATACGAAACCACATCATCCTGTCCAGTACAGTATTTTCCACTCTGACTATCCATCAGAACAACAAAAAGCTACAGGGCTATAGCTGTTCAGAAACCCCATTCTATCCAACCGTCACAGGTTGAATGGAAATATTACATCTCACTTTCTGCTTCAAACTACCTGTTAAACTATTAGCCTCGGTTGATATGTTTGATGTGTTTTTCAGTTTGTTACCACCGTCCTGGAAGCCATAGTAAATATGCACACAACATGAAGTCCACTGTTTGCTCTTTGGGGTAACAACTCCATGTTTGACTTTGCCTGCCCTGCCATGTGCAATGTAAAATGTCACTATAAGAGAACATCCACTCCCAGAGGCTCTCAAGTCCACCTCTCTCCGGTCCTGCCCCAGTTCAACATGCAAATCGATGACATAGATTTTTCTCAGGCAGGAATGCGTTGATACAGTTACCTTCTGTCAGAGTGACGATATTGAGCAGTGCCTCAATGAATACTGTATTTAATATTTATTAAGGTTCAATCATCTTTAATCAACACCTATTTCCTTTTTACTACATGCATGTGTTTGTAGTGTATAAAAACACACTTTTATTCAATTGTGACCAAAAACCAAAATATGTGGACCTTTTCACATGTAGTCTATTAGTAGTATAATGCAATGAACACTTTGTGAACAGCGAGACAATGTTATGAAGTTATTTTATTAGCTTGAGGTAAAAATAAATGAGGCTTCACATCAGAGGTAGGACTGCCTAAAAATACAACATTTTCACACCACATCCGATTTTAATGGATTTTTCTCTTAAAAACAAACTACAAAGACACAACCCATCTGTCACTAACTATCACTATCACTGGGGCCACTTCTTCTCACATGGGACACCATGGGAAAATGATTCTACACATTCTGTGATGAGTAACTTGGGGCTTGTTTGCCTTAGCAGCTGTGTATATATAACATCCGTAGTTTCAATCTTCAGTCGGTTTTTGCATCGCTTTAAAAAAATGTAATTCAATTTTTTTTCAAATTATCCTCCAGCTCCTAGGAAAACGTTTTACACACAGGTACATGTCCCTAGTAGATGTGCTGCTGCTTGTAACCCATAGACACACTCACTAAATAAATGTCCTAAAGTGCAGGGTTTTTTTCCGGAAATCTGATCTGCCACACCATTATCCTTACCTCTTCCACTCAACACTGTCTTTCAGAGGCTGTATTGGGCTTCCTTTTAAAGCTAAAGTGAAGATACTAGTATCATATTATACTAAATGACCAACCTTGACCAATGATCTCAGGATATCTGAATGAAAATGGGTACCCACAAGTCGCCCCTTTGCAGACATGCCCACTTTATGCTAATCCCATGCCGTTTTGGGCAAAAACCATAAAGTTTGAATGAAAGTGAATTGCATAAATTGGGAAAGCTGAGACACACAGTCAAAAAAGTCTGTAAACGGCCCTGCTGAAGTTTAAGCATGCTTTCACTTGACCTTTGTGCACCCACAGCCTTCCTAACATCATGTTGCAGCCACAGACAGACATCACCAAGAAACTCATGGACATATATGGCTGCACTCCATGTCTGCACGTCTGTAAGTTCAATTGTAAATGTAAACACTACGGTTTCAGTGTTGCCAGCTAGCAGAGTAATGCTTAGTTTAGACAGTCAGAAAATCCCTGCACATTTGTAAATGGTCATGGAAAGGAGCTGGAGACTGTAAATCAAAGTCCCTGGTTTTCTTTCCTTTTATTCTTTGCTCGTAACGAACTCGCCACGTAGTGACTGAGAAAAATAGAACATTTCACTCAACCGACCGTTTGACATTTGCTTAAAGACAAGGAGAACACCCCCATTAGTATTCTGCGGTGTGGAAATCTCTGATATCATCAGCTAACTGAAGCTAACTGAAAATGTGAAACGTCAACACAGGACTTAGTGTAGTTTGAGCTGAACAAAACCCCTGTTTACTCCCTGGGATGGGAGGAAGGCTGGGTGGGAGGGAAGCGTATGCTGCAGCGGGGTTATTTGCATAGAACTATCACCAGTTGTCCCTATTGATTACATCAGATAAGGACTCCTGCTGTTTGCTCATTTGGAGGAAGAATATTTTAATTTCAGTTGGATCTTTGTGTTTTCTCATTTATAACGCTGCAAATGTGTGGGGAGGCAAGGGGGGTTAAATCAGCAGATTGTGAGAGATGATTAATCAAATGTGAAGCTGAAAATGTTAAGTTTAAAGGTCCAGTTTAACATCTAGGAGGAATATAATATTCATAGGTATGTTTTCATTAGTGTATAATCACCTGAATATAGGACTCATTGTGTTTTTGTTACCTTAGAATGAGCTGTTTTTATCTACAGACGCAGTGGGTTGCCTTCCATGGAGTCCACCATGATGAACCACCATGTTTCTACAGTAGCCCAGAACGGACAAACCAAACACTAGATGGTTGCATTCACATTTTTCGTGGCCACTGCAGTTTCTCTTTCACACTTGTAAGGCAACTACACCACTAGATGCTACTAAAACCTACACACTGCAAAGGTAAGCAAATAAGTTGTTGTTTAGATCAATCTTTTTTTTTTTCTTTCATCTAATTAACAAGGGAAAGTTTCACAATTTTTCCTTTGGTTTAGTAAGAATTAATTATTAAACTAGTGAGTAAAACTAGCTGCAAGGTGAGGATACAAACATTGCAGTGGCAAATGCTAGTAATGTTTATAATAATGCCAAAATCATTTAGTTCACTACTGAAAACAAATGAAGGGTCATTCACTCACAACAAGGGTCATTTTGGCGGGACGTGCCCCTTTGTGGTTATGTTCCTATATAAACGATTAGACAAGAGATGCTGGCTATACAATGTTTTACAAAAGTGAGAAGGTATACAGTATAATCATATTGCACTCAATAATAGAGTGCTAGTCTTGAACATAAACAAAGCTAATACATTCATTTACAGTAAACGTGACTTCTTAAAATATATATATAACTAATGTTTCTTATATGTTGTGAGTAGAAATGGAACATTGTTTTTTCATAGTGCCATAAATACTATGACTCCTATTAGTATATAGTATACTATATACATATAGTATATCCCTAATTGAATACCCCAGCATGTTAAAGCTGCAGTAGGTAACTTTAACCCACAGCAGGGTTATTAGTTAAACATGCAGAATGATTAAACTAAGCATGATAATGCTAATGTGTTATTTTTAAGTAATTGGGAATACGATAAAAGTAGAAATGCAGAGGATAGTATTCACCCCAGACCACCCACTTTTCAAACTTTATACCTTTTTGTGCATTCGATCAACAGGAAAGACAAAGGTGTCAAGATATCACTCGTGTCTTGGCCACTCACCACTTTCCACCTCTAGCAGGGCTTTAGTCAGGATGCTGCCGGCCACACTAATGGCCTGGCATATATAATAGCCGGAGTCTTCGACTTGGACGTCGGCAATGGTCAGCTCACCGCTCAGCGACACAGAGAAACGACCTGACTGTGTAGGCTCCTGGATGGGGAACAGCAAGATCTGGAGAAGGATAACATCATGCAGTTAGTCTTATTTATTCTTCATAGCTTAACATACAGGCATTCATGTTTTGTGCTTTTCCTCTGTAGGCTCATATTGATAGAAGAACCTTCAAGCTACAACACAAACGACATTATGTCAATACCATAAGCCGCTCCACCTGCAGCTTTATAAAGATTTTGAATTTTGCAGCCGGACACAACATTAACTGACAAATGTAGCTTTGTGAAAATAAAGAAATAATCCCTCTCTATTATCACTTATGACCCACTAGAAGTATGTGGAAGTGTTGGTATCAGACCCTGTAGCATCGTTATCGCCGTCTCCCTTCTGTGCTCCCTGTGCGGAGGTGTGGGAGTGTTTATTTGTACTTTAGAACGTAAGCACTTGTGAAACTATCCCAAAATAACGTTTTGTTTGTTTGTTTCTCTGATTCACTGATTTGTTCTCGCTAACATCGCTCCCTCTCCTCATTCATTCTTTAGGTTTGTAGCTCGACCAAAGAGGCTCAGTCTGGGTTGCTCGTTTCCAAATGAGATCGTACTAATACTGCAATATTATGCCTTTAAGTAACACTATTCGAATGCAGCAGTGTAAAGAGAGAAAAAGAGAGACCACAGAAAGACATATGAACTACTGTCACTTAACACTTTACCTCTTTGTGCTTATGACCTCAAACTAAGAATACTTACAACAATAACCACATGAAATGGAGTCACAGAAAAAAGAAATCAAGCACATGAAAAAGAGACATGATGTGTAGGGATAGATGGAGGAACAGCAGCAGAAAGGATGAGCAGATGCAAACACTGGTTTCCCATTTAAAGATTAAGTCTGGCTTGCGGAAAAATGTCTATATTACACAACACTGCAAGAAAGGATTGTAGATAAAATGTGTGCACTCAGCATTTTTTTTTAAAATCAAGAAAACAAATTGTGTGCCTGTAAACAAACTCTTTCATTACATCTACATCCAGCAGCTGATACTCCCATCCAGTGGGTCAGAGGATAGGGTTTCAGGGCTTTGCTCAAGGGCACGTAAACAGGGAACGCTCAAGTTATTGCAAACCTCAAAGCTCAGAGCTGAATAGTTAAAATCAACATGTTGGATATCATTGCTCATAGCAACTTCAGCAGCATTAACTATTACAGTGATACACAACCTTTTGACATGCGTAACAGTTTGTGAAAGCAATGCACACCCAGACTAATACAAATATTTCACTGGCTTCACTTTCTAATGCAATACAATGCCACCAAAAGGGTTATTTTCCACAGATCTTGTCCTTGATCTTCTCTACCTTCCTTTTTCATTTGTCTGGATGAAATAACTGCATTTCCTGGGTATTTCACTGAAAGACAGCCACTATTCTCAACATGCTACCCACATACCTCCTCTCCTCCTCCTCCTCCCTTTCCTCCATGCTCTTCTCCTCTTTATCTTTCTCCTCCACTCTTGTTCTCCCTCTCTCCCACACACACACACACACACACATTCTCCAGGCCTCCTCCAATCTCACTCTTCCCCCTCTAATCTGTACCTAGGAGCCATGCTACAGGCACCCACGCACTCCCATCAGGCCTTTCAGCGCATTCCAACCAGGCTGCAATGCTTATCGTATGCTCGCCTTTCTCACACACATACTTATGCATGCCCCCCCCACCACACACACACACACACACACACACACACTTCTGAAGACACGCAGATCTGTGCAGACTCACGCTTTGGTGAATAATACCCTGTGTGGATGATGGGAAAACGAGGTGTGTATGAATGTGTGGTTGTGTGAGTGTGAGTCAGCCTGGCATTTAACTACAGCACAGAGTGGTGAAAGCAAAGGATGACAGTTGAGGACATGACAGAGAGAAGATGCAGGTTCTCTTTAAAGCACATGTATGTGAGTGGCATGTAGAGAAACTAGCGTAATAACAGGAGAAGTTGCCTTCGGGGCTCTGTTTGATATTTTTTATAAATATGGGAATATGTCTGTATATTTTAAATTTTAAAAATGGATGGATTAGACTAGCCTTCTTTTCTTTTTACTCAAGCGCTGTTTTTCTATGCTGCGCTGCTGATGTTGGCCTGAACGAGGCAGATCTGAGATGTTCTTTGTTTGCGTCAGACTACAGTGAACAGGAAACACAACACCCTCTGGATTGGCGGTTTTAGACTTTCAAGATGGAATCTGAATTTGAAATGAACTGCATTTTTAAGACTGTTCCCTGGGCTTCATTTGGACAACTGCTTTCACCCAGGCACTGGAACATGAGGGATCTAATGTTGCTGCTTTACACACTTAAGTTCACTCCTCTATGCCTCTTTTTATGTTCTATATATATATTTTTTTATACGTGACTCTGTTAACGGCTTTATGCTACTATGTTGGCCTCTTTTGTGCAAGAGATAATGCATCTCAAGATACTTCCTGGATGAAGAAAGACTAAATAAAGTATTTTAGTTTTTTGTGATAATCATTAAAGACAGATAAACCTTTGTAACTTTTAAAAGCATTTCCCAACACTGAAAATGAATACCACTGAATGATAATATTTAAATAAATTATGATACAATTATTAATGATCATAATTCATTTAAATGTTATCATGATAACAATATTCCGTACATCGTGGCAGACGTATTCATTTCAGTGTTGGGAAATGCTACTCTTAAATGTTACAACGGTTAATCTGTTTTAAGATTTCTTAGTTCCAAGTAGGTTCTCCAGTCTCCAAAAAAAAGGTATGGCTAAGTATGGCAGGGAAATAAATCAATGACATAGACACTATGGTAAACACAGCAGCCAATCATAATGTACTATTCAGGCCTGAATGAATGAATGAATGAGTTCAGTATGTAGTCGTGTTGTTTTAGACCAATCCGATTCCTGGAATCTGCAGATAGATGAGGGGTGTGTCTAATGATGGATGTAGGTAAAACCATATTTGGTGATGAATGTTGAAACATAGAGTTTTTATAATATAGTTGTTCTATAGTCAGAACCCCTATATTACCTTAACTGTACAGTGGAAAAAACACAGCTGGAAACTACTGCAAGATTGTGGCTGACCACAGACACAAACCCTTTGAAACACTTCCCTCTGGCAGGAGGCTGCGGTCTGCAGAGGAACCAAAACCTCACGCCACAAAAACAGTTTCTTTCTGTCTGCAGCTGGCCTCATTAACAAGGCCCAGAACCCCACTGACACTGACTCTTAAACCCACCCTGTATATATGCATTACATTAATGCACTCCCGTTTCCTGTACAGTTTTCTTATTTTTCTTATCTTTATTATTATATTTTAAAATTACTTTATTCTTGTTTGATTTTTGTGTGATTTGTATATTTTATGCACCATTGCACCAAGACAAATTCCTCGTATGTGTATAAACCTACTTGGCAATAAACCAAATTCTGATTCTGATTCTGTATATATATATATATAATAAAATATATATTCAGATTTATACAGCATACTCCTGTAAGGTAGCCCATTTGCAAAATACCATGGCTTCACTATTCCAACTCCTATTTATGTGATAGGGCAGACAGTTCCATCAGCAGTGGGAACCCTGGCCCTCCCTGCCACTCTAACCCCACTCTCCAATACACCTCCTGACAGACACAAATTGACCATGAAACCCTGATGGACGCCTCAGAGGGCAGAAGTAGAGTTAACCTCTCGCAAACAGATCGAGATTCACAGCTGACTTTAATACATGCCAAAGGAAGTTTCATACCTGGCTGCCTTCTTTTTGCCAAAACACGGCTGGTGGAGGGTTCCCTTTGGTGCCGCAGAGGAAGGTCACGGTGCGACCTGGAGCTGTGATCTGGTCCCGTGGCCGAACCACAATCTGAGGGGGCACTGTAACATAGATAGAGAGAGGGCACAATAGAGTTATTATTTGTGTGTGTGTATGTGTGTGTGTGTGTGTGTGTGTGTGTGTCGAGCGGGGTTAATACAGTGAGAACACGCCAGCAGTGACATTGAGTGCATTAAAGCGTGACAGGCCACCAGTGATGACAGCGACTCATAACTGACAACTCTCTCTCTCTCAGGCTCTCCCTGTCTCTTTATCTCGCATGCACACACACATTCACACACACAGCCTGTACACCTACCTGTATGGACTGTCAGGAAGCATAAAACTGAACAAATCTCTGCTGCCACTTACAAACATCATTTCTATCTGCTTGTTCTCACCTGTTTGTCTGACTTCTACAACACAGAAAACACATTCAGTGAAGGCCAAAGTGGAACAAATTTTAAAAGAATATAAAAGTTAATTTTTATGTATAGGCGACAAAGGTTTATCTGCCAAGCACAGGGAATTAACATTTTCCAAATAACACAGTTTAATATACGTAGTTCATCAAGGAGAAAATATATCAGCAGCCTTGTGGTTGCCTTTAACCCTCAGTTAACTACATTCAAATATAAATTATGTCCAAACATTCAATCAAGGTTACTGACTAATTACTCTTGATGAAACATTTTCACCATAAGAGATTTTGTGTCAATATAGCAAGTATTAAACACACTGTATCAAGGCGGGGCAATAATACTAATTATGTTTGATGCTTAACAGGCCAATCTTCAAACCCTAACCAAATATTTGAAAGAATCTCTTTAAGTAAAACACAGTTTTAAGCAGAAAAGACAATATTGAGGCAGCATTCGTCACACATAGTGGGTCATTGCTGTGAGTCAAATTGTGGCAAATTATCATTACTGATTCAAAACAAGTCAATTCTTTGAGAATCTCATCAAACAAGGCTCAGAGCTCTATAGCAATAAAGAAATAAGTAAAGCATCTCCTTTACTAAAAACCGTCTCCAAAGCCTGAGCAGAGTTTGCTTTTTGCTTCCCTTTTTAAGGTTGTACAGATTCAGGAACCATCTGCATTTCAACTGGAGAAATTCTCCGATACAGCCTAAAATGCGGTATCTGTCGATACCGCGTAATTTACTTGCTCCTGCTACTTCCCAGCAGTGTCCTGTTCACCTTCATCCACTAATTTCCATAGGTCTTTAGATACAAACAGGAATTGGCTAAGGGGACCTTTACTTCCTATGGTTCCTGGAACTATCAGGCCAAAAAGGGCTATTTGTTGTCTACCAGGATGGGAATATAAAATGGATCCTCTGTGACCTTGATTTGTTTGGCTTTAACTGATGAAGCACGCTATAGATGCTTATTGGTTAAGCTATAGGCCATGATGATCAGTCTCCCATTTTTGGATGTAGCCTATCAGAAAGGTCAGCCCAGAACCCAACGGAGCCTAAATCCAGGTTTGTGGGTCACCTTTCTGATCCCAGGCACCGAGCTAATCAGATGTCTTTGAACATAGATGGAGGGCAAGAGGGGAAGCCTATGTCCGTGTCTTTTTTTCTCTCTCTCTCTCTCTCTCTCTCTCTCACACACACACACACACACACACACACACACACTTCTTTGATTTCTATTGATTCTGTAGCAAGTGACAGGCCTTCCTCCACAGAGGGGGGTGTGAATGCATAATGATGCCCTCCACCAGTCCTAATTGATTTCTCATCTTCCCACCTGATCTCCAGCTTCTCCTTTATTCTCTTTCTCAATTAGCATTGAGACAAACAGAGAGAAGGGGAAGACAGGGAGGTGGAGAACCTCCCTCAGAACAGAAAGACAAACAGGACAAAATATTAAATGTAGAGGCACTGTAGAGGCTCCAGGGTTTGCAATCGGCTTGCCTTACAATATACTGTAGCTTTTTAAAAATTCAAATCCGGTGATACAAAGATACCTAGTGAGAGAGAAAAAACCTGACCATGACATGGTGCAATACCGTGATTCATAGATGCTGTCTCCTTGAGACTCTTTTCCTTTCAGTTTGAACACAACATAACTTTGCTTTAATGTGTCAACCCAAAGCAATTAAACTTTGAGAAATGCTTGCTGACATTAGTTACCTCTGAGAGGACCAGTTTCTTGTCTGTTTTGTTGAGTGGGTTAGAGTTCGATTGAGTGCTTAAATGAGGAGAAAACAGCCTGGAAACCAAGATAAACAGAGAGAAGTCAGCAGGTCGAGTCAGGAAAAACAGGCCAGCAGTTGAAGCAGATGAGTGTAAAGTACTGACATTTCCTCTGACATGATGTTGTTGCCGGGTTTGGATTGAGAATCACTGACTGCCCAATTTCTAGCCTCCATATTTGTGATTTACCTGCTCCCTGTAATCGCGCCACCTCAGACGAGTATGCAAGATTAATTTCATGCCCTGCGTACACATTTTATTTCCCTACCTTGGGAATTAGCCTGCCCTTTGCTTTCCTATAGACTGCTTCCACCATGGGCCCCTTCACACAGCAGGAGTGGATCCATGTGTCAGCTGCGGGATGAATCACATCTAAGAGGACTTTGGCCAAAGTGGGCAGGGTCATGTCCTGGGATCAAAAATGCACCCCCCACTAACACTAAAGGTCAAAGCCCAAACATGCTCCCAGTGCTTTGGATGTGAACCACAGGGTGGAATATGGGCCTGTGGCACTGAACCGCTGCTTTCACTCCCAGGTTCCATTAAGGACAATAAGGAGAATAACAATGTTTGTCAAGACTGATGCAAGGCATGAAATATTAAAGAAATGACGTGTAATACCCACTTCTTATGTAATGTAACTCCCGGCTTGTGCACATACAGATGTGCCGAACACACACAGGAGAAAAGACACCACATCAGAACACCATGCTAAGCAGGCGGTTTGACAAAAACTTGTCAACACCTGAAAAATCTTCCCCTCGCGCCTCACACAACGCCATAACTTTGACCTAAATACAGTGACAGCTAGGAATATTCAGGCTATTAAAATGCCGTTTTTGGTGCGCTACACAGCCCTGTCTGGAGAATAACAATGTTTGATTTGAGGAGGCAAGCCGGCACATCGCCTGAGGCTGTAATAAATAATTAGCAATAATGGGTGCACTCGACGCGACACTGAGCTTTAGATTTAGGGCAGGGAGAAACATTAACATCCTCACATGGGATGGAAACGGGGAGATGGATTGTAACAGAGCAGCTGAAAAATACATGACAAAAATCAGCAAACAATGCCTGAATGTCATAGAAGCTATTTGCACAGCACATCGCTGGTACAGTAATTTAGTATTCTGGGATGCTGGCTTTTAGGTATGACAACTTTTGTTGTTTTAAGTGCCCTTAAAAAAAGACAGACACTGTATCTGCTTATCAAACACCATGGCACTTTAATATTCCAATTTTATGAAATATATAACTGGGTCTGCAAAAATGATGTCACATAAACTGATAAATGCAAGAGGTAGTGTCAAGGTGGTAAATTTGGGAACGTCTAAATAAAGAATAAAACACTCCAGATAGGAATTCAAAGGCGCCTGAAGACTTTTATATGCTGGATATTGCCAGAGCTGGAGAACACATAACAAGGCTAACGCGCCAAGAGGGAGGCAAAAATAGACAAGGGCTGCAAGTTAGATTTCCACAGCTTTTACGTTAAGAACTGTCAGAGTAAAGGAGGAAAGTCTGGACTGAGTGTGAAGTGCTTGGTCTCTTTGAATGTTTGTGTGTGTTTCTGTGTGATGGGGACCAAATGTTCTCTTAAGGATGTGAAAAATCCAGTCAATTGAAGAAACATGGCCAGTTACTTTTTAGGTGGTGAGGGGTACAATTACTGTTAACACAAAATATATGTGTGTATGTGTATTATGGTCCTGCCATGGCAAAATTAGGCTGTGGTCTTCTTAACGTGCATGACATCCAAAGGTGATCAGGCAGGACCAGCCAGAGGGACTCCCAGGAACAGTATACCGACACTATGGAGCAGGTTCTACACATTATCAAGTTGGGCAAAGGAGAGCAAAAAACAATCTGACATGCTAGCCTTGAAGCATCCAAGACCCGGAAATGGTCTTCCACTAGGGCTCCATAAAGTTGACAAAGTTAACCATACAAACTATTTTTAAACCAGACGTTGCATATGTTTCTGACTAACTGGACTGTGGAGCCCTGCATATCTAGAAATGAAGTGATAGCGGTACCTACAGCGTAATATTTTGGCCCACTGACCAAGCGACAGTATCTGACAAGTGGGGACTGAGAATGTGTTGTCTGGTGATACGGCTGCTGAAACCACCTTTAACATCATCAATGGAAGAGCCTCATAAACAAAATTAAAAAGGTCAGCTGCTCACCGCATACTGTGCTCCCACTATGACAGAGCAGAGTGTGCGACTTGTTCCACTACAACACTGTGTTGCTCAGACACATAGCAGAGGCAGACAAAGTGCTTACAACCAAAACGCCTTGCCTCTTCCACCCCCCCCATCTGCACACTTGACGTGTGATTTGCACCAACATACTGAAGCTATTACACACGGGGGAACACAGATACACACACATGATCCCAGCAGGAGCTCCTCAGGGGCCTCAATGTGACAGGCAGCTGTCACAGTCCCACGCTGCTGCAGACAGCGTGTTTCACACAAGTATGCTTGAGTAAACACACTCTGACGCTGCTGCTGCTGCTGTACGAGCCTTTAGCTTCATCCTTTCATATAAAACCTCTCTTTCTCAGACATGCACTTATTTCCCCGACGCATTCTGAAATCATGATTGAGGAGGTGGTTATTTCCTACGCATAATGTATTATAGCTGGACCGTAAATCATCCACGCTTTTTATCTAATTTGGAGTTGGACCTTTGTGCCCAGATCTCTCGCCTATTTATCCAACATCAATATATGAATTGGAGGCCTGGTACAGCTCTAAATAAACTGAGAGTAAGTCATAGAGACGGTGCTGCACTTCTTTGCTTTAATAATGTCTAGTCAAGCCCTGCTATAGGGTAAATGATACAGGAATTTAATTGCATGAAATTCAATAGGAATCTCATCATACCACCTGTCTATACGTTCAATATGTAAAGCAACCCAAAAGTTGTGGTACAACTTGCAGCTGTTTTCCTTCCCTGCACCTTTTTCTTCTTTCCTATCTTTTCTTTTCCTGCTTTTTTTCATTCCCCAAAGCTGGATGCACATTTACACACAGGATGGACTCAATTCAGGCTTGACTTAAGTTGTCAGAATACACGTCCCATTTGCTTAATTGTTGCTTTGCCTCTACTTGTAATTTAGCAAGCAACCCCAATGGAATACAGAGAAGGTAAAGCGTTGGTTTCTATTTAATTTAGCTTTTTTCTTCACCGACTTGGGTTAAAATCAAAGTGATCTGAGTTTAATTGAACTACAGGAAGCAACTAGGATAAACTTGGATACAAACGGGCAGCTAGACCAGATGACTTTTTGGGATTGTCACATCAGCAAGGTCACTTTGGGGCCTTGTTGCTGCTGTTCAATCAAACATTTGCAACCCAAGAATTGCCCATCAATTTCAGTGATTCCACACCTACTTATCCCATCTATTGGAGATTGGCTTTGTCTAAAAAAAAATCTATCTTCTGTTGCTTTAGTATGCTCTTTTCACAGTGCGAAAACATGTCTTTGTTAAGTGCAAAGTCTTAAAATGGCAATACCTTGTTACCAGCAGAGGCTTAGCATTGGAAACAATCTCTTCTGCTCATTACTTGATTGTTATAAGAAAAAACTGACATATGACAGATTATTAGAGTAAAAAAAAAATGGTTCAAATAAGTAGATTTCATTCGGGCCTATACACACATTTTTCCCATATTTGCACAAACCTCTGCTACAGACAACTGTCTCTAATGCACATACATCTGTTGTCTCCGGCCAATGTGTCATAGCTTAAAAGGGTTATTTCATCGCTCTCAATTGCCCTTGCCTACGTGTATGTGAAGTGAGTGAGAGGCGGAAAAGATAAAATGTTATAATGATGTCAACCTTTTAAGCATTGAGCCTCTTACAGAAATGGAAATGCACAGCGAAAAGTCAAAACCCACAGATATACACACACACTTCCTCCAAACACACACCCCGGTTAAAACACCTCGTTGTTATGTTACCTAAACTGTTCCTGGAACCCATCATTTACACTCCCTGCTACTTATTCCATTTTTGTTGTTGTGACATTGGCCCGTCTGACAGCCGATCCCTCTAACACCTGTGAAAACTTGCAACTCCTTTCCTCACTTACATGTTAGTCTTCCAGGAACACCCATGTGCTGTAATACATAGCGGTGAAGAAACAATATTTCCATGGTAAAAGGTCTACTTTTGTGGCTTTGGTATTTTTCTATTTTACAACACACAAAAGAAGCATTCTGTGCTGCCTCATTCACAGTATTTTTCCTGTTTAATCATAATGACTGCACAAATGCACTTGGAAATGATATCATGGCCAAGCAGCTTGGTGCTGTGAGTTTGTCAGCTTCCAATCTGCACTGCTATGTTCCTGCCGAAGAGCAAACACTGTAACATGACTATTTTCTAAGTACAGAGGCACTGTTTTTCCAGACTGAAAATTAAATTGTCCAAGCATGCGTGAATAATCACTATATTACTGCAGCATTATTATACTCCTATGCTATAATGTATTTTGGAGTGTGTGGGATATTTAGCTTTTTCTCTACTGTAGTTCCCTTTCACTGTGTTTTATGCATTGGAGAGCGCTAAATTAAAGATCCCTGGTATTAATGGAAGCTTTTTCTTTGTAGTAATGGAAACTCCACCTACAGTAGATGAGCTAAAGCATGACTGGAGCACAGTTTTGGGAAATCAAAAGCCTACTACCAGCATTTCCACAGCTACTTAAATACCAACTGGCTATCCTCTATTCCTAATAGGCAAAGAAGCGGCAGTGGTAGTGGGGGTTATGCCTCCAACGTGGCAACCTCGTATCTTTATGTCTCTGCTAAATTTCTCTCACACACACACACTCACACACTCACACAATCACACACATGCAAAGATGGGATGAAATGGAATACTTACAAGACGAGCCGACTGTGATGGGGTGGTGCGGAAATGGGTGGAAAAGAAAAGAGGAAAAGAATGATGAATGAGAATGAGATGATGAGAGGTGATACTGGATGAAACATTTGAACAGACAGAGAGGAACTTTGGAGCACCGCAGCCACTCAGGTCTGTCCGAAATTAATAATCACGAGTTAGCTGAATGTGAATGAATTGGCTGCTGTTTAAATGAAGTGGCCCCAAAAGAAGGGAACAGTGGATGAGTAGGAGGAGGGCTGATGGACTGGATGTGGATACACAGGTGAAGATAAGAGGGTATGATTGATCTGTGGTTTTGTCCAATATGTTGTGTGTGTATGTGTGTGCTGTGCTGCTGCTGCAAAATCCTATTAGCAAAGTGTGTTTATGCATGTGCAAGATTTTGTGTAAGTGTGTTTTCTCTTGCACCAACAAATGCCCTGTGTCTGTTTGTCACTGCGTGCATTGTGGGTATAGCATGTGAGCACACGTGTGTTGACAGATGTCAGAAGTGTCGGTACAGACTGGAGGGCCCGCTCACAGAATCAACTGTTACAGAGTAACACTCTAAATATTCCCTTTTATCATCACAAATGACAGATTTCTCATCCGAGCGCCTCTCTTCAAGGGACTGACTTTATTCTAATGCAATTTCAATGCTTTTTGATCTCTCTCTCCAGAGGGACGAAAGCCGAGGCTTGAAAGAAACTTAAAATCCATTTTTCAATTCCCTCTCTCTTATAGTTTCAGTTAACATCCTGTTACCAGAGGCATAATGTTTTAAGCACTCACAGTGTCTGTCTGTCTGGCTGTCTATTCACAAGTTCCTGACTTCTAATGGGCAATATCTCAACATTTTGGACACTGATGATCATATTTAACATGTTTGTTCTTTCAGAGAAACCTTAAGCTACCAAATTTAATTTAGACAGTTAAATGAGAGCATGCTGGTAGATGTTTTCAATTCAATTCAATTCAATTTTATTTGTATAGCGCCAATTCATAACAGAAGTTATCTCAGGACACTTTTTAAATAGAGCAGGTCTAGACCAAACTCTTTATAACATTATTTACAGAGACCCAACAGTAAAACTGCCTGTTAAAAGGCAGAAACCTAGGACAGATCCTTCGGCTCTAGGTGGGTGGTCTTCTGCCTCGACCAGTTGGGGTGAGAGAGAGAGAGAGAGAGAGAGAGAGAGAGAGAGAGAGACAGACAGACAGACAGACAGACAGACAGGTGCACAGCAACAACAGTTTTGTGCTGCATAATGGCAAAGCTGTCCATCTGTGTAAATAATTTACTCATGTATTCAGTGTTAAAATCTGTCTGCAAAATTGCCTCCACTGAAGTTTCACTTGTATCTACATATTGGAGACAAGTGAAAACACTGACTCACCAAGGCACCCCATATTAATATTAAAATAAATGATTTGCTAGGAAGACTAGTTTTTGTGATTTACACATTTTGTAAATCAGTTCTCTTGTAATCATTCTCAGCACCTACATTACGACTGTGCAGCCAGCTGGTGCTGTCAGCGACTGTAGCTGGAGTCTCAGTTGCTTGAACAGCAAACTCAACTCAAGCTGGAAGTTTCAGGGATGACGTTTTGCTAAAATATGTCTGAGGCATGGTGTCTGTTGCAGGGAGTGAGGAAGCATAGCCCGTGTCTTACCGTGCACTTGCAGGGTACCCGAGGCTTCGGCTTTGCCCACGCTGTTCTCAGACACGCAGGTGTAAGTGCCCTCGTCCTCGCCTCGCACCTGGGTCAGACGAAGGCTGTTGTCGCTGCGGATCTCAAATCTGGAAAGACATTGGAACACAAGATTTAGCACAAAATGCAATGTATCACTTTTCTGAGAAATGTTTTAATGCTGATTGCATTCACCAGTTACCTGGTCCATGAAACCTTTGAAAACTGACTTACACAAAACGTAGAGATATCAGGCTGAGAACAAGGCTGTTTCTCATTCTGTTTTAAAAGCGAGTGGCAGTATGAGATTTTGCTGTGTAGTGAATTTCAGTTAAAGACAAGACAATAAGGTATTTTAAAAGGAGTGTCTATAATTGAAGTTTTCTAACAAGTGGCTAATGTGTTTACTGCACACGGCCATAAAAGCAGGCAGAGACAGAGTGAGTTGTCCTGTATAGCTTTAGGCAACGGACAACAAAATCCATCAGAGTCTCCCGCTGTAGATCTAACCCCTGCTGACACTAAAGGAACATTTTACCCTATTTCCCCAGAGGGATCTTTACAGTTACATTCAATCAAATCCACAAAGTCTGTGAGGGAGTATAGCTCTCCCAGTGTCACCCTGCAATAGTACCATGACTGTTATCACTGGCATGATTATTAAGATCACTGGCAGCAGAGGAAGTACAGAAACAGTAAGTTGGACAGCTGTTAAATAAATATGGTGCCTATTAATTGAATGATTGTCTCTGCACTAACACAAGCTGCTGTACCATATGAGGCGTACTTTCTGATTCTTGCAATAACTTTGTATCTTTGGAATGGCATGTATTATAAACAGCACTTGATTTATTTGTTCCAAATTGTAGTAATAATAAAAGCAATCACTATGACTCCGTGGGAACTTTAATTTCCTTCAATTTGTTGTCCATTCCACCTCCAAAAGAACATCATCTCTTCAAAAAACCTGCGTTTATTTTGTCATTTTGTTTGCTAAATTTCAAACAGTGGGATCCTCCGAGCATCCACTCACAGAGAATCATCTTGTCAATCAATCTGTCTGGCTCACGATTAGCTTAGCACGGAACAAAACCTGCATACAGGCAGACATTTGTTCTCTAATTGGAGGCTGTTATATTATTAGTGGAATAAAAACACTATTTGTTACCAGAAAATGTAATATGTTGCTTAGTAACACCCTGGCACTCAGCATGTATTGTCGCTATGTTGGTGGTACTGACGCATTTTACAGTTCTATCAGACAGTGCTGTTTCCGCTGTACCTGCCCCGGGGCAACTCTCCCTCTTCTCTCCGCCAGCGGACAGTCGGAGTCGGGTCTCCATGCACTTCGCAGAAGAAGTCCACCGTATCGTCTGCCAACACCACCTGGTTCACCGGCTGTTTGGTGAACACTGGCCTCTCTGAAATTAGACAGAGACAGAGGAGGAGGGAGGATTAAAAATGCTTGCAATGCTAATTCTTAATTGCAGATTGACTTTTCACATTATTTAAAAGAGTGTACTAATTTTGGATAGCTTGGCCAAATCCAGACACAGCTTTTGATATAATTATCCTATCCTATGCATCTTATTCAGTTTTATTTACTGTGAAGAGCCAAATATCACAACTCACAATCTGTCCGCAGACCCTAAAAAACTAAACAAAATAAAAAAAACTAAATACCATTTGTAAACTTTAAAACATAAAGACCAAAGAAAAACCAGAGAGAGGTGGAGAGCAATGAGATAGAGCTGTGAAATAAAGCAACAAAGAAGGGAGTAATGGAGCAGAAGAGGAGCAGGAGGTTAAGGGTTGGGAGGGTTAAGCGTGGTGTGGAAAGCTGTGTGGGAAAAGCTGATGGCCACTGCATTGCACCAGAGCTCACTTTGAATGTGAATATTTGATCCGAGCCTCAGCTGAGCCTGAGAGATTTCTTACCAAACATCTACTGAAATATAAAAAAAAGGTGCGTGATCAACACCCAAACACAAGCAGGAACTGATACTAACAGATCATTATTAGATTGGATCAAACTTCCCCTCCAGGGTAATTACATTGTTGCAGCAGCAGAGATGAGTATGACAGATGAATAAAACTAACAGTGACCACCAAGGACATAAATTGTTAAAAACCAATTAAACTTGTCAACACCGTCAAATAAGAAGGACGATTTTTGCATCATCATTGATTGAGGTACAAACCTGATGTAGGTGAATAACTACATTGAGTTGCACAGGTGGAAGAATCAATACACCAGGGACATATGTCCAGAGAGATAAATATGCATTGTAAGCTCTTATCACGATCATAATCATTCTTTAAAATGGTGACAGGCGAGAAATTAGTGCAGATGTGCACTGGCTATTATCTTGCAAATTTCACAGATGGCAGTAATATTAAATATAAGGGAAAGTGTCAGGCCATGCATTTCCCAGAGCCATAAATGATAAATTAGGTGTTACACACTGGGTTAAGGTTTAGTGTTGCACCACAATGTGCAGAAGGAGCAGCATGTGGGTGGTGGTGGTGGTGGTGACTGAAAAGAAAATCTCAATCTTCTATCTGTTTCCTGGGATCAATACGCACTTTGAGAACGTTTATGGTGCTGCTCTGCCGAGAGCAAAGCAGAGAATTAGAAAGAAGGAAGAAAGCGGCAGAGGTCAAGAGAGCAGAGCAAAAGGGCAGCTGGAAGGCAAACATTCATCTCCTCAACAAGCTGAGGGAAGAAAGTGCAGCTCAAAAGAAAATAAATCACAGTTTGCTATATAAACCATAATGAAAATCTGTTTTTGTGGAATTCAAAAATAGCCATGCTTTTATAGGGATTTGTACTGTGATAACAAAACACATTGCTATTATTCCTATATATTTAACTTAAAAGTTGACTCACCAAACACCACCAGTTCAGCAGGATCACTGTCTTTCTCTCCAACCATGTTGGTTCCAACGCACACATACATGCCAGCATCACTTTTCCTGGTGTTGGAAATCATCAACTTTCCTCCTCGCATCTGAAAATGAGGGGCAAAAGGGAGGAGAAAAGGGGATGGAGTGAAGGGAGAGAGGCACAGAAGGAAATTAATGAAAAGGTAAGTGGAGGAGGGGGAGGGAAAGAAGACAAATGGAAAGAGGTTGGGAACAGGATATTGAGGCATGTTAGTCGAGAGAGAAGCCACTCCGTCATTTTCAGTGTGTGTCATGACAGATGGCTCCTCTGCTAGTTCTTACGCTGTTTGACAATGGGTCTAGCTCTAGGCCAATCACCATAGAAACATCTTCCAATGCTTAGTTTTTAATAAGTAGCTGCATTGATTGATACTGGTAGTGTGCACCCACATGCATGCCCCCCAATCGCAGGTTTATATGCTTTGTTTTTATTTATTGTAAGTTTGTGTGGCCAGTTATTTCTGGAAGGTGGACACAAGAAAAGTAGAAATATAAAAGTACGGGTGGACTTACAGTGATCCTCTCGTCTCGGTCATTGACCCGGATGTTGTTTCTCTTCCATGAGATTGTGGGCTCAGGATGGCCTCTTGGGGGGATACACTCCATAACAGCCGGTTCACCTGCCGCTACCACCACATCGCTGGGTGTTTGACGGAAGTCGTCTCTCAGAACTAGGGGAAAGAGGGAAGGTGAAGAGAAATGGTTAGACTGTGTGTAAGCATCTTTGTTGATTATACAATCTTTTATCTGGCTTTGCATACATGTCGTTCTGTTAACGTTCCGCTGACATTTAATCCTGAATATAATAATAATTTCCTTTCTCTAAATTAGGCATGCCTGTTGACTTTTTACTGACATTTGGCCTTCAAAAAGAAACATGAATGCCAAAGGTACAAATCAAAAATTTGTCTCACTGTTTGACTGAGCTAAAAGGCACAAAGCATGACAGGACACTGTCATTGATACTGTATGACTATGAATTTAACATAGTAAGCATGAGTCCCTAAGGTCTTCATTGACTCTGTGTCGTGTGTGCGGCATCACAGCACATCAATAATGAAAGCTCTTGTGGCTAACACAGACACACAGTAGATGAATTATTCAATCTGACGCGCGCACACACACACACACACAGACTCCCTTGGCAAATGCACATGCATAAATGCAGTTTATATGTGGTTAAGAAGTCACCATTCAAAAGTACATGAGATAAATCAACAATATCAACTGCAGGAAACCACTTTGAATACCAAATCCCTTTGTTTTTGCTTTACTGGATTCTATTCATTAAACATTAGATATATGTCTTTGAGTCTCCTTTACTTCCAAATCCATCACTCTGTAGTCAAACTCTTGTGCCTGTACCTGAAGGCATTCGGCTTTTCTTTCTCAATTCAGTCTCTAGAGCACTGTGACCTCTCGGATTACAGGTGTGGAGGATGGTTTTGTAGTCGAGGATGATGTACTGACAACAACAGTCTACCAGGAAGAGGCCAAAGCCATTCAGGCCTGCAGGCCTCAGTAAAAGGGGGAAGTAAGAAAATAAACCAATGAGATGGTTTCTATGGCATTCCAATCTAAGCCAAAAGTCCCCTAGAAAGCCACACTAACTGATCTGAAAAGCAGATCCTCCCAGAATTTCTTTCACATCACAATCTCACCGAGGCATTTATTAAGGAACTTCCTCAAGTTTCTACCCTCAAATATTCCAAAAAGTTATCCTTGAAGCTATGGGTAGATGTATGATTTGGACATCAAGGAGTTGGTGGATAATTAATTGATCCAAGAGGATTGCACGGCTGATTTGCATACATTATGGCAATCTCATTGATGATATTATATCCATATACTCTTGACAGGCTTTTGAACACCGCTACTAAAAAAGCTGTCAAGTATATCACCTCTCTGCCGAAGAACAAACTTCTTTAAAATGCCCTTAGTCCAAAACTGAAAGATAAGTTTAAGTTTGGAAAACATTTTTATTTTGAAGTGTTGTCTAATATATAATGTGTATGCCTGTAGTGTTTGATAGAGTTGACTTGCAAAATAAGACTAACTAATTGAGAACTTTTTCACCACACATTTACACATTCAATTAAAAATTACCTAATTATACAACTGGTTCTACAGAACCACGAAGATAATAAACACAAATTACATCTTATATTATGGGGTTATGGTCCAATTATGATGCTGTTCCATTAATATTTCATTTGAAATCAGGTCTTCATTTGGGAATCTTTGAGAAAGCCCTCGAATAAGAACAAGATGCATTAAAGATCATCACTGAATCGTCACATGGACCAGTGGATGCGGTGTAATAAGTAATTTCATGAGTAAGATATATTGTAAATGAAGCAACAGTACGTCTTCTTTAGGTGAACGATCTATTACTCTTTCCAACCCCATTCAACCCTGAGGAAGTAAAGACCAATATTCCTGCAACTCCCTGTAAAACCTGATTTGTCATATATTTGATTTAATGTGTTGTCCTTTTGAAATGTGTCTTCTGTAACATAAACGTGTTCTGTTTACTTTTACCCTGAGAATTAATAGAATACAGAATCGTTTTCAAAGACATATTCCCACACTTGCCATGTGAAGGAGGACTAAATAGGCAAACAGAGCAGAATGTACAATTGGACAAATGGAATATGTAAGTGTAAAACTTCTGGGTGCTCCAAGCCATCTTTCATTGGAACCAGTGGCTTAGCACAAATTTACCTCTGCCCATCCGTTTGATTTTACATTCATGTGAAGCAGAAACTTGCACGTGTTATTGTGTGTCAGTAAATGTCTCCTCCAGGCATTTTGTCCACATTTATCAATAGTGATAGTTCATGGACCATGTGCGCCTGCATACCTTATGTTCACATATGTCTTTATATGTGGGTGGGTATGCACGGTGTGTGCATGTGTGTGTCCACATTTGCCTTTACACTTACAATGTCGCTGTAATGTCACAGGCCAGCAGGGGAGGGTCACTGCCTCATCTGATTAATGACACCCCTCCCCTAACGACAGCTCCAACAGGCCAACAAAACCCCAGGACATTACCATTATCATCACCATCCATATATCCATGTGTCCATCCATCCATCCTTATGAACTTGCTTACACTCAGACCTCCAATCTGAAGTACCTGGGTTTTTGTGGAAAATGCATTGTATCTCAATGTCAGACTGTACACCGTGAAGGCTCATTTCTCTTGCTGTCAAGATAGCGTGGCGTCCTCTTTGAAAGAGGGTGAGCGTGGGTGTGTGTGTGAGGAGATAAATCAGCCTGTTTTGTTTGTAATCAAGGTCATGAGAGACGGACACATCCTTGTTTAAGGAGAAAGGAGGATATTTTTCATTTCCTCATTAGCTAACTGAGTGTGTGCTTGCCTTTGCCCTGATAAAATACACAATTCATTGCGGCTCCTGAACCACTATGTTTCTGTTTCTTTTATCTTTGTCTCTTAGAGGGATCAAATTGCCACTTATGGCTTTAGTCAGACCCATATCCTGATGGCCAATTACTTGGCAACTGAGCATTTGGGGTATTCCAAATCCCATTGGCCCCTCCGATCTTGGAATGATATGCCAAACCACACCCCTGACCCTATCTGTACCTGCTGCCGACATTTCTCCCAATCACTATTCACAGCAGATTACAAAACCCAGACTAAATTGTTCAAGAACCTGTCCCATCACGTAAAGTGAGGAGGGAAATGGGACAGTTCACTGCACCCCAGGTCTGAATTACCATGCCGCCGGGTTAAAGGACTGCCACGATGACCTGTCACACACCATTTTGAGATCATGACTCCAGGGGCCCCTGATCTTTCTGCCTTCCGCACTTTCCAGATCTGAGCGGAAAGAGGGTGTCTAGAAGTTTATTAGGCACTGGCAATTACCCATGAGGCCCTTTGGGGCCCATATTAAGTGGGTGCACTTTGACCCTTTCTTTAAACCCCTTCAACAAAGCCAAAGTAATCCCCACCACTGGGCCTGAACGGTGTGCTTTAATCAGAGCACAGACACACAGTAACACACACAGGGTAAGAGATAAGGGCCAAAAGTTGAAATATAGATGTCTGATTGGAACTGAAACCCTAAAGCTGGCAGTGTAATATACATGCATCACCTGCTCTGATATGTACAACTATGGGTGTCAAGAGTCGGATTTGTCTACTAGTAGAGATTTTATATTACTGTTTCTATAAAAGCCAGTTCAATTGTATTAAACCGTTGCAATGTTGTGGCAATATGAGATTTAGAGGATTTTTTTTCTTCAATTTACTGAAGTTGCTTGATTTGTCAGGTTTAATTGATTGTGTTGGCCATTTTATGTAATTGTTTCTTCTGCAACGGTGGATCAAAGAATCTTAGTCCAGTGGTTTTCAAACTGGGGTCCACGAACCAACAGAGGTCCTTGAGTAACTAAACGTAAAAGGAGAAATAGTATATTTTCATTTATATCAACCTATATAAATAGATCACCTTGAGCTGTTTACTGTTTACTACTATTAGGGCTGGGTATTGTTAAGAACCTCACGATTCGATTTTGATTCTTTAGGTTACAATTTGATTCGATTTCGATTCGATATTGATTTAAATGCTTCGAAATCGATTCAGTAATAAGTAGAATTACACAAATAATTCATGAGAGTACCTGTTGATAATTTTAAAAGCTTCGGGACGGCGACTTCCGTCATGTGTTTGCGTGTTGGTATGGCGTATCGTGGTTCGAGTGTGTATACCATCTTCTTAAAACCCCCGTTTTCCACGACACTGTACGGTCGTAGGTCCTTAGATATGAAGATGGCCACAGACTCCGTTATCTTCTGTGCGCGGGGAGAGTTTGGCGGCAGTTTGCAAAGGAAGGATCTGTCGAGTCTGTTAACATTGCTGCTACCTGCTTCGGTTGCCATGTTGTTGTTGCGTGGTGGTGGGCGCGTACAACGCAAATCACACAAAGGTGTTGCTCACTGTGCCACCACTGGCCAGGGGCTTGAATCGATTCAGAGGATTTAATGAATCCATATTGAATTGGGAAAAAATATATTGCAATGCATTGATGACTCGATAATTTTACCCACCCCTAACTATTATACTATTTACTGATATACAAAACGATTAATCAAGCAAATAATCGTTAGTTGCAGCCCTAATTGTTTCTTGATTAAATTTCAAGAAAGCTGACAAAATTTCACAACACACCAATGTTACAATATAAACTTACATGTATAATGATAGAAGATTTCATCACCCACTGCTAAACAAAACTACATCTAGACAACAAACAAAATCAGATCTCTGAGGCTTTTAGTTTCACTCTCTGTGCCTGACTGCTGTCTGTATCTTTACACATTGGTCACACAAAAACAAATGACACCCATCTGCATGTAGCATTTATCAGCTTGTAATGTACGTTGATGGATATGCAAATTGCAACTTATACACTGAACCATTACAAAAATTTTAAATCACCAGAGAAGCTTATCTATTCTGCGGCAAACAAAGAGTGTTATTGTATGGAAGTAATATTTGTCTGTGACTGCTAGACTTGTGTGATTTACCACATGTGCAAGTATCAGGACCCCGCTGTATATCGGGGCACCATTTGAGCATTTAATTGGACATAAAAAACACCTTTGGGGGTGAGCTCGGCCTCACTTTTAATTAAA